TTTAGGTTAGGAGAATGAGGAGATCTTTCCTATCACCTTTGGGTCATAGAAAGAGAGCTTCCTACCTTCTTACAAATGTTTTGGGCTCATTTGAAGAGGGGAAGGATGCATCTAAAGACTTGGAAAGGATTCCTAAATCAACTTTGGTATAATTAAGAAACTTGAATGGGAGAGGTTCACTTGTTACTTTTGTATTATCAACAAGTGAAGAAATGACCTAGGATTTGGTCCTAAAGTCTAGATGATTCATATAATGATACATTTGGAGACTTGAGATGTCCCAAATAATCATGTATGAGAGAGAAGGATTGTTGATTTTGTTTCAACATTCAAATGGAGGATTACTTAGAATTTTTTCTAAAGTTTGACTATCATGTAATGATAATTGATACGGAGCTTCGGAGACATTAAAAATTGTATACATGGCGAGGAGAGCCTTAAGGTGCATCCTTCCTCTCTTCAAATGAGCCCAAAACATTTGTAAGAAGGTAGGAAGCTCTCTTTCTATGACCCAAAGGTGATAGGAAAGATCTCCTCATTCTCCTAACCTAAATTAGGAGAGTGTACATCATTCTTTGAATGTCAAATGTTCAAGGAACCTTCAAGAGTTTGCAACTTCTAAGTTGCATCTCATTCTTCTCCATCCCTCCAACCCAAATTGGAGGAATGAATTCCCCCTCTTTGGATATCAAACGTTCAAAGGAAATCCTCCGATTTGTAATTCCTAAGTTGCATTTTGGACCATTCCTTTTCCTACAAGCCCAAATTGTAGGAAACCCCCAAATTCCCCTTCATTTGCCTAGCTTCGCATTAAACAAATGAATTTGTTTCTTTGAACATCGAAATTTAAGAAACAATTAAGGATTTGCAATCTCTAAGCTGCATTTTCTTTCCCTCATTTTCTACAACTCAAAAGTTGTAGGAATTCCTCTCATCCTATTGACTCAAATTGGATGAGTGAATGTCCCTTTCTTTGAACACCAAATGTTCAAAGAAAATCTTCCACTTTGCAACCTTCAGGATGCATTTCTCCCTTTCTTCTCTACAAACCAAATTTGTAGAGAAATTCCTTTCCTTCTACAACTCAAAAGTTGTATGAAAATCTCATTTGTTCAAACTTTATTGGATAAATTAAACCTATAACAAATCGTCTATTTGTTGAATCAAAATCAACGAATAATTTAATCCAAATCATTTATTTGTTGAAACAAATTCAACAAATGATCCCATATCAAGCAAATGAATACCCCTCCTTGGACACCAAATGTCAAAGGAATCCCTTTCAACATGCAATCCAAGTGTTGCTTGTTGCTACTTTCTTCTACAACTTAAGGGTTATAGAAAGTCCTCTCATTTTCCTAAACCCAAATCTAGGAGAATGTTCGTTTCCCCTTTGAACACCAAAAGTTCAAGGGCACTCATGAATGTGGAACCTCCAAGTTGCGCATTTCCTCTTTCTACCAAAACAAAAGTGTAGAAAATCTCTTCATTCACTTAGCCTAAATCAAGTGAATGTGTGTCATTTTCTTTGAACACCGAATGCTCAAAGAAATTCCTCTAACTTGCAACTTATAAGTTACACATAATTTCCCCTTTTCTACAACTCAAAAGTTGTAGGAAAACTATCTAATCTTCCTAAAAAAAAAAAATCAAAATTAGGAGGATATACTCATCTCCTTTGAGCACCAAATGTTCAAAGGATCCCTTTGATTTGCAACCTTTAAGTTGCATTTCTCTCTCTCTTTTCCTACTAGTCAAGATTGTAGGAGAAGATCTAAATCCGCGCTCATGCTCCCAAACCCAAATTGGGAGGATGAATCCCATCTTTGGACACCAAGCGTTCAAAGAAACCACTCTAATTCGCAACCGCTAAGTTGCACTTCGGTCTACTTCTTTTCCTATAAATCTAGATTGTAGGAAACCACCAAGTTCTCTTCATTTCTCTTAACCCAAATTAAGGAAATGAAATTCCACCTCCTTGAATACAAAAATTTAAGGAACCACCTTCTTGATTTGTATCCCTAAAGTTACAAATCCTCTTTCGCTCCTATAGACTCCAAAAGTCTTAAGGAATTCTTTACCTTAGCTCAAAGCCATAGGTTCTTTTACTTTTCCTACAACTCAAAAGTTGTATGAAGCCCACTTTAACTCAACCTATATTGAGTGATCCATTTTTGTCCCAAATTATCTTATTTGTTGAACCAAAAACAACAAGTAACTTCACCCCAAGCTTAGGATTCAAGTCCTACTTCTCTTTGCCCTTCCAAACTCAAGTTGGAAGGGGGCAACTCCCTCTTTGGACATCAAAATGTCCAAAAACCTTCATGCATTTGCAACCCAAAAGTTGCATTTTCTCCCAATTCTCTTACAACTCCAAAGTTGTAGGAGACTTCTTCTCTCTTTAGCTCCAAAAGCTAGAGAGAGAGCTCTCCAACATTTAGCTCAAAAGCTAAATGTCGGATTCCTACCTCTTCTTCTTAGCCCCTAAAGCTAAGGAGAATTTCTATGGGTTTATGATAAATGTCTCCCATAAATACTCAATTCTCCTATGCATAAAATTTGTCTTTGAGAAGGCTACCGCCTCTATGGGTCATGGATACAAGGCCCATTTGTTTAAAAATATTAGAAATTACAGTTGCAAGTTGATGCTCTTCAAGTACATTGACTGAAATTGGTTGTACTTATAAGGACAGAATGAATCATTTGGTTAGCTGAGTGGAACTATTAAGAAGAGAAACAGCTAATTAGAAAAAAAATTAATGGATGATCTAAGATTTAATCGACCATTTAGATCAAATTGGTTTAAAAAGGATAATTTGCTCAAAATAAATAAATATTAATTAATGTTAAATAATATAGTTTGAAGAGAACAAATTATATGGTCTGGAAAAACTGCGTTAAGGTGACTTCAAGTTAAAACAACAGTTATGCAACATGTCCAAAAAAATATTATATTAATTCTAGTCATGTAAGGTCGGATATTGGGATTTACCCACCCTCATGCAACTCCTATAGGCTACCATATATGTTGATTATTTTATCATGCTACGTTTTTGTTAGTGATTGCATGGTTGATAGTTAATTAACGATAATCAGAGTTCAATGTCAAGGATCATAGTTCCATATAGTATACTAGCATGAAAATTTCCGAGAAACAGAATACCCGATAACTTTACCTGAAACTATATTACCAGAAAGTAGGGGTTGGTATAGAAGTGCTATCAAAAACCCATGGGCATAAGGTGATTGTATAAAATACCAACAACAACATCAAGCCTTTGTCCCAGTACGTAGGGTCGGCTACATAAATCCTTTTTCGCCATTGTGTTCTGCTAAAAGTCAAATTCTCATTTAAATCTAATAAAGATATATCATTTCTAATATTTTTTAATCATGTCTTTTTAGGTCTACCTCTATCTTTCTTGATGCAAAAAATGTTTCACTTCACGTGTTATCACAAGGCAATATATGAGTGGTCAAAAGTTAAATAGCAGAAAGCTAGTGACGCACTGGTGAACAAAAAAAAAATATTGATGCTACAAAAAAGCATACCTTTTGTTTAACTTTCCTGAAATCTAGCAGCCTTAGCTTCTTCAGTTTGAAGATCACATATAGCCGATAATTTGGTTTCTTTGTGATGTTATTGTCCAGTAAACTAAGAGTTTGCAGCTTTGGAAGAGATGCTAGGGGGTCAATCTCCACCAGATTGACAAGTCGGTTATTCGTAAGGATCAAAGTGTGTAGCTTTGGCAAGAATTCTGTAGATTGAAGATATCAATATAAGCGGCATAATCTGAAGAGCATTAAATCTAAGTACGAAAATCTGGACAAGTTTCCCAAATACCTTACCTCCAATTTCAGGATTAATACGGGTAATTCTGTTATTATTAATTAACAAGGTACCAAGCCGACTTAAATAAGGGAAGTTTTCAAGCTTAACGATCTCATTATCAGAGAGATCTACTGTGTCAAATTGATCCTGCAAAAAAGTAAAAGAATGTTAAATGAAATCAACTAAGAATTGAAAGATAGTTTTACAACTGTCGAGCATCTGTAGGTTAGAATGCTGGGAAGGCAAGCAAATGACAGCGCCATATTACTTGGTGTGGGAGCAGGGGGGTGTGACGCAATTTAAGAAAATGAAATATAAAAGCAAAAAAATAGCGCATTATTAAAAAAACACATAATTGGCAGTGTCAATTATAACCATGCATTCGAGTAAAATCTTAGTTCACCTTCATCGTTAACCTTATCCTAACAATATGGGGTTGGATTGATCACTATTGATGAATTTTACTTCTCCATTCGCTCTTGTTGATCGAGGAAACTCTTCATAAACTGGACTGGAATAAACCTAGTCCAAGTTATTGGGTAACTCAGATGTTGGTTCTTTACATTTGGGCTAAATTCGTATCAGGTTAAAAAACATCAAGTCAAGAAAACTTCGAAATCAAAGGACCCAAGACATGAAAGTGGACCCTTCTATTTACCTTATTATTTTCTTATTATTTTAATAATAAAATAATACAAGGAATGGCTAAACAGGCAAGGGAAGGAGATAAGATAAAATCATTATCCCTCCATAATTCACTCCCTTAATCCCTGCCGTAATTATAACCTTGATTATCCAGAATTTCATATACTTTTTTTTTCTTAATTTACATAAATCCTTAGTTTAAGGAAATTGGTTATGACTCCTATAATTTATAAGCACGAGGCCATTATCTTTTATGCAAGACAGTATGCGTAATACTAATCAGGATCGACTCCTCATTTCCTACTCACCTCCAAATAGTCCAATGCATGCTACAACTTTCACTAAATTTTGTACTTTCTCTCTACCTGAGACAGCCCTCATTCACATGACTTGAGTGCAAAACAAAACAAATGACGTAAAATCTATTGCAAAAAAAATCAAATTTCCCTTCTTGCTTTCTCTCCCACACTATTTCTCTCTTTACCTGATTGTTCTCTAACTCAAACAGTAGGAAATCCATTATCTTGCATACTAGCCAAGAGACTAAGGAATAAAAAAAAGAAAGGAGAGATAAAACAATAGAAGCGTGAGGAAACAGAACTGCTCAAACGAGCAAAACCAAGAGGAGATCAAAGCAAAGAGAGATGAGGAAATTATAATCCTCAAAGCAAAAGCAATTGAGGATTCAATCACAGAAGTAACTTTAATCTAATATTATTAATTCCTATTCTATTATAGTATCCTCCTGGACGGTTTTGTTTAGAAATCTGAAGTTTGTGCATAGACTATTTACACTTTCTTAGAAGAGATAAAATGTACCTATTCTAAATTAATTCTCTTTATTCTGCCTTTCAAAGCTAGATCCAGAAAAATCTACATTTATTTTTTTATTCTGCATTTATTCTAAAATTTTCATATTTGAAGGTATTGATTGAACGATCAAACCTTTCTTAATATAGCTTAATTTGATTTCTATAGGAAACTTTGAGTTTATATGCCCAATACAATCGATGTTACTTTGAGTTTATTTGATTTCTTTAGGGCACACTCTTATCCGAAGAAAATATGATTAGACTTTTTCGGACAATACAAAAATGGTTCTTCGATAGATGCAATATTACAACAACAACATCAAACCTTTGTCCCACTATGGGGTCGGCTACATTAATTCTTTTTCGCCATTGTGTCCGGTTAAAAGTCAAATTTTCATTTAAATCTAATAAAGAAAGATCATTTCTAATGTTTTCTAACCGAGTATTTTTAGGTCTACCTCTACCTTTCTTAACATAAGTCAAATCTAATACCTCAACTTTCGTAACTTGGTCATCGGAAGGTCCCCGTTTAATGTGACCAAACCATCTAAGGCGACTCTCTCTAATCTTATCTTCCACTGGAGCTACTCCAACCTTTTCACGTATATGCTTATTTCGTATCCTATCTCTAAGGGTCAAGCCACTCATCCACCTAAGCATCCTCATTTATGCAACACTTAACTTAGTATTATGCTTCTCTTTTAATGACCAACATTCGGCACCATAAAGCATTACAGGTCTCACCACCATCTTATAGAATTTTTCCTTAAGTTTGAGGGGGACTTTTCTATCGCACAATAAGTCCAATGCATTCCTCCACTTCAACCATCCAATTTGAATTTTGCTGATAATATCCACATCAATTTCACCATCACTCTGAACAATAGATCCAAGATATCTAAAACGTGTACTCTTATTAATGACTTGATCGTCAAAAGTCATAATCACCTCACTAGGTCTATTGCTACTAAAATTACAAAGAATATAAAAATTATTTTAGTTAAGAAAATAGAAGAAGCATCGGGAAAAATGATTAATGTGGCTCAGAGCTTGATCGTCTATCCAATTAGCCAATTTGAACTATATGTCCTTGATGGCGACCTTAATAGTGAGGTTCATTTGCAGGAGAGGACACATACATGTAGAAAATTTGATGTTTTAGGTCTCTCGTGCGAATATTTATTGGATGCAACTCGAGATTGGGGTATTAGTTATTATATCTTATGTTCAAAGTTCTACACACAATAAGCATAGTTAATCGTATACATTGAAAACATTATATCCAATCAAAAAATAAGTGACCTAGAAGGTTCCAAACGAAATAAAGAAAGTCTTCATGTTACCCCCATTGGTGAAGCCTAAGAGTGGCCATCCAAAGAAACATAGAAGGCCTTCAAAGAAGGAGAATGATGTGTTCCAATGTAGTTGTATTCAATGTAGAACTAAAGGTTATAATCATGTTATTTGTAAGGTCAAATGCCTACTGCCTTCGTAACAATTATTTTGCTTAGATCAATAACATTTTTTTTAAAATAATGTCATTGAATGATTATGCAATGATGTAATGCTTGCAATTTTCATGTGCTATTGATATTAATTGACTCTCTATTGTAGTTGAACTTGTTGCGTTGTTTGTGATCGCTCTCTGCTATATTAGCCTTTTAGCAAGATCTATTCAAGCTATTGGATTGCACTGTGTTATATCGAGCCTTGTTCCAATATTATTCAAATCATGTAAGAGTTTTTCCTAATCTTATTTGAATTTTATTAGATACTTATTCAAACTATGTTCAAACTCAGTTCAAAGCACACTCCAAATGGGCATTCGAATAAAAGTCAAGCAGGGTTTGATTGAATTTCAAATTTTTCTCAAATATAGTTCTAACCTTGTTCGAGCATTGTTCGACACTTCTGTAATGCCTTTCAAATCATGGTTGTAGCTAACTTGAATAAGTATTGTGCAGTCAAAAGTGAAGGTATTTTAATATGAACTAAACTTTCTGACATATTTCACCAATTATTGCATTCTTTTTATCAATTTGTCCTTAAAAGTCGTTTTAACCTCAAAAACATTTGCATTTTAACCTTAAAAGTCTTACCTCAAATACATCTAAACATTTTGTTTCCTTTCATAGCCTGCCAAGTTTTCAATGACTTATTTTCTACAAACACTCAAACAGCACATATGGACGTATTGTAGTTTAATAAAGATTAGCTTTTCAATCCTATCATATTTTCTTTCTCATCATACGCCTAAGCCACTTTAACCATGCAGCTTCAACTCTACAAATTATGACATCATCTGTGCAATTAATCTTTAGTATAATAAACCCAATATTCTTAAACTTATTGCATATGGAAATCACTAAACCTTCCAACAATAATACTGGCAGCTATTGTGGGAATTATCGAAAGCCCGCTCATCGTGTTGGTTTTTAATGTGATAATTTATTAAAAAATGCATTCATTAGCAAAGAATTAAGTTATATATATGTATATGGGAATACAATATACCCTCTTCCCTCCCTTGAAATAAAAAAGAAGGACAACTGGCAAGCATTCTGCAGATTAAATATGAATTCCCGTTCAATAGATAATACACTACACTTATACTAAAGAACACATAAATTTAGCTTGTTGATTGTTGAACGGAGCTCACGGGGAAAATCCAATCAAAATATTGATTCCATACCCAATTTGCGCCAAGATTTCACTCCTTATGCTGCTAAAACCTAATGCTAGCCACAAATCACGAAACTATCAATGGCCTCAAGGACTACAAACTCAAAAATGACGAAGAACATAAGTCGAGACAAACTCGAAAGAAAAACAAAAGAGAGCTAGGGTCACAACTGTACTCACCTCAGTGGCACCAATGTTCTCTATCACCGCGATCTTGTTTCCTAAGAAACCCAGAGATGCAAGGTTTGAGCGTGAAAATATGAGTAAATGAAGGCTGAAAAGAATGGAGGATGGAAATAAACCTCGAAGATCGAGCTCACGCTCCTTGATAGCGTTGAAGAAGTGGGGGCTCTTCCAAATGAGATCGGCGGTCACCCTGACCATGGTTCTCTGGGAACTCCTACCAGAAGAACGAGAAGAATCTCCTTCTTCCTCTTCCTATTCTTCTTCTCCGTCAGTTTCCAGAACCCTAAGCGGATAGGAGGCGCGGCGAGACAGAGTTCAACCCGAACGGTGGCGTCAAATGTATTGGTTAGCAAAATCGAACAGGTTCGGAACAAAGAAATATATATGGATTTAACATTACGAATATTTATAATTTCTACCCTAATTTCATTTCTCATATATCTCAATTTATTTTTTGTATTAAGATTTATTTTTGTGGAATTCAAATATATTTGTAGGCGATACTCAAACTTAGAAGCATGTGAGCTCTGTAAATTTTGACCTAAAAATTTTGTGAGAATGGAGAAAAATAGAGTTCAATAGCTCAAGTACAATAGTATTTTGGCACATAATATAATTCCTTGTATTTTGATTAAGATAAATAATTTTTTTAAGGAATCATGTTAATAAATAATTTTTTTTAAGGAATCATGTTAAGTCAAATTTGAAAATCGTCTTCGTCATAGCATATCTATTGTAGTAGTTTAATTACATAAATTTTTTTATAATTTTTGAACACTTGTGCAAATTCTTAAAAAATTAATACATGTCAGTACAAGTGAAGATTTTGGGATCATCGTATGTCCATTTTTGCAAACTAATTTCACCAATATATTTCAATTTAACCATAAAAAATTCAATGTGCTACAGTCAAAATGCTCATATTGACGAGATCAATCACATATAAAAAATTATGTTGTCAAAATATTATCAATACAAACTTATTCTCATTATTTAATAATGAAAACATAAGTTTGATCAGAAAATTATGAAAAATATAAAGGCATTGAAATCAAAGATAGGGTAATTGTTACTTGCAGTAAAAAGACTAATTATCCCAATAAGACAAAGTGGCAAAAATCACAACATGACCTCCAAAATCTAGCTTTAAATTTCTCGCTCCTCTCTTTATCTCTTAATTTTCTCTAGCTTTTTCTTTGCAAGTCTCTGCTAGCCGAAAACATTAAGGAAAAGAGAGTATTTAATGAAGCATTATAGTCGAATTAAATATTTAGGATATTTATGTTTAAATATTAATATAATATTTAAACATAAAATGCTCAAAAGACCCACTATATTCAAAATGATCCAAATTGCTCATCTTCACATTTCATTTATAAAGATATGAGGGGTTGCAAGAAATGCTACATAAATAAAATGAATAAAATTGTACAAGACTTAACGGCAGACTACAATAGATATGTTTCATATTCTAGTTGGTTGGAGAGAGAATAACATTCCTTGAACCTGATTTGTCTCTCTCCATACAAGTACAATAATGCTAAGTGTTGAACAAAGCTTAGACCAGCTGGCAACCTAAAGTCATTAGCGACCAATGCTAGAGCTTTTGCAGAGCCTTGCTAAAAGGTGCGAGCTATTTTTTCATAACTATCAACTACATGTCAAAAGTCTAAAAGGTGTATGTAAATATACATTTATTTCTTTAATTTACTTGGCCCTTTGATTCTTGAATGACGAAAATGATAAGTGAATTAATGACAAGTGATGAATAAGGCTACCAAATTAATATAGTAGAGTGCACATGACGCTTTAGAATCTAAATGGGAAGAATTGTACCTTTTATCTCTTATTTAATTTATCATAACTTTTATAAAGTCGTCATCTTTCACGCCCAAAATCTAATTTATATGAAATTTTTTTTTATAATAACAATACTAGAGCTATTTAACTTCATTTATAAGATATAAATAATAAAAATAATTATAGATTTCAAAATATCTATAGATATTTGTATTTATTGCTTCACGTAACACTTTGTCACATATTTTTTACTTAAGAGGTTTCACAATCTCCCTTATTTAAGTAGTTGACGACCTCATCAATATATTTATCCTAAAATCATACATCAAACATATAGTATTATAGAGGTAGCCCCTACAAGTTTAAGCGATAACTCCTGTCACGTAACACTTTGTCTCATATAAGGTTCAAGATGTAGCTCCCATGGTTTATCCCTTTGTCTTGTATGACACTTTGTTCCTATCTTCCAACTAGTATATCGCTCTGATACCATTTGTAACAATCCAAACTTTTAATTATTGAGCTATTGTCCGCTTTGGCCTAAGGGCCTGTTGGCTCAAGAAAAATGGCACGAGTGCACGAATCCTGTTTTGCAACCTTAGGATTCCATTTCCCTTAAGTCAGATTGAAATTAACTAGATTTCCCCTGAGGGTAGTATCAGGGTTTATAGATCTGGGGTTCTTACTTCCTATAAGCGCAAGCACTCATAGTTAATTACCTCTCTTACTATGTAAGAGAGAACTCTCGATTAAGAATGAATAAATTTTAGATATTTTTAGTCTCAAATGGTGGGAAGATGGAGGTAAACCTGATCAAGATCCCATGATTCCGTCGTCCCGGGTATACCATAGATTTCAATCTGCCAACACTAACAATCGTTGACAGTAGTGTTCATGGAATCTGATTAGTAGCCATGGGTTGCCTCCTCTTAGGGATCCCGAGTAGATTGAAGTGCTTAGATATTGATTTTAGTTTTAATTTAATTTGAGTTGGGGCTTATTACTTCCTTAGAAGTTTCCCGTTAATTTATTTAGTTTGGGGTTTACGGTTCCAATTAGGAATTGCCCCGATAGTTTGTTTAGTTTGGAGCTTACGGCTCCAATTAGGAGTTGCCCGAAGAATTTCAGTTGGATAGGTCTTATGACTTCCTTAGAAGTTGCCTAACGATGGGTCTTACGACCTAGCACTATAAGCTAAGCGACCCGAGTTGTGGGTCTTACAACCTAGTCCTTTAGACTATAATGCCCATGAATTTTAATTGTTTGGGTAAGAATTATAGCTTCCCTTAGGAAGTAGCCTAAAAAGCGGGTCTTACAACTTAATCGTTTAGACTAAGATGCCCATAGGTTTATATTTGATTGTTTAGGGCTTAGGATCATTACTATTTATTTAGCAAATTTCCTAAAATGTGGGGTTTATGACTTCAGTAATTAAGAAGTTGCCCAAAAGCGGGTCTTACAACCTAATCCTATAGACTAAGATGCCCAAGAATTTGAATTTTGATTGGGACTTATAACTTTCATAGAAAGTAGTCCAAATTAATGGGACTTACGGCCACAATTGAAGGTAGCCCAAATTTTTTAGTTGGGTAGGTCTTATTGCTTCCGTAGAAGTTGCCTAATGATTGGTCTTACAACCTAGCACTTTAAGCTAAGTGGCCCGAGTTGTGGGTCTTACAATCTAGTCCTTTTAGACTAGGATGCCCAAGAATTTTAATTGTTTGGGTAGGACTTATAGCTTCCTTTAGGAAGTAGCCTAAAAAGCGGGCCTTACAACTTAATCGTTTAGACTAAGATGCCCATAGGTTTATATTTGATTGTTTAGGGCTTAGGATCATTACTATTTATTTAACAAATTTCCTAAAATGTGGGGCTTATGACTTCAGTAAGAAGTTGCCCAAAAGCGGGTCTTACAACCTAATCATATAGACTAGGATGCCCAAGAATTTGAATTTTGATTGGGACTTATAACTTTCATAGAAAGTAGTCCAAATTAATGGGACTTACGGCCACAATTGAAGGTAGCCCAAATTTTTTTAGTTGGGTAGGTCTTATTGCTTCCTTAGAAGTTGCCTAATGATGGGTCTTACAACCTAGCACTTTAAGCTAAGTGGTTCGAGTTGTGGGTCTTACAACCTAGTCCTTTTAGACTAGGATGCCCAAATGAGAGGTCTAAATTTGTGTTATCTCTTAAATGTTTCCCTCAAAGGTCGGACTTACGACTTCTATTAGAAGTGGCCGGGGTTTTAATTGGGTTTAGGGGTTAGGTCAATTTCTACCTAAAACTTTTCCCTAAGGTCGGGCTTATGACTTTCCTACAAGAGTTGCCGAGTAGTGGGTCTTACAACCTAATTCTTATAAATCAGGCTGCCCGAATGTTTTGAATTTGATTATTTGGAGATTTGTTATTTAGAGAAATTGAAAGAGTTGTAAATTGGTTTTAGTTCGTGATTTTTGACACTTTGGGGTTTTGACACCGGTGTTAGTGTTTTTTTTTTTTTTGTTCTGTGCTTGTAGCATTTTTCCTACTACAGTAGTCCAGTACTCTTCTTGCTTTGAGCACTTCTGCTTTACTAGTTTTATTTATTTTTTTTGTACTTGGCTTTCTTGCTTTACAATATTTCATTCTAAATGTCATAGCTCATATTTCTCAGCATTCATTCAATCTATTTATGTGGTACTGACTCTTCATTTGTTTGTTCGTAGGTGTTCGTAGTCGGTAGTTGCAGCAGTCAGGGCTCGTAGTTACAGAGGATAAAGTCAAAGATAGTTGCAAGAACTCATACAAGAGGGATTTTGGAGAACTTGCAGAAGAGTTCAGTTTGAGAGTTTTAGAGAGTTTTGAGAGTTTGTACAGTTGGAGAATTGGTGAGGATTTTGGAGAGTTTTGAGAGCCTGTATACGTCAAATATTGGACAACATTCTTCCTTTCACTTTTTTCATTTTATTCATTGCATTTTTATTTTATTTTTGAAATTGCTCACTTGATTAATAAAAAAAAATAATAAATCAATTTTGAATTCCACTGCTCTCAAAATTCTTAATAACTCTCAAATCTAAAACTTTTTAGAATTTAAAATTTTCTCAAAAACTGAAATGCTCTAATATTTTAAGTACCTCATGATTTTTTATTAAATTAGTTTTGAAATGATTTATCATGATCTTTATTACCTCAATAATTAGAGGGAGAAGTGATATTTTGAAGGTTAGAGATCCCAAATGTTTTAAGAAGAAATAGTATTTGAAATATCGCAACAATTCAAAGTCTTCTACTCAATATCACTTTCGTTAGAACTTTTGAAGAGATGTCTTATTTAGAGACAGTTAAGGTAGTTTCATTTAAAGTCCTTCGAGTTATCTCAAGAATAAATTTTTTTTGGGCTAAGACGATAGCCAACAAATTATCATTTATGCTGAGCGACACTTGGGAGAGTAATGAGTGTTTGTAACTTCTACACTTTCGCGCATTTGATGACATAGGAGACTTTGAAGATTTCAATTAATCAATCATTTTGATTAATTTTAATCAAAATAATTTCATTAAATCTTCATTAACTAAATTAATTAATTAATACTTAAAAAATTAATTTTGATATTTTAGTTAAATTAAATTTCCCTTTGAATTTTAAGGAACCGATCGGGCATGGGTCGGAGGCGGAAGCCACGCACAGGGGAGAGGAGTTCGGCGTCGAGCGTTCGAGTTCGGCTTGCTGGGGTCGAACGGCGGGGTCGGTCGGCGTCGGATGTGGATTAGGGCGTGGGAGGTGAAGTCGGACAACCACAAGGAGCAGAAGGAGCGACTGTGCCCTCTCTGCCTTCTTGCGAATCAACGAACACGAACAACAACGATGGAAGGAGAAGATGAACGGTGAACCCTAGACGCTCGTGCGAAGCAATGAAGCTGAACAGCGACGAGGAAGCCGAAGAAAAGAGCGTAACTTCTTTTTTCGTGCTATCCTTCTCCCTTTTGTCGCTTTGTATTGTCGGTGCCTCCGAAGAGATGCGTCATTTGGCGACCAACTGCCCGTGGTGGGGCCGGCTTGGAGGTATGTCGGTTGCTCTGATTTTTTTTTCTGTTCTATTTTTTTTATACAGTCAACATGGCCTCATGGTTTTATCTTGTTTGTGTAACTTTCTAAGAGGTCAACATCATAACATTTCTTTGGGACGAGCACACTTAACTGCGGAGTTTTCTAAATAAAACTCCAACAATTACATTACAAGATACATGAATGTTTAAGAGTTTAGCTTCTTTTACTTAAGGGGTTTCACACGATTACTATTGGCTCAATAAACAAAGTTATCCCTTTTTACCCGATAGCATAATTATAACTTCTTATAACTCTCAATTATTGCATAACATGAATTAATAAAGGATAACACCTAACCATAATATTTTTAAAAAAAAATCCATTGGCTCACCATCTCGTATTAGTCAATCAATCTCCAACCAATGGGCCGACTAATATTTACTTATCTTTCACACACACATTAATATCATAATATTATAATAATAATAGCGATCAACAATTACTAAATCACATATTTATTTTAATTATTAATGCTTATATTAACACTATGCTTAGATAAAACCACTTAATACATATACAATGCAAATCTTCATAATTCAATAAATTAATTTTACCTAGTTAAAGTCGTAAATATTACAGTCAAAATATTCAAGATAATCAGTATGATAACATACAAAAAATGTACGATAAAAGTTTAATAAAGCAAGAGAAAATACAACAAAATTAATATTGAGGATAATTCAGTGATCAAAATCAAATTCTTTGAAATCAATATAAGACTAGAATCACTACCTCGATCTAAATAATTTTCGTAAAAGCAGCAAAGTGATATGGAGACTAAAAAATTCAAATTTCATTTTCTGTCTACCACGTTGCAAGTCAAGCATGAATTTAATTTTTTTTAATATGTTATCAGAAATTCATATAATTACAATTGTTAAGGGCTAGAATATACGTGACGATAAAGTTAGAAAGTTTTCGTCTCAATATTGTGCTGATATCCTGCACACAAACAGAAGATGAAAGAACATCAATATTTTTACGTGAAAGCCCCTAGAAAGAGAAAAAACACGGGTCCACGTCTAGTTGAAAGAATTTCAATAGTATTTGCTCGAGGTATAAGAGGCTGACTCATCCTTAAAACTTAGGACAATCAGATTACAATAATCCACTCTCGGATTGAAATTCAGCTACAAATAAGAATTTGAGATTTGACAATGTTGGGTATTCAGGCTGAATCCCAAAGTCACATGGAAATCAGATAGAATTCCGGCGTCACTTGGATATCGGGCGGAACTCCGACGTCAGTTGAAAGCCAGACGAAACTCCGGCGTCACTTGAAAGTCGGCTAGAACTCTGGCGACACTTGAAAGTCAGACGAAACTCCGGGGTCACTTGAAAGTGAGGCGGAACTCTGACGTCACTTGAAAGTTCAACGAAACTTCGAGGTCACTTGAAAGTCACGCGGACCTCCGATGTAACTTGAAAGTTGGTCGAAACTCTGGCGTCACTTGAAAGTCGAGCGTAACTCCGGCGTCACTTGAATGTCGGGCAGAACTCCGATCTCATTTGAATTTAGGCGAAACTCCAGCATCACTTGAAAGTCGGGCGGAACTCTGATATCACTTGAAAGTATGGCGGAACTCCATCGTCACTTGAAAATCGGGCGGAACTCCGGTGGTGGTCGAGGAGTTTCTTCCCTCATTCTCTTCTCCTCTTCTCTTCTTCTTCATCTCTTCTTGCTTGACTCACCTCTTAAGAGAAATGAGGAGATATTTATAGTTTTTTGAGAGTGCCATGACCCATAAATAAGATGAGGATCAAGGGCAAATGTGGAGTGGTTTGGATGGACGACCGATATTGAATCCCTTGATCATGGACCATTCGTCAGACATTTGAAACTCTTAATGATATCATAATTTGGTGATTTTGGGCTCGTTGGATTCTTCTCGTCGAGCCGCTCGATTTGACTATAAGCATGTCATGTTTTGAAACCGTTTGGTGATCCAAATTGTGGTTTGAACCTTCCAATAGCGCTTCGGTCTTCGATTTGGACCCATTTGGGCTTAGATTGAGTTGAATTTGATGTCGTTGGGTTCATATTTTCGATGACGCTCAATTCGACTATAAGTTTATTGAAATAGGAGTTAAGATGGTCTCCAAATTAATTTTTGAAGTTTCCAACTTGATGTTATCTCGAGATTCGTGCTCAATCAAGGTAAATTTTTGGTAATATATCAACATTGAAAGCAAATGTACAAACTAAATACATTTAAAAACTTTCATCATTTTCATTCATCAAAAGTTGGTTTACAATAGCCAGAAGGTCACTTGTAACATCGATTTATCTCAACAAACTCCTGATAACAAAATAATAAAATAAAATACATAAAGTCAAAAGAAAAACCTGAAGATCGTGACATCCTCACTCCACAAAATCCTGTTCTCTTTCCTGACCTAAAATCATTCAAATCCATATTTTGTGGAGTGAGGTTATTAGGATTTTCAAGATTTTCTTTTGATTTATATATTTTGCTTTATTATTTTGTAGGCATAAATTTATTGAGATATATCAATATTATAAGTGATCTCTTAGCTAAGATAAATTAAAATTTAATGAATAAATGTATTGAAAGATTTTGATGTAGATGATTTTTAGATTTGCTTTAGTTGCGCTAATGATATATATTAATGATTTTATAAAAAAATATTGATAGACTAAATTAGAGATAAGAGATACAATTCTTTCAATTTAAATTATGGGTCATCACATATTTGGGGCATGAAACATTCTTCGAAACTTGCTTATATTTCGGAGCAATGACCAAATAATAATTGAAGAAGTTTTTAATCACAAGTAAAAAATAATTTGATCAATGCTTATAAAGTTTTATTTTATTTGTTGAAGGTACTAATAACCTCATTAAATAAATAATTTATTAAATTCATCCTCATTTACCCTAAAAATTATAATAATTTAAAATACAAAAAAGTTAAATAATTTAGAATAATAAAAAGTTATAACACACAAATATAAATCGCCTAATCCCCCAATGAATATTTATGGTATGAGTATCTAAAAATATTTTCCCAAAAAAAAAAGTATCTAAAAATAAACCCCGTAAGAACCCTAAAAAATTAATTCCTTCTATTTAAAGCAATCGAAAAAGCCCTCAAAATAATTATAAAGGAATTCTGCAGAGGGCTTCGTCATCCTCTCTGCTAGGTCGGTGATGGCCTGCGAAGTAAACGAGGAAGAGTACGAGGATTATGAGGAAGTGGAATTGGTAGAAGACGTAGAAGGCGAAGATTATGAGGAAGCATTTGAAGAGGAGGAGGCGGAGGTAGAACAGAACGAGGAGGAGAAGGAGATAGAACAGAACGAGGAGGAAGAGATAGAACAAAATAAGGAAGAAGAGGAGGAGATAGAACCAAGCGAGGAAGAGGAGGAGATAGAACCAAGCGAGGAAGAGGAGGAGGAGGAGATAGAACCAATCGAGGAAGAAGAGGAGGCGGAGATAGAACAAAATAAGGAAGAAGAGGAGGAGATAGAACCAAGCGAGGAAGAAGAGGAGGAGGAGATAGAACAAAATAAGGAAGAAGAGGAGGAGATAGAACCAAGCGAGGAAGAAGAGGAGGAGGAGGAGATTGAACAAAACGAGGATGAGGAAGAAGAGGAGGAGATAGAGCAAAAAGATGAAGAGGAGGAGATAAAGCAGAACAACAAGGAGGTGGAGATCGAACGAAACGAGGAAGAGGAGGAGGATGAGAAGAAAGCGGTTAAAGTTCTGAAAGTTAAAGAAGAAGAACAATCTATTGAAGACCCAGTAAGGAAGGAAAAGAAATCGGCAAATCCTGAAAATATGTCGGAATCGGAAGGAAAGGCGCTCCCACGGCGCACGGCGTTTCCCCCTTTCCTCCAGTCTGTGAGCGATCTAGAAAAGCTCCATTGCGCTCTCTCAAAGTTCCTATACCAATGGAATTGTCTCAATCAATCGCTTGACTCGATCGGCGCCGCCATCGATGCACACGCACCACCCCAGCACGATGTACGTTCGCCCGAGCAAGAGAAGGATGAGCTCATCGAGCAAAAGAAAGAGAAGGACGATAGAAGCGAACAGGATAAGGAGAAGGATGAGCGTAGCGAGCAGGAGAAGGAGAAGGATAAGCGCAGTTGCGAGATCCTTTGCGAACAGATGCAGGGGAAAGCACTTCGGAAGTACATTGAATCTAATTTCTACGCTGTCGATCGTCTTCGTCAAGAGGTGCCTGAGGCCCTCCGCCGCTTCCGAGACCCGGAACAGCTCGTGTTTAAAGCCATAGGAGAGTTTTGGAAGGAGGGAAGCCGGCCTTCCAAAATCAACCCGCCTCTTCTTTTGCCTCGCCGCGGGAGCATTCTTTTGCTAGAGTTTTTTGTGCTCTCGGGCCGTCCCACTGTAGCAGACTCTTCGGTGAAGCAAAAGGCAAAGCTTGGAGCCCTAAGCTGGTTGAAGCGGCTTGTTAAGGAAAACATCGAGTCTGCAACCGCAGTGGATTCCCTTGGCCTCATCCTATACCTAGCATGTTTTGGCATTCCAAAGGAATTTGGTTCCAAGGATCTCTGCGTCCTTCTCCTGAAGAGTAATCTGAAGATAAATATCGATGTCTTCCTTAAGTCAAGCATCCTAGTTGAGAGGATCCCGGGTACAATAACAGCTTCTTCCTGAATTTTCTAAATATATATTTTGTTTGAAATGTCAAAGATGAAATATCAAACCCTACTTAGTGATTAGAAACTTATGCGCTACAAAATTGCTGATAGGATATTTGTTCAATAATTAATTATTTAAAATCACTTTTATTTGGTATTGATCCAACTCGTTGAATTTTGCTTCATGAAATTAGTGCTCCTAGCAAAGTTTGCCATGTGAATGAAAAAGCCACTTGAAACTTTCTTTCAAATTCAGCCTGGGTTGACATGAAGGTGACTTTTTGCCATTATTTGCATAGCACCACTTTTATTTTTGATAAAGCTACTGATCCAGCCACCACATATATATTTTTTTGGACATTTAGGCCATTTAAGGCAAACTAACACACAACGCATACACAAAGACTCGAATCCAAGACCTCTTAGTTGGAAGCCTAAGCTCTCAACCAATAGGGCAACATGAGCTGTGCCGGCCACCACATATACTAATCGCAATACTACCGCCTCAACTGTACAAAGCCTGCTCCACTCCTTTGATTCCTTGCCATAGCTGCAGAACACTTAGGCTTGGTTTGGGTCAACTTTCTTGTTGATTCTTAAAGCAACTTTTTAGTACAAGAAAGCCGTCCCAAACGAAGCCTTAATCTCAGTCATTCATATATAACAACCTGTTTTATTTACAACCATTAGATACATTTATGTTTACTGTTTGTGATGTATTTATAGTAGTAGTATACATATGCTGTAATGTGTGATAGATACAATGGTTGTTTTTTACTCATAGCTTTGTATTATTTTATCTTCTTTCAATATCAGTAAAACCTGCTTCTACAATTGTAACTTTAGATGCCTATAAGAGTATCTAGCATTGTTGTGACTGATAATCATATGACTGTATCCAATGTAGAAGAATTATTGGTAAAACTAATTGAAAAAGTAAAAAATAAAGACCATAATTATGGAAACTGGCTGTAGAGAAAGGTGTTTAGTAACTTGAGCGTTGTTTTCATTGTCAACCAATTCTTAACCTTGGTTGTTACATGTTTCTTGATTGAAGGAAAAAAATAATTAATTATTCGTCTCGCAAAAGCTGGCTTCATATTCAACTTAAATAAATAATAAAGAAAAATTCATAGTTAGGGTCACTTATGATGATAGTATTTGCCGGTCATAGTTAATTGTCTAGAGGTGCTATATTTTGATAGTATGGATCTGCAGAATGAAGATGCACTAGTTTGCCACTTCACCTTTTTATTATTCTCTTTGCTAGCTGGGAGGCTAACCGCAATGGAAATATTTTTGTTGCGCCGTACTACCATCATGCACTTTCAATGTCTGTGTGGCATATGCTTTTATTGGTACATGGAGCAATAATAAGAAAAGATGCAAGGTTTCGATCTCCTTTTGGTGGCATCACTGTATGCTTGCCCAAGTTTTACCTATGGATAGTTTCTCCATATGTCTGATTGATAGTTCTGAGGAGGAATGCATGAGGAATCGGAACCAATTCTGACATTTATAGCATAAAACATCCTATAAATTTAGTTTTGAGGCTTTATGCTTGCTTGTGTGATGATAGGTTAGTGGGGTAGTGAGACAGGATGACCTTGAGAGAACTACAAATGACAGTGATGATGGAAAAATTTGTAGGATTGATAAAAGTAAGGAGGAAATCTTAAGATTAGCTAACTTTTTCTTATCCAAATTATTTTGGATTAGCTTAATGAATTCTCGTTTTCAATTCTTTCTTATTGAGTGTTGTTTGAAGTGTTAAACTTAAACATATTCTTTTTAAATCATTTTGAAGAACTTTTGTTTATTTTAGCGCAGGGCTATCATTTCTTGTTTATAAAGCTCCAAGAATAATCTCTCTTATCTAATTGGCGTATTTTTATTATTCTTCATGCATGTTTGGACCATTAACATATATTTTTGAATAATCTTATCTTAAGTAAATGATATTCTAAAATTTTCTTTAATAATCATTCCTTAATTTATTATTTTTAATTTTTCCATTTATCCATCTTAACATTCTTATTTATACCAATCTCATTTTTTCTATCATAGGGTTTTTACCGCCCAATACTCGAATCAATATAACATCATCGACTAAATGTATGGTTTTATAAAATATACCTTTAAGTGCTTATGATATCCTCTCTTCTTATAACATTTTAGAGACACTTTTCTATCTTAACCACTAAACTTTAACTTAAAAAGTTATTATCATCATCATCCATATCCCTAATGTTTTGTATAATAAATCCAATATACTTAAACTTATCAAATTGCATATCACTTTATCTCTCAAATAGTATTGAGTGATAATTATTAATATTATTCTCTAAAAATGGATTTCACTCGTGCAATCTTTTTTCTACTATTTTTAAAGTCTCAACCTTTTAAATATTTTCTTTGCAATTATTTTAATATATATCTCACTGATTAGCACTGCCGTATGCCAAAAGTATACAAAAAGCACTTCACTATAATGATTCTTTTTAAGCATCTCTATTATAAATACAAAACGATATGAACTGAATGATGGTTTTTGATGTAATCTTACTGTAATTTAGAATTCTTTGGCCACCACTTAGTCACTTTCAATACCAATGATTCATTATACATGTCTTAATTAACTTCAACATATCGTTTACACATGCTATTCCTCTTTAATGCACATGAAACCAATTATCATAATTCTTGATCATTTGTCTTTTACAAGTCAATAAAAATCATTTGAAGATCCGTTCTTTGCTCTCAATACTTTTCTTTTAATTCTTTTAGAGAACAATTCTTTTCCTTTTAGATTTTTCATGAAATCAAAATGATTCTCCTAAGTTGATTTCAAGTTTCTAAGTTTATGTTACATTAATTGATTATTTTATTTAATCTCATTACTTATAAAATTAATTCCTTTATTGTTAAAATGATTTTGAACATGTTTTGTGTTCTTAAAAAATATTTATACTAGAATGCTTCTCCAATCATTAAACACCTCTGTCTTTAAAATGTCATTAAAAATAATTTGTACCTAAAGTTTTACTTTTTATGTATTTTCTTTAGAGGTATCTTAAGTTCATTTTTTTGGATTAATCCTTAATATACCTCATTAATTTGTTCTCTACACAATTCTAAGATAATTTTTTCTTTGGGACTACTACTTAGGGTTTGTTTGTAATGGCTTTAGTTGTCTATAAAATTATTTATTGACTTTTGTAGGAAAAATAGAAATTTTGACAATTGTCTGGAACTATAGGTTTTTTGTCTCTAGAGAAAGTCATCCAATATCTTTCTTACTACTACCACACTCTAGCAAATCTATATGTGAAAAGCTTATTATTTCTAAAAATTAGCAAGTTGTGGCCAAACAGAAGTGTGACAATGGTTTGTAAAATAAGAAAACTAAAAGCCTCACGAAGAGTGTAGTAAGCAAAACAAAAACTGCATATTTTGATGATTTATATAATAGACTTTGATAAAAAAAGTGAAAATAAAATATATATAGATTAACTAAGACAATAGATAAGAGATTTAAAGATTTGAACAAATTAGATGCATTAGAGGCAAAAATAACAATATCTTAGTTAAAGATGAAGACATCAGGAAAAGATAAAAAAGTTATTTTGATAAATTATTAAGAGTGCATTTGGGATAGATTTCTATTTTTTCCCTCTCTTGAAAAGCACCTTTACTTTTCTTAATAGCATTATATATGTTCTCAATCAATCACCAAGTTTTCTTTTCTTGTTAATGCTTGATATATTTATAGACTCTCTCCTAAAACTCATATTTTACCTTTTGTAAAAAAGAAACTAACCATCTTATCTATATATTTTTTTATTAGATCAACTAAATATCTAATTTTTTTCCTTTAGTAATATATCTTGAAATATTAATAATTTATTATTTTTCAAAATTTGCCACTTTATTCTATGATAATTATTTCCTTATAATTATACATCTACAATTAATACTTTATATCGTGTGGTCAAACTCTATAGATTCTCACATTACATCTACCTTCTTTTTCATACCAATCAGGAATCCTATCATAGCTATTTTACTAAAAACCTATATATCTATTTAAGTTTTCTCTAATGAACACTCTTTCATCATAATAGTTCACTCATCTCTTCCTAAAATTGATTTTTTAATGTTGGTAAAATTAGGAAACAATATTTATTTCTATATTGAGCTAAGTTGAAATGAAAGCAAGTAAACTAGGAATATATGTTTGAGTTAAAAACTCCATTATTTTAGCCGTTGACGCCACTTTGATTCTTGCTGTCGTTTCTCCTAATTGACATTATCCACGATACTTCATCATAGCCATAATCCAGGCCTTCAGAAAATCAATTCCTCAATTCATACTTTTAGCTGGTTTCCTGCCTATTTCATCCAACACTAATTACCCATGTGTGCTGTACATGGATTTTGTATTGCCTTATTTGTTTTAATTGGAACATCAATTCATTCTATAGCTGCTGTACTAAGAAAATTTGGGATGTTGTCCAAGAGATCTACTGTGATTTAGAAAATACAATCCATTTTTTTGAAAATTAGATGTAAAATTAGAAATGCCTGGCAATGAAAAATCTTTTGCACCAAATTCTACTAATTGAGTTTTGGTTGGAAATGGATCTATTCTATGAAGTCAAATAGAGTTGTTTCGAGTGATGTAGAAAATACAAAAATATATTGAAGAAAGAATGGGTGTTTGATTTTTTTTTCCCAAGAGCTCAGCTCTGCTTTAGATGAAATTTGATGAAGATTACTTGAAATGAAACCTTTTTTGTAATTCAGGTCTTCTTTATTGATGTAAGGAGAGAAGAAAGTAGATGATGGGTAATAATGAGTTGAACACCAAACTTATTAGATATCAAAAGATCGACACTCACTAGTTTCAGAATATGCTAGATCCACAACTATGGTTGCCTTCAAGAAGCATGGAGGGAAGCTCTTAAGTCAAAGAAAAGGTATAGTAGCACTGCCATAATTCATATTACAACGTGATCAATGTTGGGAGATACTGGTGGAAGTAAGATTTTGTAAAAAAAAATTGAATGTCTTCTTTCTCTTACAATTTAGACAAACATAGATAGAACCAACAATACTATTATAAGAGACACACTTAACAACTTCAACTTGTAAAAAAAAAACAACACTTTCATAGGACATAACACCATACAAATTATAAATATTAAAAGAAGAAGGATATAGATGGGGTGGGAACTGTTGATAGAGAAGAAGAGGTAGAAAAACAAGACAAAATAGTAGAGAGGAAGGGGAAAGGAGGCTAGGTCGCAAGCTAGAATAAAATCTGCATGTTACATTCCAAAAATCAGTCACACACTCAAAACAATGAAAACCAGCTCCTATTTATAGGGAAAAAAGGGAAAAACAATAAATGGGAAAAAAACAAAAAATGCAAGTAATTAAAGCACCTCTCATCCAACCAATAGGAGCGCCTCAAAACTGCAGCAAATAGGGACCGAAGGGACAACTACCAAGGGGGAAACCGAAGCACCAAGGGGGGAAAAACCAAAGCATCAACACATCTTTTAATGATCAGGAAAAAAAAAGAACTGCAGCAAAACCAAAAGGACAGCTAGCTTGCCTACATCAGATACGTTACAAACTAAAAATTTGAAATCCTCAAATCCATAAAGGGGTCGAGCTAGACAACTCATATTGACGAAATGGATATAACTAAGTTTCTATGTTTCACTTTTGAACACATGTAGACACTTTACCAACTATTTAATCAACCAAAGAAAAAAGAATGAAGGCCAGACTCAAGGCACAAAAAAGTCTATGTTTGCTTGCTTTTGCTTGACGTGGTAGACATGGTAAAGATGGAAAAAGCAACCTCTTTTATAAAATTGCAAAGAAATTTTGGGATGTTGTCCAAGAGATCTACTATGATTTAGAAGTACAACCCAATTTTTAAAAATTAGATGTAAAATTAGAAATGCTTGACAACATAAAAACTTTGTCACCAAATACTACCAATTGAGTTTTGGTTGGAAATGGATCTATTCTATGAAGTCAAATAGAGTTGTTTCAAGTGATGAAGAAAATATAGAAATATATTGAAGAAAGAATGAGTGTATGATTTTTTTCCAAGAGCTTAGCTCCACTCTAGATGAAATTTGAGGAAGATTACTTGTAATGAAACCTTTTTTGTAATTCATGTCTTCTTTGTTGATGTAAGGAGAGAAGAAAGTTGATGATGGGTAATGACGAGTAGAACACCAAACTTATTAGATATCAAAAGTTCTGCACTCACTAGTTCCAGGACATTCTTGATCCAAAACTAGGGTTGCCTTCAAGAAGTATGGAGGTCGAAGCTCTCAAGTCAAAGAAAATGTATAGTAGCATTGCCACAATTCATATCACAACATGATCAGTGTTGGAAGGTATGTTATAAACTAGAAATTCGAGAGCCTCAAATCCAGAAAGGGTTTGAGCTAGACAACTCATATCGGCGGAATAGATAACTATGTTTCCATGTTTCACTTTTGAACACATGTAGACACTTACCAACTATTTAATCAACCAAAGAAAAAAGAATGAAGGCGAGGCTCAAGGCACAAAAAAGTTTATGTTTGCTTGCTTTTGCTCGACATGGTAAATATTGGAAGAACCAACCTCTTCTATGAAATTACAAAGAAAATTTGGAATGTTGTCCAAGAGATCTACTGTTATTTCGAAAATACAACCCACTTTTTTTGAAAATTAGATGTAAAATTAGAATACCTGACAACGAAAAACCTTTGTCACCAAATACTACCAATTGAGTTTTAGTTGGAAATAGATCTTTTCTATAAAGTCAAATAGAGTTGTTTCGGGTGAGGGAGAAAATACAAAAATATATTGAAGAAAGAATGGGTGCTTGATTTTTTTTTTTCAAGAGCTCGGCTCATCTCTAGATGAAACTGAGAAAGATTACTTGAAATGAAACCTTTTTTGTAATTCATGTCTTCTTTGTTGATGTAAGGAGAGAAGAAAGTAGATGATGGGTAATGGCGAGTCGAACACCAAACTTATTAGATATCAAAATATCGGCACTCAATAGTTTGAGGACATGCTTGATCCACAACTATGGTTGCCTTCAATAAGTATGGGGGTTGAAGTGCTTAAGTCAAAGAAAAGGTATAGTAGCACTACCACAATTCATATCACAGCGTGATTAGTGTTAGGAGATATGTTATAAACTAGAAAATTGAGATCCTCAAATCCATAAAGGGGCCGAGTTGGACAACTCATATTGACAAAATAGATATAACTAAGTTTCTATGTTTAACTTTTGAACACATGTAGACACTTTGCCAACTATTTAATCAACCAAAGAAAAAAGAATGAAGGCGAGGCTCAAGGCACAAAAAAGTCTATGTTTGTTTGATATGGTAATGCAAGTTATTCCTTATTCTAAAAAATTGAAACATGTTGGATTATTGACATATGCGCATTAGATCATATGATGGGTTCACTCCAATCATTTGAATTTACACTAAGATTGATTACCTTATTGATATTTGAGTGACTAATGGTAAGAAATCTTTAACATTGGTATGAGGAAAGGTTTACTTATGAGGTCTACTATTGAAGTATGTTTTATGCATGTTCAAGTTAATTTACCCTTATTATTCGTTAGTAAGTTGGCCAAATGTATGAAATGTAAAGTAATTTATATCTTCTCTTATTGTAATTTTCAGGTCCAAGTTTTGGAAAAGTTTATTGACAGCACTAATGAAAAGAATGGGTTATACCAATTTATCACCAACAAAACTCCTCATAATCTCCATAATACCATGGGTTACTCTCCGCTCTCAAACTCCAAATTATGTTATGATATAAGTGTATAGGATATTCTTGTTTTTTCCTTTTAAAAAAACTTATTAATAAAATTGTTCTCTCTTTCACTCCACCTTGTGTCTTTGGCTTTTTGTTATAATAAAATTAAGTCAAAGCTAAGATGAAAATTATTTAGAAATATTTTGACAAAATAGGATTAGCACAACAATTTAGCTATAAATATGAATGAATGATGATTTATGATTGAATATCAAGCCCAAATAGCATGAATTAGGGGTGTAAGTGAGTCAAGTTGGCTTGTGAGACTCAAACTTGACTCTCTCACAAGTCGAGCTTAAGTGGTTTTTAGCTTGTTGTCTTGATTAGAAACTCTAAATGCGTTTTTGTCCATGTGTTTTTTTTTTTAAATTTTAAACTCAGTTTCCCGCTACTTTCTAGCACTCATGTTGCTAAACCTATCGATGCATTCTACAACAAACTCCTGCCGTGATTTCTGTTGGACTAATCGATGTCTTCTATAATGAACAACAAACCTCAGTGGTGACTTCTATTGGGCATGTTGATGCCTTCTACAACGAAGTCCATCCACAAACTTTTGCAACTGGACCCGTTGATGCCTTCTATGGTCTTATCGCTTCATTTTCCTATGTAGGTCTTGACGTCCTATCGCTGCCATTCTCCAGCGTGATCCCGAGCAAGCTACCTCGTTGTGTCCTCCCGCGAGGTCACAAGGCTCTCGTGCCCACTATTTTTCTATCAAGCTTAGCTTGAGCTCACTAAAAGAACTATGAGTTCGAGCCTACCTCTAAGTATATAAAGTTGAGATTGAGCTAGTTTTGAATCGAGCTCGATTTGACTCTTTTACACCCCTAACCTGAAGTCTTATAACTATTTTCTTACAACAGTAGGTTTTCTAAAGATCATTATCCTTAATGGAATAAATTGTATTAATGTTTTCTGCACATTGCAATATGTAGTTGCTTGTGTTTATAAAATATATATATATATATATATATATATATATTATTGTTTAGCAATATCGACAAAAAATTGAACTCGTTCATATGGATGTAGCTGATTCTTATTCTTTGCAGGTGTTATCAAGGATTTAATCAGAGGGGAAATGTATCTTGAAGCTGCTGAACTTTCTTGCTATTTTGGGCTAACTGATACATTCCCCCCGTTGCCTTTGTTGTCATCCGGTGTAGCAAAAGTCCTTCAAACTGGAACGCAAGAGCGACAAAAATATCGAGATTTGCCAAAGTCAAAGGTATGATCTATCTTCTTTTAGCGCAAATCACTGACAACTTAGAAAACTCTGACTGAAGCATCCTTGAATTCACGCAATCATCTTCGAGTGCAATGACTCAAAATCTTGATATTTATGCCATTTTAAATAATTTTTCTCATCGCATTGTACCGATTGTTGATTTTTAATGAAAATTTTAATAAGAAGTTTGAGAACTGATAACTGATAAGAGTATGCACCTTCTGCTGCTATTACGCTCAGTAAACTATAATTTCATTATACATTCGAAGCTACTTTTATAATATATTCTTATTTAATTTGTCATAGAACGAAGCCTATATCCGGGAATTAAAATCACTGAGATCAGTTGTCCAGTGTCTCAAGGACCACAATTTTGTCGAACGTAAATTCGATTCTATAAGCCTTACTGAAAGGATTTCTAAATTAGAAAGAATCGTTGAGAAGGCTGAAAAGCCAGTCGAGAACAAGATTCGGAAGAGAAAAGCTAAACATCTTAAGGCCGGCAAGAAATCTAAATCTCAATCCAAAGAATCAGTTCCTTCTACATCAGAAGCAGCCCAACTTGCTCCTTCACGTATGATTCAGGATAAACCAGAGCCAGGATTTCCATCACAGCCTCTATTTCCTGAGTCAAAAGTAGAAAATTATGTTCTTTCAGCAGAAGTTAGTAACACCAGAGATTATCCTTATCTTTGGGAAAGAAAATATTTTGACTCTTCAACCGGTTACAGATCTTTGGCCATGGAATATTCTTCAGCTCAACATTTCAGTCAGCCACAGCCTTCTTTATACGGAAATAGTGGTGGGATTACGGGTCGAAATCTGTATCAGTTTGCTGATACTGCCATTCAAGAAGAAGCACAACTCGCTAAATCCAGTAGATGCAGCAACACTTCTCCATCTGGTTCTAAGTTTGGTCGCTACTGATTCAACGTGGTGGCTTTTGTTCTGGCTTTACCTTTTTAACTTGTTTTATAAGATTATATGTTTTATTATGAGTAGGATGTTTTAATGATAGTGAACTGTAAACCATTGTAATTCAGGGATGTATGAAAATGTATTGGTGTTCTTCTGTGGCCATATCTTGACTTGAAAATTTCACCAAATATATATTTCTGTGTTGATGTTATTCATCTCCTGAAAATATTTTTATATAACATGTGTTTTCCTTATATTTTTTTGAACAATCTTTTTTATAAATTATTTGCGGATTTAGCAGATAGTATAAGCAATAACTCTTATACTGCCATAGCCGCACAGCTCCTCAACTCCTGTCACCTGTGCAGCTTTTGTCTGCCATCAACAGTACTACATTAATCCTCACCATTGAACTCTAACTGATTTTGATCTCACCGTCCATAGCTTTCTTAGCCATATGCATATATTGTAAATGCCAAGGAGATGAATATAGATCAGATCATATTTTGGCTCGGTATTTTCTTCCTCTGCTGCATTTTATCTTCCTTCTGCTCTATCCTTTAGTTCTCTGTTTCTGTTGTATGCTTTGATTTGCAGGTTAAAGCTGAAGAAAGTTATCATGGTATCAGAGCATCAGGCATACATTCTCACAGTTTTTATTCCAGTAAACTCAAAGATTTCAAGAGATGAGTACAGCAGAATCTTCCACCAACTCTGCTCTAGCTTCTTCCCAAGTACCGGTCAAAATGAGTGAAGTAACGATCCCCTCTCAACTAAAATTTCTCATGCTTAATGTGAAAGGCTGTGATGAATGCCCAGTTAAATGTTGACAACTATCCTCTTTGAACATCCCAAGTGCTGAAACTGTTCACCGCGAATGGCTTTGACGGATACTTGGATGGATCTACGCCAAAACCAGTAAAACATATAGTTTCAGAATCTGGACAAATCATCCCGAATCCACAGTATCACACTTGATCCTTATAGATCAAAATTTCGCTGCAGCTCTCTATTCGATCATCTCACTAAGTCTCTTACCTTACATTCTCAACTTGGAAACATGTGTGGATATTTGGAAAACAATTGAGCGGAGACTGCAGTCTCCTTAAAGAGCGAACTGCATCACATCTCAATGAAGGATAGAACAATGATGCAGTATTTATCTGATATCAAAAGCAAATGTGATGCTATAGCTTCCTCTGACACACCCTTAGATTCCGAAGATGTCAAAATGTATACCTTGAACGGACTACCTCCAACGTATCAACCATTTAAAATAGCTATTCGCACACAACTGCAGCCAATTAATTTAGATTATTTCTATGCATTACTATGGAGTGAAGAGCTTAATATAGCAGTTGAAAATGCTCGAGAAACTCAACTTCTTCCATCAGCCGATCATCAACTTGCTCTTGCAGCCGGTCGAGGGCATGGACGCTTCTGTTCCAACTCAAACAGAGGAAGAGGTCGCTACAATACTGCAGCTACTACTACAACAGCTCAAAATAGGCTACCTGGACGATCAACAAACGCCTACATTGAGTGTCAAATTTGTCGCAAACTAGGCGATTCAACATTTAAATGTTGGCATAGAGCCAACCTTCACTATCAGCCACAAAACCCATAAGCGTTTGTTGCAAGTTCTGCTTCAGAAACTTCAGATTGGATGCTTGATTCTGGTTTTACTTCTCTCCTCTTGTCCAATCTTAACTTGATTCACCAACCTCATACATATACGGGAAATCAACAGGTTCAGATAGGCAATGGTGACATGCTACCTATCACTCATGCTAGACAAGGCCTACTTCCTACCCCCAACGTAAGCTACATCTACATCCTTTACTTCATGTCCCTTCTCTTTCCCATAATTTAATCTCTATACACAAACTCGTGAATGACAATTCATGCTCCATTACATTTGACAAATTTGGCTTTGCTATAAAGGATTCGACGAGCAATCATACACTTCTCCAAGGTCCCTCCCATCAAGGCCTTTATAGACTCAAAGCTCCACCACCCAACAACACTTTATCCATTGCACTTCTCAGCACACTTTGGCACGCCGCTTGGGCCATCCATCAACTTCTCTACAAGCGGATTTACGTACATCTTTTAAATTTTGTAGTTCCAACTTTCATTGTAAAGCTTGTGCTCTTTCCAAGAGTCACAAACTACATTTTTCTTGTTCTTCAAGTTGTAGCAAACAACCTTTAGATTTGATACATACCGATGTATGGGGTCCTTCCCCAATTTTTTCAAACCAATGTTTTAAATATTATGTATTGTTTGTGGATGATTATTCTCGTTATTGTTGGAATTTTCCTATAAAACAAAAATCTGAAGCTCATTCCAAATTTTCACTGTTCAAATCTTCTGTTGAAAATCAATTTAACAAACAAATTAAAGCTCTTCGATCTAATAATGGTGGTGAGTTTGTTAACTCTATTTTCCAAACCACATTACAGAAGTCTGATATCATCCACCAATTAACATGCCCATACACACCATAGCAAAGTGGAATTGCAGAACGAAAACATCATCGTATTATTGAAACCTTACGAAGCCTTCTGTTGGATGCAAACATTCCATTATTCTTTTGGCCAGACACTTTACTTACTGTCATTTACCTAATAAACCGGCTACCTATCTCTCTTACACCCAAAATGTCTCCATTTCAACGCCTTTATAAAAAACAACCAGATTACAAAAGTTTTAAAACTTTTGGTTGTTTATATAGTCCTTGGTTGCCTACTCTTCCTAAACATAAATTCGATCCAAAATCTTCAACTTGTGTCTTCCTTGGGTATGCCTCAAACTCTAAAGGTTATAAATGCTACAATCTCCAAACATATAAAATTTTCATATCTAGGCATGTTCAATTTTTTGAACATATCTTCCCATTTAAATCATCCACAAACACCACACCATCTTCCACATTTCCTACATACTCTCCTCCATTAACCTTAGTCCCACTCCACAAACAGACATCTCATTTACCTACTTCCCCTACAATATCCACAGATACCTTCACCAAAGATTCTCCCATAACTCAACCAAATCAATCCACCTCAATTATCCAGCCTCAAACAATTTCGCCCAACCTTGTAGCTCCACAAAATTCGCTACCCCTTACCTCGCCCGTCCACCCTACCTCTCCACCACATCAACCTCCACCACATCCAATGTTATCAAGATCCAGAACGGGCCACCTCAAACCAAAGCACATCATTAGCATGTCACATTCCCTTCAACCTGTTGATCCCACCTATTACTCTCAAGCTTCCAAGAATCAAATTTGGTGTCAAGCCATGTCAACAGAATTTGACGCTCTTCAAGCTCAAGGGACTTGGATTCTAGTGCCCCCATCACCTAATCAAAATGTATTTGGATGCAAGTGGATTTATAAAACCAAATACAATGCAAATGGCTCTATAGCTCGTCACAAAGCTCGTCTTGTTGCGCATGGGTTTAAACAAGAATATGGTTTGGATTACTTAGAAACCTTTAGTTCGGTGACTAAATTTCCAACTATCCGAATACTTCTAACAGTGGTTGTTACACACAAATGGAAAATACTACAATTAGATGTTTCAAATGCTTTTTTACATGGAGATCTAAATGACACCGTATATATGGCTCAACCAATTGGCTTTATTGATCCCTTACATCCTGACCATGTTTGCTTTCTCAAAAAGTCCATTTATGGATTGAAACAATCGCCTAGGCAATGGTTGTCAAAATCTCAGTCATCCATTGACATTTGATCCCACGGTCAGGATGAGAATCCGTGGGAGGCTCACCTAGATCACGCTAATATCCTTCTATATTTGGGTAGCTGAATTAGGAAGGATTATATTGAGGCAATTATGTATCAATTAGAAGTTATTTATTTTTTTATTAAGACATCTTGTATAGATCTATAAATAGGGATAATTTTGTATAATAATTAGTAGGTGTTTTTACCCTTATCAAATTCTATGAATTCTAACATGATATCAGAGCCAAAGAAAATCGGGCGGCCTTCATTGCCGAATGTTCCAAGCTTCTAACGCTGCAAGAAGCCGCGGACCCTTCAAGATGCAAGCGCAACCACGGACGAAACCCTCGATCCTGCCAGTTGCTGCCCCAGACGGAAGCTTCGATTCCGCTAAACACCGGCGTCGCAGCAGGGTCCAAACTTGCGCGAGCGTAGATGAACATCACGAAAGGAGCCGAAAAAGCGCCTCCTGTGAAGCACCCGAAGCCGAACGAGAGAGACGTCGAAGGAGGATAGTCGAACAACCACAAACGAGCCGAAGGAGCGAAACTTTCGATCCGACCGAAAGGGAAAATCGTCGAAGGAGTGCAGTCGAACAACCACAAAGGAGCCGAAGAAGCGACACACCTCCTACGAAGTAACGAAGTCGTTGCCATCCTGATCGATGCCATCTGTCATCTTCTGGAATTGCACGACGAAAACCCCTTCGCCGAGGCCGTGCATCACGCGTGGGAGCTCCTCCGCCGATAACGATCTGTTGCGATCAAGATCGAAGACAGAGAAAGCGTGGCGGAGATCCTTGAGTGCTGCTATGGAATCAACCTTGCTAGTATTCAGATCCACGAACTCCTCAAGACTGATGAAGCCATCATTGTCGGCATCGACCTCGCTCATCACTTGAGCGAGCTCCACAGCTAACGCCGTGTGCCCTAGGCTATCGAAGATGGCGCCTAGCTCCAATGACGAGATCTTTCCATCATCGTTAGAGTCAAATTTCCGAAAAACGAGTTTGATCTCTTGTGTCACCACTACAGCAACTTCCAGTGAAGTTGGCTCCGAAGCCTCTCCACTGGATGGGGTGGCCTTTGATTTTCTTAAACAGACTTCTGCTTGCGTAGCTACTCGGTTCAAGTCATAAAAGACCAGTCGGTTATTTCAACAACAACAAAAAGGAGTGAATCATCGACTTTTATTGTTGACATAATCAAATCAGCCTTTATTACTGGTATAATAAAATCATCCTTTATAACTGGTATAAACAAATAAGCCTTTATTGCTGATGAAATCAGCCTTTATTGCTGATACAAGCAAATCAGCCTTTATTGCTGACATGATCAAATCAGCCTTTATTGCTACTATATCACAATACAGCCTTCATTGCTGGAAACTTGAGGAATAAAAAATTCCCACCACCGGCCTTCATTGTCAGAATTTTGAGGACAGGTTCCCACTACCGGCCTTCATTGCAGGAATTATGAGGAATACAAGTTCCCACAACCAGTCTTAATTGTCAGAATTTTGATGATAGTTTTCCATCATCGGCCTTCATTGCCAGCTTTCTCTTGTGGTTGATATCCTATCTATAACCAATGCAGCTCTAACTTTGAGCGAGTAATTGCAAGCTGGTCTCCAGCTTGAAGGGGAGTGTCAAAATCTCAATCATCCCTTGGCATTTGATCCCACGGTCAGGATGAGAATCCATGGGAGGCTCACCTGGATCACGCCAATATCCTTCTATATTTGGGTAGCTGAATTAGGAAGGATTATATTGAGGCAATTATGTATCAATTAGAAGTTATTTATTTCTTTATTAAGACATCTTGTATAGATCTATAAATATGAATAATTTTGTATAATAATCATAAGGTATTTTTATCCTTCTCAAATTCTATGAATTCTAACAATATAGTTTGGATTACTTAGAAACCTTTAGTTTGGTGACTAAATTTCCAACTATCCGAATACTTCTAACAGTGGTTGTTACACACAAATGGAAAATACTACAATTAGATGTTTCAAATGCTTTTTTACATGGAGATCTAAATGACACCATATATATGACTCAACCAATTGGCTTTATTGATCCCTTACATCCTGACCATGTTTGCCTTCTCAAAAAAGTCCATTTATGGATTGAAACAATCGCCTAGGCAATGATTTGCAAAATTCTCCACACATTTAATCAATTTTGGCTTTCAACCAAGTACAACCGACCCATCCTTACTTCTGTATCAACATGATTCCAAGCTCTTATTCATTTTGATCTATGTTGATGACATATTATTGACCGGCAATGACGAGCAACTCATCAATCACCTCAGACGGGATCTACATGCTCATTTCAACTTGAAAAATCTAGGCCATATCCATCATTTTCTTGGCATAAATGTTCAGTTGACATCAAATGGATTGTTTTTAACTCAAGAAAAATATGCCTCATCAATTCTGACAAGAGCAGGAATGGATCATTGCAAGTATTTAACTACTCCCACGGCCGTTAAAAATTCTGTTTTGCCCGAAAATGACAAACATTTTTCAAATCCGGAATTATATAAACACTTGGTTGGGTCACTCCAATATTTGATAGTTACAAGACCTGATCTTTCCTATACTATCAATAAACTATGCCAATTCATGTATCAGTCATCAAACACACATTTTTCTCTTCTCAAACGACTTTTACGTTATCTCAAAGGTACATTGGTTTTTGGCCTAATGATTCAACCAACTGATCTACAATTATGTGCGTTTTCCGATTCAGATTGGGCAGGAGATACAACAGACCAAAAGTCTACCACAGGCTACTGCTCTTATCTAGGTCAAAATCTCATCTCTTGGAAAGTTAAAAAGAATAAAATAGTAGCTCGTTCATCCACTAAAGTGGAATATCGTTCTCTTGCTACTACTGGCGCAGACTTAATATGGCTGAGACGCCTTCTTTTAGAATTCAAGATTCCTACAAGTGAGCCAACTGATATTTTGTGACAACGTCTCTGCAATAGCCTTAGCAAATAATCTTGTGTTTCATGCTTGCACCAAACATATAGAGATAGATTATCATTATATTCGAGATTGTGTCAAAAATCTATCTATCTCCATTCGGCACATCAACACTATTGATCAAATGGCCGATATTTTTACCGAACCTTTGTCTTCAAAACGGTTTCAAGAGCTACATCACAAGCTTACACTCGTTGACACGAGTGTCATCTTGCGGGGGGTGATAAGCAGATAGTATAAGCAATAGCTCTTATACCGCCATAGCCGCACAACTCCTCAACTCTTCTGTCACCTATGCAGCTTTTGTCTGCCATCAACAGTACTGCATTAATCCTCACCATTGAACTCTAACTGATTTTGATCTCACCGTCCATAGCTTTCTTAGCCATATACATATACTGTAAATACCAAGGAGATGAATATAGATCAGATCATATTTTGGCTCGGCAGCTTCTTCCTCTGCTGCGTTTTATCTTCCTTATGCTCTATGCTTTAGTTCTCTGTTTCTGCTGTATGCTTACTTTGATTTGCAGGTTAAAGCTGAAGAAAGTTATCACATCAGAAATCTGTATCAGTTTGCTGATACTGCAATTCAAGAAGAAGCGCAACTCGCTAAATCCAGTAGATGCAGCAACATTTCTCCATCTGGTTCTAAGTTTGGTCGCTACTGATTCAAGCTGGTGGCTTTTGTTATGGCTTTACTTTTTTAACTTATTTTATAAGATTTATATGTTTTAATGATAGTGAACTGTAAACCATTGTAGTTCAGGGATGTATGAAAATGTATTGGTGTTCTTCTGTGGTCCTATCTTGACTTGAAAATTTCACCAAATATATTTTTATTTCTGTATTGGTGGTGTTCATTTCCTGAAAATATTTTTTTTTTATAACATGTGTTTTCCTTATATTTTTTTGAACAATTTTTTTTTTTAAATATAAATTATTTACCTTGTATGGATTGGCAGTATACAATAAAATGCAGTAATTGGTCTCCAACCAAATTCCATTTCTTAACGAAAAAAAAAAAATTCTAGGATATTCTTTCAAATACTTTATTTTATATATTTTTAATCATAAATTTTATTTATCGAATACAAAAAAACAAATGGCGGATGAAGTGCGACCCCAATATTAATGTCACACTGCTCATCCGTAATAAAATAACATTAAAATTGCTGGTCGAATGGAGGATTGAAGAAACGTCATACGTTTGTATTGCGTTCCATTAGAGATGCCCTAACTATCTCTATCAAAACAATCCTATAGAAAATATGATGTTTTTTTTTATATTTTAATTTGTAAATGTCACATGAGTTGGACTGTTGGAGGATCAACGTGTAAATTGAAAATTTATGGACGTTGGACGACTTTTTGACCAAAGCCATTAGGCATTTGCTTGCGTTGCGCGAGGTTAGGTTGGTAGTTGGAGAATGCTTTCCTTTCATTCACTGAAAGGAAATGAATGAAAAATCCATAAATGCGTGAAAGAGAGAGAGAGACGAAGCAGAAGGCTAATCAGAGCTTCTACGCTGCTTTTACATCTCTCATCTCTTGTTCTTCTACGATCTGCTTCCCATCGGATATAGAGTTGCTGTAGTGTTGATGGAGACGGCAAACGCCGTATTTTTTGGCGCTAACTTGGCTATCCCGGCGGTATCGCGAGTTTCTCGTCCACGGGGGAGGATCGGATTTGAGGGCGGCCGGAGGAAATGTATGGCTACGGCCTCGCTTGAAAAGAATGCGGGAACTGGCGGCGGGAGTAATGGGAAGAAGGTTAGTGTGCCTAACTCCAACTACGTTGTACCGCTCGACATGGCGGCGGCGGGTTTAACTCGTCCCCTCAACGAGATCCTGCGAGACCTGAACAAGAGGGTACCGGACAAGATCATCAATCCTGTGGACAACTCCATTCCCTGGTACGCCATTCTTAACTCGCGGACTTTTGATTATTTCGTCGATCGGCTTTTGTTATTTTAGATCTGGTATGATCTCTTGTTGATCGGTTGAAAGAGTGATTTGTATATTCTATTTGTTTTGTTATGGATCTCGGATTATGGAAGCTTTTTACTGTTCTTCTGCTGCTTCGAACTAGATTGTGTTCTTTGATCTGTGCTAGGATTGATGAAGCTGAAGATATTGCATGATGCTAGTGGATAGCAGGAGTAAGAACTCACTTCTGTTTGTTGGGGCATTTGAGGAAGATGTCGAGGTCACTAATTTTTGAACTGTTTAGTCTTGATTGTTTAAACGTCTGTATGTTTCTGGAAAGGTAGATTCTGTGTAAGTGAAGAATAAGCAGAGTGAATTCTTTGAGTCGGTGAGGTGAAAATTCTGATGTTGCTGGAAAAATTCAGAAATTTTGAAGAAGAACAGTTGTAATCAACATTTGTGCAGGGTAACTTCTGGTTTGGAAATTAGGTAAGAGGAAATGAGTTGCTTAATTAACATGCTAATGTGCTTGGAAATGGCCGGCCATGATAGAAAGGTTTTGAAATTTGGTAGTTTATTTTCTCCATTTTATTAATCATAGTGGTGCTACAACCATTGGGCGAATTACGATGAGCTGAATTTAAACATTAATGCAGCTGGTGGAGCATATGTGAATGTTGGAGAATCATGAAAGGATCATAAGACTAGGACATGATGGAAAGTCACTTTTCAGGATAGAAATCACCTTTTCTTATAAATAGTATTACGGAGAATGATTTAGTGATAAACGGAGCAACCTTTAATGACATGGATATCAGGCCTAATTTAAACGTGATTTCACCTTTCAAAAAAGATTTTACACATTAAATAAAACGGTGATTTATATACATACCATCTAATACATCCATATTTACGTATCTTACACCTAATTTTTTTTATTTGTATAATACCTAAAATATTTTAACACTTAAAATACACCCTCTCTTTATCTCTATGGCCTGCCAGAGATTATTGTGTCCAATCTTCGTTAGCTACTCGCATGTGAACTTTCTTCCCACCCTCGACAGGTGCGTGAGCCTCTCCCTCCTATGCGATTTTGCTTGCTCTCTTTCTATCGCTCATGAAACGAGAAGGATGAAGCTTATTGTCATTATAAATGTTCTTTAAAATCAAGTGAGGTAAATTCTTATGCCTAATTTTGAAATTAAAACTTTTACCGAAAAGCGATATGACTTTGGGTAAATTCCTGCCCTTACTTTTAAATCAACCATTCTTTCAATCCTTATGCATGCTTTTAAAATTAAGAATGAAATATCTTTTGGATAGGAGAAATAATTGTTGGAATTTATCAATGAGAGAAAAAGAAGTCGAAGGCGGGCGAGTTCACCTGCTAGAGCAGGTGTTCATTGAGTTCGCCCGCATGGAGCTACCGGAGGATTCGACAGAGTAATCTCCCATAGGGTTAAGGGAGTAATGGAGGGATATATTTGAGATGTTAAAGAGTTTTAGATTTTTTTTTTTTTATGTTAAAGAGTTTTATATGTTATATAAGTAAATAAGAAGTTTTAGGTGTTAGATATATAAATATAGATGTATTAGGTGGTAGGCATTTAAATCCCCTTAAATAAAATTGATGGACTTATAATCAGAAAACATGATTTGCTTGCTTTTTAGTAGGATGGTCAAAGTTTATGTGCTTCATGGCAGCAGATGCAATTCCTCTGTAACCTGTTGTCTTTCTCCAATTGGAAATGGAAATCTTTCTTCTTCATATTTGCATTCTTTCCTCTCATCTTTGTTCCAAAATTTATGAGTTTGCAGAATTCAGCTTAAATTAACTTTGAAGTGCTGTGTTCTGTAAAAGCTTTGGCATCTTCTATGCGCCTGATGTGCTGTTGTCATTATAATTATGATCACCATGCTCACATAGGATACGAGCAATTTTAAGAGTAATAGTATATTGGATTTCCTTACCAGTGTGTGTACTGGGAGGGTTGTATCTACACAGTTTTCAAAACAAGGAATTGTTTGTTGTTTGATGGTTTATTTTCTGGATTCTTTCCCAATGTTATAGCAATTCTCATGAAACAATGCCAGTTGTCTAATAATGCCTGCCTCTACAAGTAAGTCATACTTGCTTAAGGATTCTTTTTTAAGATTGATGATGCCTAAGTCCTGAACATTTCAGGGCCTACCTCCTGAAGCAATTGATGATTTTATTGTCCAGTTTGAAGGGCTCATCATATATGGTCTATTATTAATTTCTCCTGGTAAAAATGTAGTTTCATTTACAATTTGCCTCAACTTGTACTTTTTTTTTGGTATGTAGGTATCATGCGAACAGAATGCTGAGCTTCTACGCCCCAGGTACAGTTATCAATCTATATACATGAATTGAATCATACAGCTGTTTGTCATTATGTTTAATATATCCTTTGGGAGCATTGTTGTAATCTTTTCTCCATATTCTTATTCTCAATTAGAGACTATGATGTATAGTTTTTCTTCTTGTGTACATTCTGCATTTGCAATTGTTATAAGTTTCAATCATATATCTGCATTTGCAAATGTTATAAGTTTCAATCATATGTCTTTGTAAATACTGATGTGATTGTCAGTAGGATGCTCCTTTCATCAATGTTGCTGTGTGCATATCCTAATGGATAATTTATAAATGGACCTTCCATATGGAATGATTATTGCAAGACATGTAAACAATCATGAAGCTTGTACATCTGAATTTTGTTCCATTCATAATGTTGGAATTTGCAGCAGAACACTCAAAATGTCCGTTGGGAAGGATAATAAATGCATTGATATAGTTGGATAGGTTGGCCAGATAAATTACCATAAGTTTTCTATATCGGTTTAGAGTGATTCATTTTATTTTCTTTGACAATTGGAAGGTGACCGGCTAACTAGTTTAATTTTTATATAAAAATAGGTTTATCGTTAGTTTGGCAATCTTGTCAATCATTAAAGTTTGTTCAAATTTTTACCTTGGGTTGCTTTTGAGATTTCTAATCACTCAGAAGAACCAAAGTTATCTTATTTATTATGTTTTGCAAGGCTGGTGTGGAGAGGTGCGTGATGTTATCTTCTCAGGGAATGGAAGCGTGACAGTGGTGTATCGCGTTACTATACGAGGATCAGATGGAGAGGTAAAGTTTAATATTGTTTATCGCTTTAAAACCTTGAATATTGTGCAGTACTTAGATTTCATTTAAGAAACTCATTATTTCGAATAATGATTGAGCATTGAAATTGTTGAACGTTGCTAGTGGGGATTTGTGGCTGTGGATTTGTACCGTGTAGAAGTACTTAAAAAAACAATGCACATCTAGCATTTGATATCTTGTGAACACTTTACAAAACCTATATTGTTAGGTTAGATCTCATCTCTTTAAAACCTTAGATATTTTATCGGATGTTAAGCTTTCTTGTACTAAAGATTTTGGTCTACAGTGCTGATACCCTTTATTTCATTGTCAGAACCTCTTTTAGATATCTAGTGGTGATAGAGTTACAGAGAAAGTGAAGACGGTGCTAAGGGATGGCGAGGGGGGGAGGAAAAGGAATTTTTGTGTTGTTGATGCAACACAATAATTTAGGTTTAGGTTTATATCAATGTTTTTTTAACTTAAGATTTTACTTACTCTATTAGATAAAATATATTTATGAATGATTTTAGGTTTGAATATGAATTATTGGGATTAGATTTAGTTTAGATAGGCTTATATTATAAATGATCTTTCTTTATTAGATTTAAATAAGAATTTGACTCTTAACATAATATAATGGAGAAAAACGATTCATGTAATCAAGCCCTCACAGTGGGATAAAGGCTTGATGTTGTTGTTGTTGTTGTTGTAGGCTCTAATTTGAATTTGAATAATTGATCTTATCTATGAGACTTGTCTTTATAACACTATTTTTATAAATTTGGGATTCAGGAATTGTAATTGATCGTTATAGAATGGATTGAATCAAAGGTATTTTATTAGTCTCTTTTATCAATGATGACTATTCTTCTCTCTAATTCTCAGTTCTTCTAGCTTTTATGGTTTTTATCAATATCAAAGACAAACAATCCTTGCTCGTTGATTGCAACACTGTGCTCACTTTGAACCCGACTCCTACATATCCCTTCATTGCCTAGCGCATGGCTTCACGTTTGTGACCTTGTTTTGTGCTGACATACATTGAGCTTGTCCTTTCACATGCATTACACACAGTCTCATGTCTTCCTCTTGTTCTTGACACGCTCTCCTCTTTCATTCTTGGCAATTACTACAAATCTTGTTTTGCTCATCTTTTTGGCATCACATAATTATCATCATTTGTGTTTTGCTAAATAGTCACTTCTGCTCCTTACTTCTATGTGCTCCATAAATGCATCTCTTGTGAAATTCTGTTTTTTGTAATTTCCCTCCTTAAAGGACTCTAGAGGTAGTCTTGTCTTATAAATAAGACTTAGCTCCCCCTCTTGTAATCAGCTTTTGGGTATTCATCAAGAAACTTAGAAACCTTTTCAGATTTCTCTTCTTCCCTGTATCTTGGTTAAGCCAGGTGGTGGCGTCTTTCTTTCCAATAGCCTCCGACAAGCTGTTCATTCCTCTCCTCCTTTATTACCCTCCACCAAGTGCAATACCTACTGTTCGCCTCTGCACATTATCGTCACCAAGAAGCTTTTTCACCAAGAAGAGGAAAGTCTTTTTCACCAAGAAGCTTCTTGTGAAAAGGAGAAAGCTCCAGTTCTTTATTATAAGCGAGAATCTCAAAGACCTCTAGATTTCGGAATCAAGATCGATATTCTAGAATCCGAAGGAAGATTAGATTCGGATGAATTTTTCAATTGACTATTGAATCCTTGAATACAAAGATGTACCTTTTGACCGCATTGTTAAATTGATAGCCATCAAATTAAAAGGCAACACCTCTTTGTGGTGGAAGAATTTGTAGCGATCAAGATAGCATGAAGGGAATCCCAAGATCCTTTTTTTTGCCTGCACATTATCGTCAAGATATGTTTCTTTAACCACACAATCTTCAACAAAAAGAAGTCTCGGTGGAAGGTTATATGGTTGAATTCAAACAGTTAGCACTGAAGTGCAACTTGGTAAACTATGAAGAAAACTTCATTGCTTGTTTTTTTGGAGGTGTAAACCCATCCATTGCCATTGCGTTACAATTGAAGCCATATTCGATAATCAACGACATCTTCAATTTCCCTTTCAAGGTGGAGAAGCAATAACGAATCGAGAAAAAAACAACATTAGCAGGTGAACAGGGCTGGGAGCACCTCTGACAGCGATTCTTGTGACTGGTTGACTGCCTGAAACCAAAGGAACGCTTATTGTCCGAGCTACTGGACCTTCTACACCGGCCTCTACAACCTCCCTCCCCGCTTGCAAGGGTTTTAAATGCCATTATCTTGGACATATTATGCCCAATTGTCCTACAAGGTGTCTAATGACCTTAGTAGAAGAAGCAAATGGTGAAAACCCCACTTGATCAAAAAGTTGAAGAACCAATGGAAGAACAACTCATACGGGCATATGAAAGGGAATTATTAATTGTCTGCCTCTTTTAAGTGTTTAAAAGGAGAAAGAGGATGAAGTCTGCCGCTTTTAAGTGTTTAATAGGAGAAAGAGGATGAATGACTCCGTCGCAATATACTCAGAACAATGTGCACTATCCAAGGCTAGATATGCAATATGATGATAGATGAAGGAAGATGTGAAAATGTGGTATCAACCCATCATCAACCCTGATGGTAGAAAATTGAACATTTCTACTATGTTGGACCCAAGACCCTACCAACTTTATGGTTCAAGAAAGGAAATGAAATCACTGTCAATAAAGAATACTTGGTACAATTCTCAAATGGGGGAAAACTTCAAGAACAAGTTCTTTATGATGTTTTTCTCATGGATGCATGTCGCCTTCTCCTTAAAGACATTGGCAATACGATCATTGGACTAAGTATGACGGGTTCCATAATACCTATTCCTTTCACAAAGAAGGTACTTCGGTGGTGCTCCTACCTTCCAAAGAACTGGTCAAACCTATGAACTGCAACCCTGAAATGGTGCCGCAATCTCTCTTCATGCAGGCCTGTAAAATGGCCGACTATAGGTTGGCTTAGGTCGTAGTTGAGTTCGAGCAATCCCCACTACCAGCAGCTATCCAAGGTTCAATCATTCCTAATCGACTAGCCAAGACTCACCAACAAAAGTTCAAGCTATACATGCCCTTACTTATGCCAGTGGTACCTTGGATTGATTTTAGTATGGTTTTTGTTGTGGGGGCTCCCTACTACACAACGCTGCCAGGACTTCGTCATGATTATTTTCGACCGATTTTTAAAGATTGCCATTTTGTCCCGTGTTAAAAGACATTGGATGCTACAAATTGAGCTAATATTTATTTTCAAGAGATCATCCGATTGCATGACATTCCCAAAACAAATGTATTCGATCGAGATGTCAAATTCCTTGGCCATTTATGGATGACCTTATGGGATAAGCTTGGTACAAAGTTATAATTCAGTTTCTCAACACAACCTTAAATAGGTGGACAAACAAAATCTACCAATCTGAGTTTGGAAAAGCTCCGAAGGAGTTTCATTGGCAAAAACATTTGCCAATGGGACCTAATTTGCCTTGACTAGAATTTGCTTCTAACAAATCCTTTAACCAAACAATTGGTCGCAGCCCTTTTCAGGTGGTTTATGGGAGTAATCCACCTCTCCTATAGATTTGATTCCACCCATTATACTTACAAAATGTAACTGTGAAGCAGAACTCAGCATTCAAGATATTTAGAAACTCTCCGAACAAGTGGAGCAAATTAAGTATTGGGGAAGTAAACTACGTAGCGAACACAAAAAAAGAAATAGAAAATGCATCGAAAATAAAGAACATTAGGATTTAAAGTGGAAAAACCCGAAATCGGGAAAAAATCACGAAGCCACACCACATCAAAAAATTCACTATGAAAATTTTGGATAAATAATACAGATCTTCTCTCTTCTCTCTTGCTCTCTCCTTCTCTCTTTTCTCTCTTGCATTGTTTCCTAATAGAACTAATAAAGATATACAATACAATAGAACTGTCAGCCGAGCACTGTGGCTCCAAGTTTGGAGTGCTTCGATGCTCTACTCTCTATCTTCAGTTTGCCTGACAGCGCCTGAGCACTCCGCTCTTTGTCTGTCTCCAAGAAAATTATACAGCACCGCAGCGCTCAAGTACATAGCATCAATGTTTAAAATTACGTATTCGGGTATTGAGGCGTTTTCATTCGTGAGGCGAGGCGTAAGCCTCAAGGCATTTTGAGGCGTAAGCCTCAAAATTAAAAGATTGCGTAAACATAAAATGAAAAAAAAAAAAAATATATATATATATATAGGGAGAGCCTAGAGTGAGGGAATATCTTAAGACAAATATTTTAATCTTATGCATATCGCCAGAAAAGAAGAAATTTCCGCTTCTTCATGCAGCCATGAAACCAGGCAAATTTCGCCAAATCGCGTGAATCTTGTGTCATCAGTATGAATTATTGGGATTAAATTTAGTTTAGATAGGCTTATATTATAAATGACAATTTTTTATTAGATTTAAATAAGAATTTAATTCTTAACATAATACAATGGATAAAAAGATTGATGTAGCTAACCCCTCACAGTAGGATAAAGGTTTGTTGTTGTTGTTGTAGGCTCTAATTTGAATTTGAATAATCGATCTTATCTAAGAGACTTGTCTTTATAACACTATTTTTATAAATTTGGGATTCAGGAATTGTAATTGATCGTTACAGAATGAATTGAATCAAAGGTATTTTATTAATCTCTTTTATCAATGGATGGTTACTCTTCTCTCTAATTCTCAGTTCTTCTAGCTTTTATGGTTTTTGTCAATATCAAAGACAAACAATCCTTGCTCGTTGATTGCAACACTGTGCTCACTTTGAACCCGACTCCTACAAATCCCTCCATTGCATAGCGCACGGCTTCACGTTTGTGTCCTTGTTTTGTTCTGACATACATTGAGCTTGTCTTTTCACATGCATTACACGCAATCTCATATGTCTTCCTCTTGTTCTTGACTCGCTCTCCTCTTTCATTCTTGGAAATTACTACAAATCTTGTTTTGCTCATCTTTTTGGCATCACATAAATATCATTATCTGTCTTGCTAAATAGTCACTTCTGCTCCTTCCTTCTATGTGCTCCATAGATGCATCTCTTGTGAAATTCTGTTTTTTGTTATTTCCCTCCTTAAAGGACTCTAGATGTAGTCTTGTCTTATAAATATGACCTAGCTCCCCCTCTTGTAATCAGCTTTTGGGTATTCATCAAGAAAGTTAGAAACCTTTTCAGATTTCTCTTCTTCGATGTATCTTGGTTAAGCGAGCTGGTGGCGTCTTTCTTTCCAATAGCCTCCGACAAGCTGTTTATTCCTCTCCTCCTTTATTACCCTCCACCAAGTGCAGTTTCGCCTCTCTGCAGTGCCTAAAGCGGATGTCTAGCTACTGCACGCTCCTTAGCATTCCGCAGAACTGTTATCCACCCCTTCCCAGACTGCAGAACTACTGTTTCATCTCCCTTCCCAGGCCGCAGTCCTGCTGTCCATTGCCTTCCAAGCTGCAAGAACTGTTGTTCGCCCCCTTTCTAGACCACAGAACTACTGCCCATCTCCCTTCCCAGGCCGCAGACCTGTTGTCCATTTCCTTCCAGGCTGCAAGAGTTGCTGTACTCCCTTTCCCTTCCAAAATTTACCTCGGAACTTAGTCCGTTAAAACTCCCTCGCCGAATAAGAAAAGCGAGCGGAGGCCGAGGTCGAATTTTCGGAGCCCACATAAGTATCATTTGGTTTTAGAGCCCGGCAAGAGCCAATCAACGGCTAATTCTAGAATCTTTCATGGAAGAATTGTAATGAGATATTCAACAACTACAAGAATGGTTTGTGGTGATGGAATTACATCATCCAATTAAATGCCAAAATGAGGGAGAACGTTTAGCAGAGGAGGAAAGTCCTTTTCACCTAGAAGCTTCTTGTGAAAATGAGAAACCTCCACTTCTTTATTATAAGCGAGAATCTCAAAGGCCTCTAGATTTCGGAATCAAGATCGATATTCTAGACTTTGAAGGAAGATTAGATTCGGATGAAATTTTCAATGGACTACTGAATCCTTGAATATAAAGAGGTACCTTTTGACCACATTGTTAAATTGATAGCCATCAAATTAAGCGGCAACACTTCTTTGTGGTGGAAGAATTTGAAGTGATCAAGATAGCATGAAGGGAATCCCAACAATATTCTTTTTTTTTTTTTGACAAAAGGAAGAAAGAAATGGAACTAAATTTTTTGCCTGCACATTATCGTCAAGATAAAAGTTTCTTTAACCACACAATCTTCAACAAAAAGAAGTCTCAGTGGAAGGTTATATGATAGGAAATACTTGAAGTATTTCCTAATCACTCTGGCAACAAATCACAAATCCAACCGCTGTCCACAACAGGAAACAACTCAAAAACAGAGAAAAACATGAGTTTTATACGAGAAATCTGAGAAAAATTCTTGTATTTAACTAGTAGATAAATAAAGCAGCAAAGATACAATTGATCCTCAATTCGAGAGGAGGATCAATCTCTCCCAAATCTCTAGACGCCGCTAGAGCCCAAAGAAAACAGCGATTCTTGTGACTGGTTGACTGTCTGAAACCAAAGGAACTCTTATTGGCCGAGCTACTGGACCTTCTACATCGGCCTCTACAACCTCCCTCCCCGCTTGCAAGGGTTTTAAATGCCATTATCTTGGACATATTATACCCAATTGTCCTACAAGATTGTTGATGACCTTAGTAGAAGAAGCACATGGCGAAAACCCCACTTCCTTGGATCAAAAAGTTGAAGAACCAGTGGAAGAACAACTCATACAAGCATATGAGAGGGAATTATTAATTGTTTGCCGCTTTTAAGTGTTTAATATGAGAAAGAGGATGAATGACTCAATCACAATATGCTCAGAATAATGTGCACTATCCAAAGGCAAGGTATGCAATATGATGATAGATGAAGGAAGATGTGAAAGTGTGGTATCAACCCTGATGGTAGAAAATTGAACATTTCTACTATGTTGCACCCAAGACCCTACCAATTTTATGGTTCAAGAAAGGAAATGAAATCACAGCCAAAAAAGAATACTTGGTACAATTCTCAAATGGGGGAAAACTTCAAGAACAATTTCTTTATGATGTTTTTCTCATGGATGCATGTCACCTTCTCCTTAAAGACATTGGCAATACGATCATCGGACTAAGTATGACGTGTTCCATAACACCTATTCCTTTCACAAAGAAGGTACTTCGGTGGTGCTCCTACCTTCCAAAGAACTGGTCAAACCTATGAACTGCAACCCTGAAATGGTGCCGCAATCTCTCTTCATGCAGGCCTATAAAATGGCCGACTATAGGTTGGCTTAGGTCGTAGTTGAGTTCAAGCAATCCCCACTACCGGCAGCTGTCCAAGGTTCAATCATTCCTAATCAACTAGCCAAGACTCACCAACAAAAGTACAAGCTATACATGCCCTTACTTATGCTAGTAGTACCTGGATTGATTTTAGTATGGATTTTATTGTGGGGGCTCCCTACAACTCAACGCTGCTAGGATTTCATTTGACCGATTTTTAAAGATGGTCCATTTTATCCCGTGTTAAAGACATTGGATGCTACAAATAGATCCAATATTTATTTTCAAGAGATCATCCGATTGCATGGCATTCCCAAAACAATTATATCCGATCGAGATGTCAAATTCCTTGGCCATTTATGGAGGACCTTATGGGATAAGCTTGGTACTAAGTTATAATTCAACTTTACAACACAACCTCAAATAGTGGACAAACAAAATCTATCAATCTGAGTTTGGAAAAGCTCCTAAGGAGTTTCATTGGATGTTGCCAATGGGACCTAATTTTCCTTAAGTAGAATTTGCTTATAACAGATCCTTTAACCAAACAATGGGTCGCAACCCTTTTGAGGTGGTTTATGGGAGAAATCCACCTCTCCTATAGATTTGATTCCACCCATTGTCCTTAAGGAATGCAACTGTGAAGCAGAAATCTGCATTCAAGATATTTAGAAACTCCACGTACAAGTGTAGGAGCAAATTAAGTATTGGGGAAGTAAACTGCGTAGCGAACACAAAAGAGAAATAGAAAATGCATCGAAAATAAAGAACACTAGGATTTAACGTGAAAAAACACAAAATCGGGAAAAATCACGAAGCCACACAACACCAAGAAATTCACTATGAAAATTTGAGAGAAATAATATAGATCTCTCTTCTCTCTCACTCTCTCCTTGTCTCTCTTCTCTCTTGCATCGTTCCCTAATAGAAATAACAAAGAGATACAAGACAACATAACTGCCAACCCACATTGTAGCGCCGTGTTGCCAAGTTTGGAGCGCCGCGATGCTCTACTCTTTGTCTCCAGTAATCCTGACAACTCCGTGGCGCCGGGGTTTGGAGCACTGCAGCACAATGCTCTTTGTCTGTCTCCAAGAAAATTATACAGCATCGCATCGCTCAAGTACATAGCACTGCAACACTGTATTGTTATACGGGGAAAAAAATCATGTGCAAAGCACCCGAATCCAAGCAAGGGGAGAACCCGACGAGCTCGATCGATACAGTTGAGGTTCGAGGCAGCAGTACAATACGATTGATCGACACAATCAAATTCCACATGAAACTAACATTAAAAGATAAAATGCAACACACCAAACGCAAGTGACTTGGTGTGGATCAAATTATGCAGGGAAAGGTTTCCCCTGGGTTCTAATGGCAAATTAAAACTCAAGGTCAATGGTCCTGCTCGTATTATCAAGCGCATCAACGATAATGTAAAATATTCTCTTCTTCAAAAATTTAAATGCATGCATGCCATAAGCTAACATTAATTTCAGTATAGCATCTTGACCTAATCAAATGTTTAAAGTTTTATCTTACTCATTCTTTATCTAAAATGATCTTAAATGTAGACAGAGAGACCAAAATAATTTATTAACTAATCTCATGTGTCCAAATTATCCTCATGATTATACAAAATTGATCTGAAATGATCCCAAAAGTAGAAATTGGAAACTGGGAATATATTGGGATAAATTTTCTATAGTCAGTAGACTAAGGCTTAGTTTGGGACGGCTTTTTTATTGCTTTCTAAAACGGAGTTTTAGTACAAAAATAAAAAATTTTGCACTAAAACTCCGTTTTAGAAAGCAATAAGAAAGCCGTCCCCAACGAAGCCTAAGGCTTCATTCGGGACGACTTTTTTATTGCTTCTTAAAGCAGTTTTTTAGTATAAAAATTTAATTTTTTATTAGGAATATGCTTTAAGAAGCATAAAAAAAGCCGTCCAAGGCTTCGTTTGGGATGGCTTTCTTATTGCTTCTTAAAACAGTTTTTTAATTATAAAATTAAAATTTTTGTACTAAGAAGCTGCATTCAGAAGCAGTAAAAAAATAAAAAAGTTGTCCCAAACGAAGCCTAATTCGAAAAAAAATGTGATATGACATAGTATACAGATATATGAGAAACAAACTGCCAATATAATATATTTCGTTTGTTTAAACTATTAATGCAGGCACACCGCGAATCTACTGGAACGGCATCTTCGAGTGATAGCCGATATGAAGACCCTGTGACTGCTGCAGAAGAAATTGCGTTTGGTAGAGCTTGTGCTCGATTTGGCTTTGGCTTATATCTGTATCATGAAGATGAAGCTGTTTAACCCAAATGAAAGCCATGAATCATCTGCGACTGATCATTTTTTGTTCCAAAAGTTAAGAAACTGTTACTTATTACATTCATCTCTCAGAATTGCCTAACATAGATTTCCATATTGCCGGCTTATGTGCTGTAATAAATTAAATTGTTTTTGTTGAGCAGTCATAACATTGATTATCCTGTGGGTTTAAGAAAAATTATTCTAGAATATTTTGATATAAATTATATTAGATTGGGTTTGAAAAAATTTTGGATTTATTTTGAGGGTAGTACAGTATTAAATTTTTATATGCATTAATTTTAAAAATATTCAATGATTTTTAAGCTTATTTTGATTGAATTAGTATTAGGGCTGCAAGCAAATCAAACGTTCAACGAGCTACTCGTTGTTCGGTTCGATTAAAGCTCTTTTGTGATCGTTTAATTAATTAAACAAACAAACTTGAACAATATTTTAAATACTCAATTCTTAAATAAACAAACTTGAACACTAATGCGTTCGGCTTATTTATGTTCGCGAACAACATCATTTGAAGTTCGTGAACAAGCTCGACATTAAGCTCGATAAGAAGCTCAATTCGTGTTCGATTTTGAACTCATGAACAAGATCGATAAAAATAATTAATATTTGATTATAGAATTTAAAAATATATATATAAATAATCATTGCCTTTGTTACATAGATAATTGCTTTTATTATAAATGTGTTTTTTCATAGATATGTTCATGAACATGTTTGTTTGATAGTTAAAAAAAATTCGTTAAATATGTTCGCGAACAAGCTCGATAAACACTAAACGAACGAACATGAACCGAACATGAACACTCATTAATTTAAATGAATCAAACATGAACACAAACAATTAAGCTCGAACAAACATGAACCAACTTGAACAAGCTGATATTAAATGAACACAAACATGAACACTCACATACTCAGCTCGGCTTGATTCGTTTGCAGCAAAGCCCTACATGAGGTCCTGCTTGGGTACCCATTGGGTACCCATGTTTTACTCTGACGGGCTTCACCCACCCACACCCACCTATGGTGACTTCCGGGATTTCGTACCCACCTATACCCACCCACTTTCCCTATTTTTTGAATGCAGTTTGCCACGGGCTGATGACCTTGAGACTTGTTCTCATTTGCTATGATGGCAAACTTTCAAGTCGCATATCAGAATTTATCATCTTCGTATCGTGGTTAAGTGCTGCACAATACATAGTGATGATTGCAGTAGTATAAGTAAGATATATGGTGATTAGCAATGTAAATCGATTTATCTCTTGATGTTTACTACTTACTCATACCCACCCATAGGTGGGTACATGGGTGTGTGTGGGTATGGATACCCAATGCAGGGCTCTGGTTTGCAGTCCTAATTAGTATCATGATATATTGCAATTTTTATCTGAAAAAAGAAAGGGTGTGAAGCCTTACAAGTTGCAACGTTAGTTTTAGTTTAAAAAAATGAATTAATTTTATTTTAGTTGGGTTCAGTTTATTTAGTGGCTCAATTGCAAGTTAATTTGTTTTTATCTGGTAGTTATTTTTATGTTTTTTTGTTTTAATATTTTTTGGTGGTGTACAATTTGACTTTGTTATAAAATCTCCTAAATAATCTGATGATATTTTGGTCCGAAAGCCCTTTGGCTTTATCGTAGAAATTGAAAAGTCTAAGATTTTGTTTAGTATAATTTTTATAAGAAAAAAATTGTATTAAAAATTTGCTTTTAGAAGTTGTATTATAATTATCCTAAACGAATTCAAAGATTTGTTTAGAATAGTTTTTTATCATTATTTTTTTATTGCTTAAAAATTTTGAGATTTATTCGGTTTAAATTAGAGTTCATTTTATTTAGGTGGCTCAATTACAGATTTAGCCAGAATATTTTTATTGAAATTTGATTAAAATAAATTTTATGATTTAATTAAATTTATTTTAAGATAAATACATTTTATAATAAATGAATAAAAGAAATTTATTACTTTTTTTTTTTTGGGTAAATTGTGGGCTTAGCCCATTAATTTATTACATTCATCACAAAAGAAACTAAATAATTATAAATTTATCTTCATCAAATTTAAGTAGAATATCAAATCAAAATATTCTCCTTATTTCTCCTCAAATATTATTGGATTAGAATGTGAGGTGATCCATGATGAAATAACATCCACTAGAACATCAACTTGCTTTGAATTTCGTGCACGAATGATCTTTGAATCTGGACCCATCGTGATTCCAGCTTCTTTTGCCAATGATTCCCATGGCGTCCCAGCCGTTAGATTTGCGAGAAGCTCTCCTCCACGGTTCACAGCATCAGCCATTGCAGGTGGAACATCAGGAAGGATCTATAGATAATTATGGCAAAATTCTCATTAAAAAAAAAAACAAAAAGAAAAAAGATATTATATGTGGGATTGCAAAATGTTAATAAAGTGCATTTGATTTCATAATTTCATTTGATTTTAATATAATTAATAAATAATTGAATTTATCAAGTAAAAATATGAACAAATGTGTTTTTCATTTTGATCAAATTTGGATTAACTGATCCAAGTTTTCTCCATTTATTTAGGAATAAAAAACAGTAATCTAAAACTTAGGGGCTGTTTGGTAGAATCTAGGATTTCATTTAAGTAGGATTTTGTAAATCCTCCAAATCCGGATTTATGAAATCCTGAGGGGGTTAAATCCTCAAAACTGTTTGGTAACCTTCATGATAAAATCTATGTGAATGTTTGACTATTCCATTTAGGATTTAAGGAGGTCGAAAGATTTGGATGGAGTTTCTGCCTTCTCGCGCTAATAGAGCTAGAGGATTTCGGAAATCCGCCAAACTAGAGGATTTCTGAAATCTGGGATTTACAACGAAAAGGTGGAATTTTCCGTCTACGGAGGCTTTGATTTTCCGTGAGATTTGGTTTTGCATTTTAGGCCGCTTGGCTGGATTTCACCTCAAATCCGGCCTAAATCCGCATACCAAACAGCCCCTTAGGGTTCGTTTGGGACGGCTTTCTTACTGCTTCTTAAAGAATCTTTTTAATACAAAAATTAAAAATTTTGTTCTAAAACACTGCTTTAAGAAGTAATAAGAAAACCGTCCCTAACAAAGCCTTAAATTCTTTTATAATGTTAACATGAAAATGACCTGCTGCAGTGGAAGCCCATGATCTCCAGGCAATGAACGAATTGAGATGTCCAGCTGAGAACTTATGGCAGATTCACTGCTTAATAACTTGGCCAGAGTTGGAGTTTCATCAATCGTATCATCCTTGAACTGTATCAATAGATTTCTTGAAATTCCATAGTAAGATTTTATCTACAGAAGGAATCACAGAAGGGAAATTAGACCATATTTAATTCAAATCAATAAAAATAATAACTGAAGTACTATTCTGCCTTTTTTTGATAACAATGTAATGATATGAGTATAATAAAGATAATCCTAAAGAATTATCATATTACAAGGAAAAAAATCAAATACAACAATCATTGAGGTTTCATTTGGAATAACTTTTTTGCTGCTTTAGAGTACAAAAATTTTTAATTCAAAAATTTTTTGTACTAAAAAAGCTATTTCAGAAAGCAGTAAAAAAGCTGTCCCAAATGAAGCCTAATGAAAACAAAAATGATGATAACTTCATTTTTTTTTCAGCTTCATTTGAGAATGTTTTTTACTGCTTCTCAAAGCTGATTTCTAGTACAAAAATTTACTTTAAGAAGCAATAAAAAAAAATTATCCTAAATGAAGCCTATGTCTATATCTGATGAATAGGATTTGAAATCTCGTACCTACTAAAACATCATCACTGATAATGCTCCCATTAGAACCATTAAGTTACAAAAGCATCATGACCTTCTATGTTGAAGTACTATACTGTTTCCATTTGAGAATGCTAAAATTTTAGGCCGGGCGCAAGCTCAATACAACAATAGCTTAACAAAACCTAAGCATGCTTACTTTTTCATAGCAAACTGCATTAGAAAATATAGACGCAAATTTATGCATTTATGTCATTATAAAGTTACTACGCAAGATAAAAATGAACTAGAAATTACTTAAGAAAAAAAAATCAAAATGGTCCCTCGACTCTTCATGAAAAAGTAAAATTATCCTCAACTATATTGAAAAATCATTTTAATCCCTTAACTTCTTAAAAAGGAACCAAAATAATCCCATGAACTATAAAAAAAGTTCTTATCACCAAACAGTTTTGTCATACCAGTTTCCTAGTTTCCTCTGGTTTAGGAATAAATTCTTCTCTTCCGTTAACCAGATCCATGTACAGAGGGGGAAGTTGCTCGACCAATGGTAGAACTTGCTTCATAATCGGTGGAGTAAGGGACTCTAACTGCTTGATGGCCATTTCTGCCTGAAAAATAACGCATCCTTCAGATATTTAACAATGGCAAAAAAAAAGGAGCAATATCTATTTACAAAACAAACATCCAACCATTTTCGTTTATGATAATATTTCCAAAATCACAAAGAGCAATAAAACACAAACTTAATATTTTTTGCTTTCATTAAACATTCAAAGATGTAGGCTTCGTTTGGGACGGCTTCCTTATTGCTTTTTAAAATTTTTGTACTAAAAAATTACTTTAAGAAGCAGTAAGAAATCTGTCCCAAACGAACCCTTAATCTTTAACATACACAAATACAAGAATTCAATAGTTCATTTTAAAACTCAGGCATTAGTTTTGTAAATAGTGCATAAATCTCCAAAAAAAAATTATCAAACTGAAAGACAAAATAATCAAAACGCTCAAAAGATAGAAATTCAAGCTCACAAATCCTCACCCCTTGACGAATATTGGAAGATGACGAGAGTTGGTTCAGAAGTGGACCAAAACTCTGGGCCATTGGCGCAATAACTGGAGTAAACAGTGGAACAGCTAAACTTGCCTCCTGCAATACAAATAAAAGAATCCAGAAGCGTTTTTTCCAAATTGTCATGACCCAACCTGAATACAAATAACTGGAGTAAAAAAAAAAAGAAACTGATATTTTCCACTACTACAAAGAGTCGAGCTTGAAATTTTTGGTCAAAAATGTGTATGGACACCTGAATAATGGTTCAGCATTCAAAAAGAACGGATCCAAAGTTCCAAATGATTCAATGATCATCTCCACAGCCACCCAAAATATTTTCTCAACAAGCAATTTTTAAATACTAATCAATATGCAAGTAAACATCAAAATTATCAACTTATTGAGTCTTTTTTGTTTTTATTATTCTGGAGGTTAATTTTTACTTAATGGAAAAAAATTTACATAGACATAGTCCTAGGTCGAATTTCGAGATAAGGTCGTTATGAGTTTTAGAAGGAGGTAGGGAGTTCCCTTTCTAAGAGGTTCAAAAGCAAAGCCTCAAAATATATATTATATTTGTGGATTATTTTATTAACTGAGTTTTGTGTATTTCATTGAATTTTTGGTTGCCCTAATTTTTATTTATGAAGAGGGAGGTGCCATATTTATGTTGCATTAGAGAAATCAGGATTGTAATTCTTCGCAATCAAATCATGATAAATTCGAAGTGGTGAAATAGGATAGAACCATCTATGATGCATTGACACTTCTCCTCAATGAGGTATGCAATGTCCGACACTTCTCCTCAAAGAGATATGCAATGTCCGACACTTCTCCTCAAAGAGGTATGCAGTGGACACATCACGTGTCCGACACTCCTCTGATATATATCAGACACGCCAAAGATGTGTCTGATTAAAAAAAATTAAAAATAAACTGGGCACGCGTGTCTTAAATATTTTATGAATTTTTTAATATAATTTTTTATTTATTTAAAAATAAAAAAACTTTTTTTTGTTATTTCCTCTCAACACTAAATCAATTGTCCGCATTCAATACCCCGGTCCCTGAACATATCATTTTCATTTCTATCTACAGATCATAACTAGGTTTTACAACAACACCAGATGTCATCGTAAAATCAACGTTTTAATATCAATGTTTCAAAACCATCTGAAATAAAAGTTGACTCTAGCAATTTCTACCCTACAATCACTCCCCCACGTTATCTCGACATCTAATCTTTGGCTGACATCATCTCAACATAGATGACAGATGCTGTCTTGATATAAATGTTAGATGCCCGACTAGCATTGTCGTCCCTCCCCTCTCAACGCTTGAAACATGACATCCACACTCAACTTTTGACATCATAATATTAATTATTTTAAGCACAAATCCTAGTTAAATGATTTATTATTTTACAATTATTCTTAATATTCTACTTGCTCAATTTTATACACTATTTTTAAGATAAAAAAATTATAATACCGAGTCGAACCGGTATTCGTGTCATATATTTTTAAAAATTGACGTATCACATTTCCGTGTCGTGTCCATATCTGTGCGTCATAGATAACCATCAATTAGGTGCACCTGTATAAAATTTAGTGAATTATTTTTGTGTTGATCTTTTTTTCTATTTTTGTTCTTTATTGCTCTCGGTGATTGAATTAGATTTCATCCATCTCCCAATACTTATTTCGTGGGGAAGAAATTTAAACATCATAGTTTGTGTGGTGCAGAGGTACATTGGTCATCATTAAGGCCAAGAGAGATTGTGAACTCTATATGTTATAGTCGCAATTTCAAGTGGTGTTACGTCAATTTCATCATCATTTGTGTTGAAGAATCATGATGTTGCACAGCAGAAAAATAGGCTCATTTTTTGGCTAGAATATTATATTTTAAAATAAAGTCAGACATATTCAATCTTATTTCAGCAACAAAAGATGAGGGGAAGACTATTGGACAAGATCAGGTGGATCAGTCTAATCTTGCACAGTTTGACCCAATGTCAGATCATACCATTAAACCAGCGAGGAGAAGTCTACATCGAGAGAATAAAAATTCAATAGTAAGTGTAATTTTTGTGTTGGGAACAAATTTGACGAACAACCGATATACTTCTTGTGTCATCTAGGCTTGTTGAGATTGTGGTGCTTAGTACATCTACGTTTTGGCAACTTGAGAAGCTAAGAGGATATCCAAAATTAAATTGACACATTATTAAATTAAGGGGCAATTTTTTAAGATTTTTTTTTATTAAACAATTTCTTAGGATATGCACAATATTCAAATTAAGTGATTTTAGAAATAAATCTTGATTCAAAATTTTGTGACAAATTCTATTTTTTTAAACAAATATTGTTTTGAAATAAACCTCCTTAAAGTCGTATAAATAGGAGACTGAAAGAGTTGCTAACTTTTACTAGTAGATGGAATGTATGCATGGGATTTTGAAGTTAGATGGAGAATTACTTATATGCGAGATAATTATATTAAGCCTGATGTTGGAGAGAAAAAGGGAAGTTGGAGTTATTTTAGATAATAAAGAAGTGAGAGAGAGAGAGAGAAGGGCCAAGAGGAAGAAGGGCAAAAAAAGCTTTCAGTGATTGTAAAGTAATCTTGATGCAATCAAAAAATGAAGGTGACAGAAATTTTATGGCAAATCCATAGATATGTGAAAGGTATACTTTTGGAATCTTTAAAGCGGGTAAATACTAGTTTTAGTTATAACTTCTTTGTTTATGATCTCTCTTATATTATTCTCCATTTTCCTTTTCTTTTTTTAATAGAGATGTGAGGCGCCTTTTTTGCAATGGAATTGAGTGCACTTGGGTTTAGGAAAGAAAGTTTTCTTAAGCACAATTTATTTTGTACAAATTTGTGATTTCTCTATAGTGAATTAAATAATATCTTTTCTCTCGTGGACATAGGCTATTATCTTGATGTCTTATTGTTGTTCATGATCTTTTTTTTTTACTTTTGTGTAGTCATCTTATTCATTCTTTATAGGCACATCCACACAAAAATTAGTTGTTTTTTTCCTAACATTTCGTGATAAGCAAATGAGCTGCCAAAGACACTCCTAATGAATGAACCATCATTCAAGCTCTGAAATGGTGGAATTACTCGATAAGAAGCCAATTGAAAGTAAAAAAAACCTCCTGTGCACCATAAAACTTCTCCTAAGTGGGAACAGATATGACTAGCCAAGCAAAGAAACAATAAATCTTGCTTCCTCGTGAAATTTTGTTCTTGAATTCCTATTAAGAACTCCTAAAGATAGACGAATTACAAGAGCATAAATAACTGGAAAAGATTTATAAGAAAAAAAGTTGTGCAATATGTTGTAAGAAGGCAGCTTAAAGCCTAGAAACTGATTACCTTGTTGTTATAAGCCATCAAAATATTGCCATTTCTTTGCACTGCATATCTAGACCCTGATGTGCAAAATAAAAGTAGAATATTTGAACTACATCTTTATTTAAACTATTGAACACAAATAAATATAACTCATCAATACCAATCAGAAGGTGAATTACAGATCCCAAGGAATGACCAATACCAAATATTGGAAGGTCTTTTTCCTGTGACGAAAAAGAACAAAGCGTCAAAATTCAGAAGATTAACAAATACAACAATTTTACTAAAACGGACTCACTATGTCATTGAAAGTTCGAAAGCATCTATCATATTTGAACTGTACTTCATCTGCTATAAAGAAGTGGTCAAAACCACTAGAAAAAGGTGTTGCAACCACCAAAGCACCCCTGGACCACCAAAAAGTGAAATGAAGTCGGGAATCAGTATAAAAAGCTAATAAAAAATCGGCTTTATGGATTGAATAAATCAAAATTATTGTTTAAATCTAACAAGAAGATAAAAAAGCAAACAGATTTAGCAAAAAACGGATGCCACAAAACCCTATCTAGAAGTTTTGAAGAAGAAGTATAATGAATAAAAGAAAAAAAAACAGACCATATTAAATAATCAGCTAGCCTAGTTAAAGGAAGTTAACCATTACATTGAATAACAAGAGGCCAAAGAATTCTTTAATAGCCTAACTTGTGTACAAAATATATAACAACTAATGACTCGTTTAGGACAGCTTTCTTACTGCTTCTTAAAGTAGCTTTTTAGTACAAAAAATAAAATTTTTTAACTAAAAATTTTCTTTTAAAAGCAGTAAGAAAATTGTCCCAAACAAGACCTAAACCTACAAACAAAACTAATTAATTGCATAATGTTTACCAAGACTCCGTTTTGTTTTGAGGAATTAGAAGAAAGGAAATGAATTGAGTTGAAATTTTTTTCACCAATTTGTTTGGTTGAGGAATAGAGTGAAAATTTATTTATTTTATCTTGTTTGATTGATGAGATATTGTTTGCTCGTTTCATTTTAGGAGAGGACATGTAAGCTATAATAATGACTAACAAATCTTTCTTCTCATTTCCACTAGCATAGGGTAAGAAATCGCCAATGAAAAAGTGTGCCAACATATCATTAGTAAATCTAATTACCTATGAATTACATTAATATTAAATATCAAATGCTAAATTGTGAATCAAAAATAAATTTACATCCCCAATTCCTTCAAATCAAACCTACCCTAAGGATGGTAGCATGCCGGCGCATGAATTATCACAGAAAAATTAGGTATGTCTGATTTTGCAAAGATTTGACTGCTTTGTAAAAAAAAAAAATTACATAATAAAAGTGAAAGGAAAAAATCATACAATTCAAAGGAGCTTACTTGTTAGAGAGACGCTCAAGAAATAGCCGATAAGTAAGTTGAGGTGCAGCACCAACAAATATACCCCCAACAAAATGAATAATTGAGATTGGTCTTCTGTGTTTTGGTCTGAGAACCCATGCACCCTAAGTTTAAACAGAAGATAAAAATTTGTTCAAAAATAGGATATACATTTAATTGGTCAAAAAAACAAAAAACCTTATCCTAACCTTTTCATATTACGTGTTAGCTTAGAATAATACATGAAGCAAATATATGACCAAGCATATCCAATTTCCCCAACATTTTTCATAGTTTCCGCAGATGTATACCCACTTTACCTCCATATAATGTATATTTCAAATTTTCAAACTTTCGCTAGGTCATTGCTCTTAAAAACGAGGAGCTCATTTTCCTAGCCTGGTTGATAATTGAATTATGGTCACGTAATCACAGTAAGACTCCAACCTATACACTTGAGGTGATGTTTTTACCTTTGACAATGTCAGAGCCTAACCCGATAAGACCCACAGATTGGACATGTCCTATTATGTTGGTTTGTAATTGGTAAACCCCATGATTTAAGTTTTGAAAACTTTTGAGATTTTTCGTCCAATTTTAAGTTTAAGACAAACAACAAATCATAGTACTGCTAATAACTATCAATATAAAGAAAATAAATTCATCAACAAAATTCTCTTTTCATTTATCATCAAATTAAATATATAATGATTACACTATAATACATGGTTAGAGACCGAAATACAAAACAAAGCAGATTAAATAATCAACCATGACTCTATGAGTGTACAAAATTCCAGAAAAGAAGTATGTATACAAACTCAGATCAAATCCTAAAAACTGCTACTCAACTGGTTCTTTTCATTTCACAGACTCTAAAAATAAAAAACAAAAAAACAAAAACTATGCACTAACATAGCTCAACAGGCCATATTTATGAGCCACGGTGCCCCTTTGGGAGCCCACAGTGTCGCAATGTCACCCACAGTGCCACAGCGTTAGATTTTTTTTCCCAAAATTCCAAAGAGCTTGGTACCAAGGTGCTGCCAACCCCAACACCGTTGCACCTCAGGAGAAAATTTCAGACTTTTCCAAACATGCAAACGACCTCCTGGGCCTATTTCAAAACACATGCAAACTCTCACAGGTACACATAACATTCTCAGACACATGTAGAAGAGTTCAAATGTATAAATTTAATGGATTACCTTGAATCTGATCAAGTCGAAATGGGTTGAACGGTGCATTAATTTTGCAGATGTTACAAACAAAATATTGCTAACTTAAAGAAAAATAGAATTACAAGGATGAATATGTTATCACTATGTGCACAAAATAATTCCAAAAAAAAAAATAAGATAAACCATTCATGAAACTTATTGATATGGATACCACCCGACAACATATGATAAAGATCGCAGTTGGACAAGATGACCTGAAAATCAAGCATGAATAAGTTGCAAACTATATAAAATATTTTATTGGAAGATATTGTTGTTAGCCAAGGAGATCCTAAACAAAAAAAAAAGATAGAAAATTGGGAATCATTATCAAGCCTTGTATTATATCTGAATAGATTTGAATGTCATTTGTATGGATGCAAGCTGGCAATTGAGATAATAATCACCGCAAGTATTATTAGAACCTGACTCAAGTATTTCATGTCAACCTTTAGTTTGAACTCCAACGGGGACATAATTAAATTTTTGGTGCCTCCTTTCACTAAGGAAAGCGCCTATGGTGATGTCTAGCACTCCAGGCATTCAACAACCATATCAGCTTTAGAATGCTGGCGCTTTTAATAATACATGCTCATTCAATAGGTATCAAACAACCATATTTAAAAAAATCAATTTCTATGGATTAATTTCTAAAAACCATCATGATACAAGCTAATTACTTAATTTATACATTCTAATTCTTAGCTTAGTCCTTCGGTATCCGTATCTATAATATGTTATTTTGGTAATAACTTTAAGATAATTAAAAATATGGTTGAGAAAAAAAATTCTAACAACCTAAACTCATGAAAAAGAAAGTTTTGGAGAGAAAATGGATATCAAGTAATACAATAAGTATGGATGTAGATTGTAAGATAATTTGTTTGCCTTTTTTCCTTTGTACTAGTTTAAGAGTATTGGTCTGTTACTCAAAACTGATATATATTCTACCTTTTTTTTCATCATAGTAATCAATCTCGATTGCTATTCATCCTTCTTAGTAGGCTTATCAAAACTATTTGGGGATAGTCTCTATGAATCTCATTTTTCAGTCATTTCTACTGAGTGTAGCCAAAGGTGTAGGTCAAACTCATGTTCAGCTCTATAAAATCTTGTTCAAACATACATTATTAAGTTTAAATGTGTATATTTTTTGGTTAAAATAATGCAAAAATTAAAAAAAATAATAATAATTGGCATTGAGATTGCATATGGTGTCAAGTGTCGCCCTTGTATGATGTGGCCTTGAGTTAATTATTTCCTATTTTTCTTTTTTTATTTAGAATAATAAATTTTCTTTGTCGATTGATATGTTTGTTTTTGTTCATTTATGTTCATGAACAAGTAAAATAATAATGATTCAAATACAAATTAAGAAATATCAAACTTTAACGGATATGGATCAAACAAAAACATAGAAAAAATCAATGAACCTAACTTTAAAAAAGCTTCGTACAATTATTTGTGGCATGTTTAGATACTTGGTATTGCCTATAGTGCTAAACTTATTATTCAAAATTATTTTGAGCAACTTATATTCATGTTACTTAAGTCTACCACTTTCTTTCCAAATCCTTAAGTTAATATACTTGTCTGATTGATTTATTTTCTATACTTTCTTATACATCTGCAAACCACCACAATCAATTTTCACTAACTTTTCTTAAATAATTATTACTGTAATAATTCTTCTAATATAATAATCCTTTAATTTATCATGCCTAGTTTTGATAGGCATCCATCTTTACATTCTTACTTTCATACCATAAAACTTAACTATCAATGACCCAACACTTAGATTCATACAATATGATTGTTCGAATTGCATCATCATATATTTGCCTCTTTAGTCTTCATGATATCATCACATAATACTCCTAAAGTAATTCCCCTTTTAACCGTACAACCTTAGGTCTAGAAGTTTTATCCTCAATTATATCTCTATTATTCTACTTATCAACAAAAAATAACTAACTCCATCGCATATCGGTATTATTTCATCTTTAATAAAATTGATTGATAATTGTTAATTAAATTTGCATATAATAAACTAAACTTTTTTCTCCTAATTCTAAACTTTATATATTTATATATTTTCTTCATTACTCTAAAATCCACCAATTTCAACAAAAATCATATTGATTAAGATTATGACATCAGTGAAAAGTATTCACCAATTCACCTCACTTTCAATATCATTTATAAGCATCTTTACAACCAATTCAAATAAATAAAGACTAAATGCATGTAATCCTATTACATATAAAAACTCTTTAGTCTCTCAATTACTATTTCTAATCACTCCAATATTTAAAACCTCAACAAAACTTTGACACACATTTCTCAACTATTTTAAATGATGGAAGCAGAATAGTCTAAGGCTGTACACAACTCAACAATTTAAACATAAAATTAGCATATTTTAGAATATAGGATTTCTTAAAAAATCAGAAATCATAGATATTTAGAGCACAAGAATGGGACCTCAATCTCCTTCCAATCTCCGGTACTAACCCATCCATCCTGAGATTTTCTTGTTGTTTCAGTGAGTAACCTGCAAAAAAAAAAGGGCGAAAGTTTAATTTCCTTGCTTGAAATTTAGCATTATATTGGATGAAGGAGAAAGAAGCACAAGAATAGGATTTCTTAACAAATTGGCAGGATTTGCATACGGAAAGAAGCACTACATCTAAGCATCACATCCTATTCAAATTTTCATCCACAAAAATTATTAGTGAAATTTAAGAATATTTTATTTTCATTCATTTTGATTTTAAAAATTAGGAATATAAAGCTGATCACGACTACGTTGTTGGGAATTAGACGAGAGCTAATTCAAATCAACGAGAGTGCATAAACATAAAAACAATAAATATATCAAACTCTGTTTAAAATTGCGCAATAAGAGGCGCGCCTCTGCGCAATTCGTCCAAAAATCGCCTCGAAGCTTACGCAATTCCATCCCTGGCAGAGGCGTACGCCTCACATGGACTGAGGCGCGCCTCAGAGGCGCAATTGCGCAATTCTTAGTGAGGCGTACGCCTCATGGGAATGGACCCACCCACTTAAAATGAATGTTTTTTTCTCCTTAAACCCGCACGACAGCAGCTCCTTCCGAATTTTTCCTACCCGCGCGGCTCCAATTCGCGAAACAGAGAGCTCCCGCACGGTCCTTACCCGCCAGCTTCCCTTCCCGCCGCTTCTCCCGCCAGCGCCGCCTCTCTCCGGCGAAGTTGAAACTTCCGGCCGCCCTCTAGGAGTACTCCACATTGGATTTTAGGTATTTTTTTTTTAGTTTAGGGTTAGATTTTTCAAGTGTAAGAAAATCTAGGGTTTATGTTTTTTTTATTGTAAGAAAAACCCTTAATTTCTCATTTACTCAATTCTGTGTCCGTGAGGCTTACGCCTCAGACCGCCTCGAGGCTTAATTACGCAATTTTAAACCTTGATATCAAACAGACAAAAAATTTTATATAGGTTCCCCCAGATGATGCTGCATCTTGTTGCGGCTGTTACAAATTTCGCGATGATGGTGGAATTTTAAGAAAGGAGTTCACAACTTTAATCTCCCAGGTGTATCACATAATGATGCCCATCGCTTCTCTGTATAATGGAAAAAAATGGTAGCCGAAAAATAAAGTGAAATATCTAAAACATATTTAATGAACAACTTGGAAATATTGGTAGATCTTTCAATGAGTATGCAGAGCATTAATTATGCTCCACAGCTTAACATATGCCTGAAGCAGATGGATGGTTTCACTGGATTTGTAATTCATCAAATTGTCATATTTTCAATATTATATGCAATAATTCAAGCTTCAAAGCTGCTATTGAGAAACCACAAACTATGGAAATTTAATACTCCAGTTCATAAGTTGTGCAGAAAGAAACTACATAATAACATGACCAAACAAACGTCGTCGAGATTGGGAATTCCATTAGAAGCTCAACTTCAGTTGATGGGATTATTGATGTCTAATGATCAATAAAGATAGAAAGTAGAGTGTAAAGGCATCTCATTATACCTCTCGATCTGGGAGTAGAGCTGAATTCCACTGGTGCTGGTGTCGCCCTCAGACTTCTTAGGCGTCTCATCCGCGTGGCAGACAAGCCTTCCTCCGAGCTGCCGCTGCCGCCCGTTGACGAGGAAAAGGCCTTTGCCGGAGAAGTTTCTCCCGCGGCAGGGTGTGAGATCCGGCTGGTAGTCCCCGTGAAAGGAGCACGGGAGGCGTGAAGCGTATAAGACGGAGGAAATGGCCATCTTCGAATACACGCTTTGCTCCGCTCGAGTCTACTTTTTTAGAGTGAGCTAATCACTGTTTTAAAGCTTTAAGGCCAGCCCTTTCAAACAAATAAAGGTTGTTCTTAATATATATTTACTTAGTTATAGACTGTGAATAAAATAATTAATTCATGATCATAATAAAAAATTAGTAGGAGAACCCTAATTTTATTTAAATTTGATCTTTATTTAAACAAATATCAAAAGTTTATATCGAGTTAGGGCTCTAACCTTAAATGCATAACTACATTCAAAATAGTCTTGAAATAAGATTCAAATATCACAAATAAGGGTTAAATCATATTTGAATAATGTTCGAATTAGCTCCTTTACGCTTTTATCAGATTATTACATACATATATATATAATCATATAAATGAGATGATGTTGGAGGAGGTTGATAAAAATTGCAATGATAAAGATACTTGCACAAAGAAGAAAATTAATTGATAGTATGAATAAATTATTCATTACTTATATTCTCTCAACAAAATCTATTTTGTTGCCATTTCATGAGTATCCTCTTACATTTGTTTATATACTTGATCATGTTTATGCATTCAAGAATTTGACAGCGCAAATGTAACATCTAAATCTAGACTAATCGGTCCAGGCATTTTACTTGACCCAATCGAGCAATGCGAGCTGAACCGAGCGAGCAACAAAGAGCTTGATTCTGCCTCCCTCTCTCGTGTGTGATGTTCTCTCATAAATCGTCATTAAAATTCACCGAAATTGCCCACTCTTTTTTTATCCTCTCGCCCTTAGCATCTCTCTCTCTCTCTCTCTCTCTCTCTCTCTCTCTCTCTCTCTCTCTCTCTCTTTCTCTCTCTCTTCATTTAAGGCTAAAGAGAAACCTAAGGCACCATATTTTCCTTCGTAAAGTGGTGCCAAACCCTCCCTTCTCCTTTTTCTTAGTTTCTTTCTCTCTACTACAACCATCAGAGTTTCCCCTCGCTCCTCTCTCTTCGCATTCTTCCTCCTTGACATTAAGCAACCATCAATAAACTGTTCTTCTTCCCTCTTCCTACTTTTTATTTCTGTTATTCTCTTTGATTGTTATTCTTTTGCTAATGCTAAATTATATATATTAGATTGATATCAAATTTAATTGTTGTCCTGAATTTTATTCTAGCAGATTATTGCTTGATTGGGGATCTCTATTTTTGAGAATAGGACTTAGTAGAAATAAATTGCATAAATATATACCATGTAGTCATTGGTGTCTCGAAAATATCTTATTAAATGAATTTCGGCAAGGGATCCCTCAATTCAAGCAATCCAGGTTGATTGATCCTTATGATTGTTAATGTTGGCATATATATGTAGTCTAGGTCGATTAAACTCAAATAACTTGAGCTGTGTAAAATCACTATTTAGTTTTCTTGTTTCTTGTAGGACCTTCAAATCGTTGCCGCTTGAAGTTTCATATAGCTCGCCTAGAGGTAAGAAATTATTATTTATTATTGGATAGGTGTACCCTTCTTTATTAGGGTGTTATCCTTTCTTCGTGTGCTAGGTTTCTAGATATTAGGTTGTCGATCCTTTTTTTCTATATTTATTAGAATTGTGCATGTTAAAAATAATTTTGTTGTTCATATTGAAAGTATCATGTGATAGGAATAATGTTCCCTTGATTTATTAATGCACGAGCTCTTATCATTAAAAATAATTCAGGCACTATGTGATAGAAATAATGTCGCCTTAATTTATTGATCCAACGATGAAGGTCAGGCTACTAAAGTTTGTGAAGGTCTGACCACGATGCCAAGGCGATGGTCTGATGATGGTTGAGTATTTGTATGAAGATAATGGTTGTGAGGTGGTTGGATGATGTCGATCAGTCGGTGGTACGATAATGACATTTTGGGCAACAAAGGTAGCAACGATCAGGCTAAGAAAGTCTAATGGTAGTGATCGAGTGAAAGTTGGACGAGGGTTGGATGATGGATCAATGAAAATTATACAGTAAAATTTTTTAACAAGGATTAAGCAAGGGTCTGATGGCGGTCGGGTGTTGGTTTGATGATAATAGTTAGTTGATGGTCTGAGAACTTCAATCAGGCATGAAAGTCCTATAGCTAATGTTGGGCAGCAAAGGTCTAACAATGACAATCAAGCGATGAAGATCTGATGACAATGGTTGGGCCATAAAGGTTTGATAACGACTATTTGGTAGTGATTTGACGATGTTGGCAATCGAGTGGAGCTTTGGGACTCTTAGAGTCTCTAAGTTATCTTGAATATTTAGCCAAAGGACCTCCTCATGTAGATACGAGGGGCCTATTTATATAATTTTGAGAGTGACATGTTCAAACAAATGGGAGAAAATAAAAAATACTATCAAACAGTCCATACTAAATCTCTTGATCATAGAACTCTCATATGCCATTTAAGTGTCTTAATGTTGTTAGAATTAGGTAACTTTGAGCTCGTTGGATTCATCTTACCGTGACTCTCGATTTGACTATATGTATGCCAAATTTAGATATTATTTTGTCCTTCAACTAATTTAAAAATTTTCAATTATTCTTCAAGCTATTGATCCGAGTTGATTTCGACTCGGGTTAGATCATATTTGGGGTTCTTCATTTCGTCTCATCAAGCCAATCAATTTAATGATGAGTTTGTTGAAATCAAAGTCTTGATGGTACCAATTTTTTTTAGAAGCTTACAATTCAAGTGTGCATTGAGACTCATGCACAATCAAGTTAAGAATGCATATTAATTATAAATATAATTCAATATTTTAAATTATATTTACATAATATAATCATTTTCTAGGCTATAATTAAAATTAATAATTAGATAAGCAATTCAATCTTTAATAATTAGTGCTAAAATGTTATAAGTAAATAGTGTTATATAATTATGATTATTTTTTATTATAAAAATACATATTTCTAGAATGCCACTCATTGTGTCAAAAATATATCTACATAATTTTTAATTATCCGAACAAGAAATATCAATATTATTTTTTATAACATGACTTGTAAAAATGCAATATCCAAATAGCTCTCGAACCCTCTGAAGGGCGTCGAGATAAATAAATATTTATTTGTTTCCGACATAATAAAAGGAGAGAAATTCGAAGGTATATCGTCGTCAATTTTTCTCTTCTCAACCTTGATCTGATCCGATCATCGACTCAGAGGAAGACGGGATGGCTTTGAACCCTCAGCTGTTCTCCAACGGGATGCCAGTCCCATTTCTGGGTGAGATGTTCGTCCTAGCTCGGGACGGCGTCGAGTTCGAGGTCGACAAGATCCCAGGGTTAGTTTCCCCACTTTTCCTATCCTGGAAATCGTCTTTGATAATTTCATTTTTCTACGTTGCCAATCGTTCTTGATTTATATTTTTTTATATAATTGTCTTTTGGCGATCGATTAGGACTTCCTTTGTCATTTTTTACATGGAATCGTCCTAATTATTATTTGTTACTAGATGCTAGGGATATGATGGGCGTTTTAGATATTTGAAAGATGCTTATGGGTCATCTAAGAAAGTTGAAAGGACGGTTGTGAATCCTTTTACATTGGTTTATTTGTTCTTCCTTGACATGGTCATGGGATTGAATAAAAGAAAAAAAAAAAGGAAGGATATACTGATCAAAATTTGATGAAGATGGATTTTATAGTCATTAGATTTGTTTTGAGATGGATGAAATATAAGTTTTGATTGATTAACTATATATTTTGTTTGCTTTATATGTGAAGTACTTGAATTTCATTTATATCTATAATTTGTTTCACGAAGATTTACATTTGAGAAGTGAATCATGATAGAATTTGAACGTGTTCAAATTTTAAGGCAATCCTTAAGAAAGTTTTTGGGTAAATTATTGGTAGGTCTTATGGTGCTTCATTATGTTCTTAAAAACTATTTTTGGTTCTCAGCATATGAGAGACTGTCATGTGTGCAATTTTGTTGATATTGCTCTTAATTGAGAACAAAGTGTTATAAATACTTTGTTATTCAAGCTTATTTCTGTCACGACCCAGCCCGGTGAGATCGCGTAGGCGAGGCGGGAACAGAGGTCGGACGGTAGGTCAAATATCTAATTCCTAAATTTATCAATTCCCTAAATAAATCTCCAAAATATTTTGAAAGAGCCACTATAACAATAAAATTTGAAATCACATAAGCATATAAGCAAACATATTCTTCGTCCTTACCTTTCTTCCGGAGCTCCTCCCCTACGATAAACATTGCCGCCCCTTCTACTCATTTGATTAATTTAAGCTTACCTGAAAATGTTAACAACTAACATTAAGCTAAAGCTCAGTAAGATTTTTCACTTAAAACTCGTCGCGGCGCTTTGAAAAGCGTGCGAGGTCTAAAACGGCATTTTCGGGTTTTCAACTTCTTTCTCTCAAATGTTTCTTACCTCACAATGACGGGGAAATCCTTGCAATGTGACATTAGCAAGCTTATGCCCATGAATAAATTGCATGGCATTGCTGAAGCGCCTCCATCTATGCCTCCTACTTGTCCTTATCTCGCTTGGGCACCTCCACCGTTAGTTGCAACTCGTTAATGTTGGATGTGGCATTCCATCTTGAAGAATTTATGGATTACCATGTGGAGGAGTAGAATTGTCAGTTGAAATTTTTATGTTACACCCACACACATGGTTCAACACCTCCTTGCTACCATCACCTCACTTGCATCCACATTTCTTTTTTTACTTATTGAGCTTTGTCATCATATTATAAATCATCTATGGATTAGCGCTTATAGGTTTAAGTGCTTAAAATTTTTGGATGTGGCCAAGGGTTGGGCTTTGAGCCTTCATTGATTATATAAATGTAGCATGTTGAGACATAGCATGTATTAGAGAAGGAGAACATGTTTCCTTTTTTGCCTTTTTTTTAAATTTAAATGTGGAGTTTTGGAATAGTAATCTTATTGGTGGAAGTGGAAATGAAATCCTTGATATTGATAAAAGATGTATTTGAGACACACAACATTGAGGATTTTTTAGACAGATTTTGCTACTATAGTTTTCTAATTGAAACGAGATATTTAAATAGAGATCTTGGTGATCGTAATCCACATGGAAATTCTTATCTCGATAGAGGATGGATCATAGATCCACAACATCTAGGGATCATATCACCTTGGTTGCCATCATTAGCATGGTCAACTGTGAAGAGAACCATAATCTAATTGTTAAAGCTCCAACGGATTTCAAAAGCACTTGGTGCACTTAAGGCAATATGGTTTCCTAATGTTTGAGATGCTAATGCTATAGAGCTCGCTCGACTCAGTGTGACTAGCAACTAGTCTTCTAGGCACCTGGTGATCGCTTGCACTCATTAAACTATCGAGAGAAATCCCTCCGTAGATTCTCCATCACAACCATTACTTAGTTTAAGCCCGAGAAAACGTCCTTCATAGCCTTATCTCATTTAGTAGGTCCTAGACCATGCCAAATAAGGTTCAAATATTGATGTCTATTATTTGCTTGAAGTACTTCAATAGCTTCGAGAAAGCTGCAATTATCAGTTATTAATTTTTGTACTTGACAAGGTTAGTTTTGTATCTTGTAAGATTAGGGATGCAAACGAGTCGAGTTGAGCTCAACTGTAAAATACCGACCTCAAGCTTGAGCTTGAACTTGAGTCGAGCTCGAACTCGAGCTCGTCCCACTATAAACTAGCTCGAGTCGGATCGCGAGCCTTAATAGTATTTTTTTAAATATTATTAATTAATTTAAATATTTAAGTATTTAAATTTTAGTTAAATATTTTAAACCTTTATTATTTAATTTTAAATATAAAATACTAATTTATTTTTATATTATTAAATATTTTAAACATTATTATTATTTTTAAATATTTAAATTTATTAAATAAAATGTAGGTGCTTTTTATTAATTTATTTTAAAAATATTAATATTTATTCAAGTCGGCTCGCGAGCTCACGAGCCGAGCCGGCTCAAGCTCGAACTCAACTCGTGAGCTCGATAAGCTCTGCTCGTGGGCCCATAAATGAGTCAAGCTCGAGCTTGCTCGGCTCACTTACACCCCTAGGTAAGATGCATACCTTTTTCAGTTTTTCTCCAGAATGTCTATTCTAAATGATTGCTGTATAGAAGGTCAACAAATTATTGAGTGTGCTGGGCCTTAGTTATTTTTTATTGTGCTCTTGTACGAAAGGTGGTTCTTCTAGCCTTTCAATTTAATTTTTTCAGAGGCCTCGTATTTGCTATTTGGCGAGGTTAATAACCGGTTACTCATTTAATGTGTCAAACCAATAACCTATTTTGCAGATCTGGTAGTGGTCATGTCAAAGCAAAGGGAATCATCTACTTATCAAATGTGCGTATTGTTTTTGTAGCAAAAAAGCCTGTCGGGAACTTCGTAGCTTTTGATATGCCCTTGGTATGAATGACTTACCTTTACCTTCATTATATATCTCTTTTTTACATTTTTATTATATAATAGTCATGTTTTAATAGCACACTTTTGTTTATATGTTTATTATAATCAAACTATGCATTTTCAAGCACAATCATACATTAGCCTGCATTCAAAAAATAACATTTTACAATGAGAATTATTTATTGGCTGAAATGTAAACAAATAAAAATCTTTCATTCACTTTACTATACTTTGAAAAAGGAAGGTGGAAATATGAGCTGTGCAAAAAAATTACTTAAAATAACTTTGACATCTCAGGCAACAGTCAATAAGAATGAATGGAGAATGAGATTTTATAATTGATCCAAATTACTTGAAATAAGACTAAGGATGATGATAATAGGAAAAAGAACAACTATAACCAAAAAAGCGGAAGGGGGAATGAAAAAAAGATGCCACACTGTGAATGAGGGTATGAGGACTTTAATGGAAAAAAAATGCAATATTGTGGAGGAACTTTATGAAATTCATTGTTTCCCTCTGATCCATGAGAAAATGGTCGATAGTTTGTCTATGTACTTAACACTATGCAAACTAGTTAGATATTCAATTCATATATAGAAAGTGCATGGTGCGGGAAATAATTTTGTGAAACACTACCTTTGAGTGTGCTGAAACACCGAACGTGCTCTTCGGCTCATCTGAGGACATATATGAAGGGAGTGAGGAAGAGTTAAATGATCTGTTCGACTAGCGTTTCACTCATTTATCAGTTGTTGACAACTGAAGGAAAACGTTCTACTACAACCAAATGAGTTATTGAAAAAAAATGGGCCAGCATAGCTTTCATGGTAATTAAATTTGCTTTGAGATGAGTGCAATATAAATTTGAATTGATTAGGCATATATTGCATTCATCTCATAGTAAATTCAGTATTTATAAAACCTATCATGACCCAAAATTTTTGTCGGAGCGGCTTTCACATTTTCTGCAGACAAGACTACAGTGCTTTTTCACCGCAAATTTTAATGTAGTGATTAGGATTGTTATGTGATGAGCATTATCACTTGCTAGATTCTATCTCTTGACAGATTTATTCTGGAGCAGACCTGCCCATAGTGTTGTTGTAAATGTGTGAAATGTCAAATAAAAGATTATCATGATTTTTCAATTGTGTTTTGCATTTATATTCACCATTAAAATTATCATAGTTTTAAAAACCGGACCGGACTGATCGGTTTGACTGGTTCAATCATGAATCGGTTAGATGCCCGATCTGATTCATCATAAAAACCGGATTGGCATTAGACCAGATTGAAACCGCAAGAACTGTTGTTTTAATCCGTGAACTGTTGATCCGGTTTCGGTTTTTTAAAATCGGCCCGTTCAAGTGTTTTTTATTTAAATAATTTAATAAATTAATTTAATAAATTTAAAATTAAATATAATATTAAACTTAATAAATTAATATAAATTAAATCTATTATAACTTTTAAATGAGTATTAAGTACATATAATTATGATCAATAAATTAATAATAATTTATATTAAATTATATACTTATATAGAAATTAAATTTAGATTAAAATCAAATTTAAGTATTGATGATATTAAAATTTAAAATTTTAAAAAATATTACGCATGAACTATATTTATTTTTTAGTCACACAAAATTAAATGATATATAATTATTATATCATTTAGATCTTATTTAAATAATTTTAATATTTATTACGTCATCTGGTTCAATCCTGATTGAGCCATTAAACCTTGAACTTTTTATTCTTCTAGTTCAATATCTGGTCTGATTTTTGCAATCTTGAAAATTATAGTTTTAACCTTCCTAATGCTTTTTATTGATTAAAACAACTTCTTTAGACATGTCTAAAATTGTCTTAACATTTTAATATTTGTTGAATTGATGAATTAACTTCAATTTAAGATTTTGTATCATTTTATATTCCTAATTGGCACAAATAAATCTCTTTGCGGGCCAACATATTTTGTCACTTGTGTATTGCGAGCATCAAGTTATTTTTTTGTCACTTGTGTATTGCGAGCATCAAGTTATTTTTGCACCTTATTATTTATTTTTTTATGATTTTGCTAGTAATGGCCATGCATATTCCATTCCACTGTGGTGTGGATAAAATTTGGGTAGAATATTATGATTGAAATTTGATCAGGATGAGTTTTATAACTATAATATTTATTTTGAGATGAGTTTAATACACAATAATCAATCAACACTAGTCTTACACTTATCTCTTAACAATTGATAGTTATAATGCTCATCTTGACCAAATTTTTTTTCATTTGGCTTCTATGATTTTACATTCATACATTATAAATATCATATAAAACTTTCTTTCAACGAATACCACATCTGGCTTAGCTTTTGCTCCCTTTTTTGTCTAGTGTGCACTTCTTTTTTCCTTCTTTACTGATCAAAGACTAGTTTTTCTACTTGCAGTTACATATTCATGAAGATAAGTTCAACCAGCCAATTTTCCACTGCAACAACATTTCTGGAAAAGTGGAACCTGTGTGTTATAAACCAACCTTTCTATTTGCATCGCTGTTACTTTCAATTTTATTTGAATTGTACGTTTAATCTATTAATGTGTCAAATCATAGGTTATACCAGAAGAACAGCATAGGGCCCTCTACTCCACTCATTCCTTCAAGATCTTGTTCAAGGAAGGTGGTTGTGGAACTTTTGTCCCTCTTTTCTTGAACCTGATACAATCTGTAAGACACTATAATCAGCACTATAACGCTCCTGCCGAGGCCGTGCCTCGTGTCGACCCATTGCAAGCTGCCCAGACTCCAGTGGATGAGATGATTCGTTCTGCGTAAGTATTCTACAAAGTTTTTATTAAAGGAATTTAGGACTGAATTCATACTAGTTTGATTCTCATATTTTGAATATTATACCATGTTCTTGTTCAAGGATGTTAGGATTGAAATCATAATAGTTTTCTTCTTATCTTTTTAGTATTGTACCAAAGTTCTTGCTGTAGGATATTAGAATTGGATTTATGCTAGTTTGTTTCTTATCTTTTAAAGTATTATACTACGTATTCTAGGATGCTAGAATTGGATTCATTATTAGTTTGATTATTATCTTTTAAATATTCTACCAAATTTAATTATAGTAAGATGTTAGAGTTGGATTCATAGTGGTTTGATTCTTATCTTTTGAGTATACTAAGTAGGGGTGTGAACGAGTCACGCTTGCATGGTCATGTTCTCATTCATATTTTTGTTTATTTGAGATCAACTCGTTTGAAATTATTCATTAACAGCATGTTCGTATTCAACTCATTTTATTTCAAGCGGAACAGTAATGAATCATTTAATTATATGCGAACCTTTTAATAAATTTAAAAAACATTATATATATATATATATACTTGTACATGTAGATGTAGGACTTTCACATGTATCTAATAGGTTCGAAGAGAGGAATTTGAATAGGTTCTAGTATCAAGAGTGTAGTCAGAACAATCACCTTGCCTCCACAAGCACTTGCTAGCCTAAGGATGTGACTCACCATGGTTTGATAAGTCAAGTAGTAGTCCCCAACAGGAGCCATAAGGAACTTGTACACATCCATTCAGGTAGAGTTTTCCTCTTCAACAGGGGACAACTCTCCGAGGTTATTCGCCTTTACTCATATCAGCAAGCCACCGCCTGAACATAGCCGCAAGGAAGGACCATCGCCCTAATCCTCTCGACTTGGCCAGCTCTGAGTTGCCTTGAAATTTACTATCAGACTATAAATGAAGAGCCACATGGGTGACGACTATCAGGTCATGACACGTGTCATGTATGGTATGCAATGGGCTACAATTAGTGATATACTTTTTTACCTTTTTTTGTAGCCCTCAGATTCCCATAAACAAAAGGATGAAGAGAGACATTCTGAATCTTTTTAAAGAATTATTTTTCTGTCGGAGTATTCTTGAGATTTTTTGGGGTTTTTCCTAAATTCTTTAAATCCTCTCATTTTTTTCCCATATTCACTCTTAACTTCTCTTGAAATTGTTTGTTCATAAGGTCGGGTGTCATCCAAATATATATTTGGATCAAATATCCTAAAAGGTAAGGTGAGCATAAATTGATGCTAGTAATTAGAAGACATACACATCTCGAAGAACAATAAAAATACTGAACCATCCATGAATATGGATGCTCCCAACTGCTCTACTCATCATGATTTCATGGAAATGGAGGAAAGACCCACAAAGATAATCTAGGATGCCTTAGGAGGATTATCAAGAATGCACGAAGAGAAAGTACACCAGAAGAATCTTTTAACTCGAATGTTCGTCGTAGGATAGCAGAGATCCGGACACTCACCTTGCTGCCCAACATGGATCCCACTCACATTGCCACCAACAACAAAGAGTATAAGTGTATAACCCTCCTCCATGACGAGTGAGGAGAGCAAAACCTACCCACTTTCTCCATGGTGATAGCAGGGTAACTCCTTGACGATGAGTAAGAAAAAAATAGAATTAAACTATCTAACACGAGCGACATGATCCATTTAATATAAGAAGGCAATCCAGTTTTAGATAAGTCAAAGAATAATCCCCACTATGAGCTGCAAGAAACTCTTATAGATTCATTCAGGCTCTAAAGAGTTTTGCTCTTCAACGGGGGACAGCTCCCCGAAGCTACTGCCTTTGCTCAAATCAACAAGTCACCACAAATACTCGGGGAAGGAGCATCTCAGGAGGTCAAGGGCTCAATTCTCTAGACTTTGCTAGCTTTTAGCTCGTGATTATTATGGCCTGAAGGAGCTCACCTCTTGCTTTTAGTAGCCTTATAACTGCACCTAGAGAGTTGCTAGCACACCCAAAGGACTTGCATATCGACTCGCCAGCTTGCCCATTAGACTCGCCATGCCAACTTATTTGTGGAAGACTCGACCAAGGGGACTCGCCTTGAAATTGGGATCAGGCCAGAAACGAGGAGCCACATGGGTGCCTATTTGGTCATGACACGAGTCATGTATGGTTAGAATTGGATCATATTTGTTCGCTTTGGTCATGACACGAGTCATTTTTGTTAAAGGATGCTAAAGTTGGATTCATTCCAGTTTTCTTCTTATTATCTTTCGAGTATTCTACTAAGATCATTTTCTAGGAAGTTAGAATTGGATCATATTTGTTCGCTTTTATCTTTTAGAGTTTTCTACCAAGTTCTTGCAATATAAGATGTTAGAATTAGATTCACACCAGTTTGATTCTTATCTTTTTTTCTTCCTTTACAAATGTAGGTATGTGGATCCCAACGATCCAACCAGGATATTCTTACAGCAGCCCACATCGGAGTCTCAGCTGCGACGCAGAACCTACCACCAGCCTGCAGAGAATGCCTATTAGTTTGTCTTATACGGTACACGGCATATTTTTCAGACAATAATAATTAAAAATTTATGGAGCGTATATATGATAATTTACACGTTTAACTGGACATAATGTTCATATGGATGCACTTGTTATTCGCTTTGTTTGTTGATGCTGCGAGAGCTGATTTTCGTTAAGTGTTATTATAGCGTTATTGATGAATTTTGTAAGTACGACTTGGGCTTTTGACGCATAGAGAAAAGCATGTACCAAATTGCTTGCATGTGCTGCAATTGAGGTTTCGTTTGGGACGGATTTCTTACTGCTTTTTAAAACAAAAGCGTATTTTTTATACTAAAAAGTTGTTTTAAGAAGCAGTAAGAAAGTCATCCTAAACAAAGCCTGAGTGTATCTTATGATAAGATTAACTTCGGTTTTTTTCTATTTTGTTTGCTTTTTGCTCAAACATGCGACGATAATAGTGTTGCAATAGTTGATTATGTATTTGTTGATGATAAATCATTTATTCTTTGAAAAAAGCTACAAAAATTCATGTACGTTTTGATGGACCAAATAAAGGGTTAACTTATTATTATTATTTTTTTGTATATTTAAGGCTGTCTGGGACGGTTATTTTTACTACTTCTTAAAGCAGAGTTTTAGTATAAAATTTTTAATTTTTTACTAAAAATTTATTTTTAAAATGCAATAAAAAAGTAGTCTCAAACGAAATTTTAATTTCAGCGGCTCAAAACTTTTAAAATGTTTAGGGAATTATTTTTTTTAGAAATAGAAAAAGTGTGTTAGAATTTTTTTTTCTGAGTGATTATTCAGTTTCTATTTAATTTTACTTGACTTGAATTATCTATCACATTCATATTAAATTAAATTCAAATTCAATATGAGATGGAGATGTCATTACAAATTTTCAAAATTTTAGAGAGAGAGTTGTGCACTTCCATGAATTTAGTATCTAATGTATTTTCGCTTGAATCAGTGTTTCTATGTAAATTAATGGAGAATGATGTAAAATTAAATCTTGAATGATCGAACTCAGTAGATATTTGGGCGGCAATATTTTGAATTAAATTTAATATCTGTATACTGGGGTGGAACCACATTATGGCTAGGGGGTAATTGCCCTCTTAAAAATATTAAAATACTATGATCTTTAGGCAATTGCCCCCAATGTAATTAAATATATTGTGTAGATGTGTTACTGTTAGGGAATGATGAACCAAATACAAAGAGAAATAGTAAATCGAATCCTGTCAGGGGGCGTTCCCCACGGTCGCCATTGGGGCGACTCACCCCGCGACATATTATGCGAACGTAGTTATTATAAGTGGCCCCCCCCCCCCTTCAAAAAATTTTTTTTTTTCATTCTACTATTCATTAGGTATTTTTTAATTTTTTATTATAAGATTTTTAGGTAATTGCCCTCTAAAAATATTAAAATACTATAATTTTAGGACAATTGTCCCCAATATATTAAATATATTGTGTATATGTGTTACTGGCTAGGATATGATGATCCAAATACAAAGAGAAATAGTAATCGACACCCTGCCAGGGGGCGTGCCCCCTTGAGCCCCCCGCGACATATATGCAAACGTAATTATAATAGTTTCCCCCCCTCAGAAAATTATGGTTGGTTCCACCCATGTTGTAATAAAAAATTTACAAAAACTCCTATTATTTGATTCGGTCTATACTATTGTTAAATGGTCTAATTTGCCAAATCTAGCTTTTTTGTTCTTAAACTGAAATGAAAATAGACATTTAGTTTGATTTTATATTAATTTAAATAAAATTGAATTAAATACAATTTAAAAATGATAAGAGCAGGGTTGCATTCCATTGCGTGCAAAATTCCGTAATGAACACACAATGTATACATAAAGATTCGAATCCAATATTTTTTAGTTGGAAGCCTAAGCTCTCAACCAACAGAACAAGGTGAGCTGTATGTTATCTCTAATTCTCTAATTATCATTAGTTAAATGGTAAAGCTACAAAATTCCATTCAACAAATTCATTTTAAACGACTTGGATTTTCTTTTTTCAAATAAAAAAAACCAGTCATTCGAAGTAATTTAAACATACCAAAAAAATAAATTGAAAGCTATAAAAAAGGGATATTAAAAAAAAAAAAATCTAACGTTTCCATCCCGGATTCTCTTCTTGCCTCCCGCCTCGATCTCCAACGGCTATTACCAATTCAAATTCCACCGCAAGCCACGGCAGCCCCACGGTCTCATCTTGTTAACTGCTTACGCTAATCCTTCTGCTTCTTATTCTCACATTCTCCTATTTGTCTCGCTCTCCAACAGTCCTCTTCTCTCAACCATTTCTTAGAGAAAGAAATCAAACAAGTAATTACGCCATGGAAGTCACACTTCTCGTCTCCTTCAAACTCCTCCTCTTCTTCTCCCTCTTCTCCATTTCATCCCTGCTCACCTTGTCCACCGACTTCGCCGTCGGCGGCGATGGAGATTGGGCCATTCCCTCTTCCAAAGATCCAGATTTCTATAACAAGTGGGCCGCTAAGAACCGGTTTAAAGTTGACGACACCATTAGTAAGTGCTTTTCATCTTAACATAGCAAAATATTATCTCTATGATCTCACTGATGTCGGCTCATTACAATACAGACTTCAAGTACAATAAGGACTCCGTCTTAGTAGTGACAGAGTCAGAATACGACAAGTGTCGATCGATGCACCCAATCTTCTTTTCCAATAATGGCAAGACCGAGTTCAAGTTCGAGCGAGCGGGCCTCTTTTATTTCATTAGCGGAGTCAATGGGCATTGCGAAAGGGGAGAGAGAATGATTATTAAGGTGATAACGGGGCCTAATGCATCACCGCCAGACCAGAGGAACGATACCGACTCATCGGACTCTGTTATCAATGATCTGCATTCTACTTCACTCACTATCTTTTTGTTGACGGTTGGAAATCTAGCACTTGCTTTAGGGTTTAATTAGTCAAAAAAATATCAAGGTTGACTGCTTTTGTCCAATTATTAGGTTTTTCGTGATGGACCGTTTTTTTATCAGCATTGATAGATTTGGTGTTCGTAGACAGTTATTTTGATTATTATGGAACTTTGTTTTTATCAATGCTGATGTGAAAAATAACTTCTTGACATGGAGTGTTAATGTTGATGCTTTGTTATTTTATCTACATAAATTTCGAGTAGGAATTCTTATAAGATTAATTTTATAAGGATTGTAATAATGCAATATCATTTTGAATAATTAATTATGATTATTAAAAAAAATTATATTTAATTCAAGCTCCTAATTTAATCACTATTTCAAAGTGGTGGTTCTTCTAATGTTATTTAGATGCTGATATTATCAACATTTCAGCATTTATTTTAAATACCAATGTCACATATTTAAAGGAGAATTTGCAATTATACTCTGCTTCCCCATTCCATGTAGAAAAAAATAAAATTGTTATATTTTTAGGATTTAATTGCAAATGTTAGAAAGTTAGGGATTTGTTTGTACTTCGAACGGGAAGCTCTTTAGTCTTGATTGAAAAGAAAACTCTTTATCAACTCCTCCACTGTTCAATACACAATTATTACTTATTTTGCTTTTATTTTATTTAAATTTATTTTTTATATGCTCATTATTAAAGCTTGTTTCATTGAATATTTTAAAATAAATTTTATAAAGGCGGTATCTGAAATGCAAGAATTAAGTGATTGGATGTAAATTAAAAATTTTAAAGAATATGTTTATTTTTTAATAATATATTTTAAATATATTAAAATACAAATAGAAAAAAACTTGATTTGTAACAAAAAATCATATTGATTCGGCACAAATGTCAAATCGATATGACATGCTTATAGGAAAATTGAGCGGCTCAACAAAACGAAACTAACGAGCCTAAGATTACTTAATTTTGACATAATTAATGCACTTAAATGCTTGACGAAAACTCTATAATATAATGAATTACTATGAGCCTTTTGACAGAACACTCCAAATTTAATTTGGATCTTCTTCATATTTACTAAGAATGTCACTCTCAAAAAATTATAAATAGACTCACATTCTTCACATGAAGGGGGAGGAGGAGGAGAGAAGAAGGGAGAGCTCTCTATCATTTTCCAACTATCTCTGATACGACGACTACCAGTTATTGTCGCCAACAACCGCTATCGTTATCAAAGATTCGCATCATAAATGTTTACCATCTCCAGAATTATAACAAGATATGACCCTTATGTAGTGTTGGGTACATTTATTCTCTTGTGAACATTTATTTTTATAATCTGTATTGGAAAAATTAAACCATGTTGTTGGATATCTTTTTATTTCCTTTTATTCGATAACGGAGCATCTTTGTATCACTTAGTGCATAGTGAATTCTACAACGGGATCAGAACCCATAGTTTTTTTTCTTTTTCAGATTTTTCATGTAAAAATTTCTCTGGTTTTACTATTTTTATCTATTCATGTTGAATCTTTATATACTGCTAAAATGTGAAACAGTCACGCTATGGAAGACTTAAGAAATAAAAATCCTAAGAGAAGTAATACAAGATTTTATAATTATTCGATTTAATTAATTTTATATATTTCAAATTCTTAAAAATCATTAGTTAGTGTTTATTTTCTTCAAATCAAATATTAAAAAATTAAATTTAAAATTAATGTACCCCACCAAAAAGCATCTAAATAGTTTTCCAGATTATGTTGAGAGATTTTAAATGAACTTACCAAAATTTTCCAGCCCAATTAATTGGCAACGGAGTGTATACTATCACCGCCATGGCGGGTGAGCGTAATTTAAAGCGATTAAATTCTCGTTTATTAGCTCCATCATGACCGTACAATCAACATCAGTCACAACTTCCACTATAGGCACCGCCTCGGCCGGTGGCAATAATAATTGTCGAAATCCGGTCACCATCTGGCTAACCCACCAATACAGTTCTCTTTATGCGGTTCATATTTATTACACCATATTAGACATTTAGGTCAATTAAGGTTTCGTTTGGGACGACTTTCTTACTGCTTCTTAAAGTTGTCCCAAACGAAGCCTAAGACTTCATTCATTATGACTTTTTTATTACTTTTTGAAGCAATTTTTTTATGTTAAAATTAAAAATTTTGTATTAAAAAACTGTTTTAAAAGTAGTAAGAAAGTTGTCCCAAATAAAGTCTAAAACAAACTCACGCACATATCATATGCACAAGACTCAAATATAGGACCTCTTGGTTAATAGCGAAAGCTCCCAAAGAACAGACCAAATAGAGTTCTGTCTATATTTTCAAAGTCACAGGAATATAGGATGAGATGGGATAACTACACGAGGAATAATTATCATTGTGTATACTTTTTATATTCATGTTATGGATTAATTATTATGTGCAAATGCCGAACGCCGTCCGGAGACAAATCAGAATGCGCCACATCACCCCTTCACTCGGTACCGCTAACGAGGCTGCACTTGATTCACATCCGAAAGTAGAGCTGTATCTGATTTCCGTACATGATAATTTCTCGTGTTATGAATCACATCAAGATTGCTGATAAATTTTGTATTGAATGTTAAATAAGTAACACAACTCTCTATTTTTGTCATCTAATACTTGAGACTTGGACATAAATGTTTTTAATATTCTGTCTTAATAGGACAAAATATGTGAAAAAATTCAGATAACTGATACTATTTAGTGGGATAAATGCTTGATTTATTGTAGTTAATTTATAATTTTTATATTCAGAATATTAAGGTTAATGTATAATTTACAATAAAAAGTAATTTAAAATATAATTTTTTAGCTACGAGCACCTAAATAAATATAATGAAAAAAAAAAAAAAAAAACAAAAAAAAAAAAATAGTCAACATTTTTAATTAATAGACTAATTTTAACTTAAGCTCTCATGAGCTTAGTAAGTCTAATTTATTAAATATAGATATTTTTATTTTTTTTAATAAAATTTTGTCAATAATATTAAATAAATAAATAAATTTATGAGTCAAATTGTGTGATTAAATGATAATATATAAGTCCTTCCTATAAAAGAAGTCCTTCCTTCTGTTTCAGTTCAAACTCAGAAAAGCAAAACAGCTCTATTCAGTAATGAATTACATCTCCTTCCTATTAGTCATCTTCCTCCTTCCATTTAGCTTCTCCTCTCGTCTTCCTCCTCCTCACAAACAACCTTTCACAAAAATCTATGCCTTCGGCGACTCCTTCACTGATACTGGCAACACTCACTCGACAACAGGCCCTTATGCCTTTGGCTCTGTCTCCAACCCTCCATATGGCACCACCTTCTTCCACCACCCAACTAATCGATACTCCGATGGCCGCCTGGTCATCGACTTCCTCGCCACCACTCTATCTCTCCCTTTCCTTCCTCCCTACCTAAACCAAAGCTCTCAGTCATCTTCCCATGGAGTTAACTTTGCTGTAGCAGGCTCAACTGCACTTGACCATGAGGTTTTTGTGCAGCATAACATCACATTAGACATCACGCCGCAGTCGCTGGGGACTGAGCTCAAATGGTTTAACGATTACTTGGAGAAGAAAGGTTGTCGAAAAGTCGGATCGGCAGAGTGCAGATTGGCCTTGCAAGGAGCACTCTTCTGGGTCGGTGAAATCGGAGTCAATGACTATGCATACAGTTTTGGTTCTTCTCTGTCACCGCAGTTTATACAGCAGCAAGCTGTTGGGAATGTCATCAGTTTGCTGCAGGTAATATTTATACTATCTTCTACTTCTTCTTCTTTTAATAGGGCTGTTTTGTTGCAAGACTTGGCAAGAATTTAATCTTAGTTTGGGACAGATTTTTATTGCTTCTTAAAGCAGTTTTTAAGTACAAAAAAATGTACTAAAAAGCTGCTTTAAAAAACAATAAAAAACCGTCCCAAACGAAGGTCCGGACATCCAATACAAAAAGGTCCGGTCACCTTACCTAGAAATATATAGGTCCGAACATCCAATAAAAACTTGCCACGTGGATTACTTTTGACTGTGCACTTTGACTGCGCTTTAACTACGCTTTACTTGCACTTTACTTGCGCTTTTGACTACTCTTTTTTGAGTCAAAGCACAGACCACGTGGCAAATTTTTAGTGGATGTCCAGAAATAGGTCCGATGACCGGACCTAATAATTTGCCCAAACGAAGCCTTAGATTTCTTAAAGCAGCTTTTTAGCATTAAAATTTTAATTTTTTAACTAAAAAACTGCTTTATGAAGCAGTAGGAAAACCATCTCAAACTAAAATTGTGAAGCATTTTATTGAGCTACATAAATTTTTTCTCTTTATTTTCATATAAAGCATGTTGGTACAACAGGAGATAATAAAAAGAGGAGCCAAACATGTAGTAGTTCAAGGATTGCCTTTAGTTGGTTGCCTCCCACTGTCATTATTTCTGAGCTCTCCAGAAGATAGGGATAGTTTTGGGTGCTCTGCAAGCATCAACAAGCTTGGTTCTGCCCACAACTCTCTTCTACAAAACAAGTTACAGGAGCTCAGGACCCGTTATCCGAAAGCCATTATCTTGTACGCCGACTACCTAAGAGCTCACGGCACCATCATGAAGAGCCCGAAAGCAAACGGCTTCGTCGAGCTTTTCAAAGCTTGCTGTGGTGCAGGGGGAGGACAATATAACTTTGACATTTTTAATACTTGTGGATCTGCAGAAGCCTCTAGAGCTTGTTCAGATCCTTCTAAGTATGTCAACTGGGATGGTGTTCACCTCACTGAAGCAACGTACAGGAAAGTTGCAGACATGTTCTTCCATGGCGGATACTGTCAACCTTCATTTGATACATTTATAAGGAACAAGGAGGAGTAAGAGCTGTTGAACTATTTCATGTAGTACGTAATGAGTAAGGATTCAAGAGCTGAGAAGGTGAAAATAACTAGTTAATAGCTGTTTCGTGATCTTTTCATCTATGTAGAGATTGATGAGAGGTGCTCTCAATTAATAGTGGTTGGTGTTTGGTACTTCATAAGTGATTGTTACGAAGATTCCAAAGCAATAATCATCAATCATAAAATTGTAGGGAATTAGTCAACGGTCTTTTTGTGAAACTTTAATAATGAAGCTTCTTTATTATAAAATTTTGAGGAAATTTAAGATCGATCTTTTTTTTTTTTTGGACGTTAGGGGATTTAAGCGCGGGATGAGAAGGGAGGAAGAGCTTTTGTCGACCATTTGGCTGCTTACCCGATCTTAGAGTGATTTTGTCGTGAATGTCCATCCATATATGCTATTTTTATATAAAATATTTTCTTTGTAGAACATTAATTAGACTTCACAATCCTAGCTAATCAAATATAATAAGAATTGTTCAATCATTTCAAGGAATGAAATGTGCCGGAAGCTGGCTAACAAAAATGTCATTGTTCATAGAGCGCAAAGAATTTGAAAGCCTAATAGATTGGCAACCACAAAGTAGCAAACACAAAATCCTTAATGATTATCTAAATCAAGGAAAACTCTTAGGCCATCACTCCCCTGCTACTAAACTTCAAAAGATAACATTTTCCTTTCCATTTGTTAATAACACTTCACACAAACACAATACCTAGTGGTGCTATGCGAGTGCTTATTTTTTCTTCTTTTATATGGAAACATTTAAGGATAGGTATGAAGGATTACAAGTATTTGAGTACGCAGCTGATCTTGGCTTGTTACGTGGGAGCTTTGACTGTCAACTAAGAAGTCTTGAATTGTATATGTGATATGTGTATGAATTTATCTTAATTGATCTAAATGTTCCAAAACCAAAAAGAAGTAATTGAGTTAGGTAGCCGCCTAACTTCAAAATCAAAATTCAAATCATATTCAAAATTTTCATCAATTGAAAATGCTTTAAAATCAAATTTGCATCAGAGAAATATAGTAAATTATGTTCCTCGCATCATTACAATAACCTTAAGGTGATTTTCTAGAAAAATCATTAGGGCGTATCACAATGTTGCTTGCTGATACTCAAGGACCATAATTAAATTTTTGTCCTAAAATTTCATTTTAAGAAGCAATAAAACAACTTTCCAGTAAAAATTTAATATTTTTTTAGCTAAAAAACTATTTTACGAAACAGTAAAAAAATCATTTCAGATGAAGCCTTAATCAGATTAAAGTGCTCACTGAAGTGATCACTGAACAAGTAGATTCAAATAATGCTATAGGCCAACATAGACAGTTCCTTAAAATTTCTCTTTTTTCCCTATATCATTAATAACTCACACTGAATTTAAAAATGATTGTTTTATTTTAAGGTTATTTTAAGCTTAATTAATTTTATTTTAGCATCATTGTAGAAACATCTTCAATGTATCTTCTCAGCTTTTGACCAACTAAACAGTTGAAATCATTACATCAGTATAAAAAATTATGTTAAAAATTCAATGGAAAGATAAATACAAGTTTTCACTCGATTTAGGGAATTTTTATTCCGTCAGGTTACCTGATGTAGCTCTACGTCAGGTAACCAATAATATGTCGTCACGTGCTCTTATTCTTTACCGCGCGGCCCGACGACCCGACTCAGACCGAATCCGGGATTACTATTTTCGTGTATTGCTCGGTATTTGCTTGGTATTGCTTGGCAATAACGAGATATACCGCTCTGTGAAGATCAATACAGAGTAATACCTAAAAGAACTCGATATTGCTCAATATTGCTCGATACTGCTCGGTATTGCTCTGTATTACTTAGTATTGCTCTTCACATAATGATAATTTTCTTTTTTTGTCGAGCAAAATAGACCAATACCTAGCAATGCGGAGCAATACGCAAACTCCCGGGTCCGTTCCGGGTTGGGTTGTCGATCCACGCGGTAAAGAGTAAGAGCACGTGACGACATATTATTGGCTACCTGACGTAGAGCTACATCAGGTAACCTGACGGAATAAAAATTCCAATTTAGGAGACTCCTACTTTGCTTCTCCATATACACTTACAAGCACAATTCAGGACTATCAAGAAAGACCTTACAATGATGGCCTGCAAGCATAGACTTAAAACTTAAAAGTTACTGTGAGCAGTAAGCCTGCATTTTAGGCTTCTTTTGGTACGACTTTTTAATTACTTCTAAACTAACTTTTAAGTACAAAAATTTTTTAAACTAAAAAATTTTGTACTAAAAAACTGTTTAAGAAAGTAGTAAAAAAATAATCTCAAACGAAGCTTGAATCTTTTGCTCCTGGTTTACTTAAAGCTCGAAATGACTGCATCTATATTTTTCCATTAGTATACTCAATGAAACTCAATAAAGCTGTTAAATTATAAATATCATTTTTTTAAGTTGTTATGGTATCATTTAAAAAAAAAAAAAAAAATAGGAACAATAACTTTACTACAGATAACATTCTAACGTATATTTAGTTGTAAAAAGCAGTTTTTCTTCAACATAAACTTCCTGAAAATCAGTCTAAAAGTAGGTGCCAAATGACAATGTGACAACGATTTAAAAAACAAAGCAGTGAAAAAACTGCCTTATTCAGACTCCTAATCCAATAACTAAAAAATAATGCCAATAAATAGTAAGTAGCTCAAGAGGCATTTCCCTCAGCCTTCCAAAGACATGGCAAGGGTTCAAATCCCCCCAACAAAGAAAAAAATAAGAACAAAATCACATTTACATGGCATCTTTATAAGGTTTAAATCTGAGGACTTCCCCTACAACTTCAGAAGGAAGTATAATATTAATCACCATATGCAATTTGCAGTTCAAGCACAAAGAGAAGCATTTTTTTCTCTCTTCTTTCTGTGCCTTTGAGTAAAAATTATGCTAAACTTCTCAGAAATAGAGCTCTATGTACAGTTGTTCAGAAAAGCAATGCTTTGTTCTCAATGATCTTATTACACAGCATTTCAGGAGAAATTTTAAAATTATGAAATGGGAATGCTCTAGCCAAACTCAATCTTGAAAAGATGGTTGGCTTTGATCAATTTATATTCCAATCTCCTTTTAGGCTTTTATCTACAGACTATAACATGTAATCATAATAGACCAAGAAAAGAGTGTCAGGAATGTTGAGTGGCAAGCTATCTATATAGCAATAGAAGCGCCTTACATTATCCTCCTCCAAAGTTGCTGTGTCAACTACATCACTGGTACTGGTGAGCACCCAAAGGTCCCTTGATCGAACTCTTTTAAGGCTTCCCCTGCAAAATGGGCAGGATTGTGACCTTTTGTTCCTGTAATTCAAGCCACAATGACATTAGAAAAGATAGAAAATTAGGTTTCGTTTGCAATGACTTTCTTGCTGCTTCTTAAAGCAGTTTTCTGATAAAAAAAAATTTATTTTTTTGCTAAAAAACTGCTTTAAGAAGCAGTAAGAAAACAGTCCCAAACGAAGCCTTAGTAAAATACTAACAGAAGTGCTAGAGATGAACATACCAGTCATGGTAACAGTTTATGCACATAACATGATTGCAACTAGGTAGAACCATTTTGGTGCAAATCTCCATACAGATACCACATTCATCATCTCTCTCTAAATCTTTATCTGAAATCTTCCTCCACTCTTCTCCTCTTTTCCTTCCAACAGTCTCTTTGCTTCTACCTCTGTCATATGACTCTTCATTCTCCAACAAGTCACTTTCAAGTTGTTTAAGTGAAGGATAAATGATAGCTGACCAAAATATAGGAAAATATGTATTCAAAATAAGAAAACATGCTGAACCATCTCATAACCAGATGAAACTTTTAGGCTTTGTTTGGGACGACTTTCTTACTGCTTCGTAAAGCAGCTTTTTAGTACAAAAAATTTATTTTTTGTGCTAGAAAACTACTTTATGAAACAGTAAGAAAGCCGTCCCAAACAAAGCCTTAATATATACCATAAAATTCTTTAATGCTGGCTCCCCTTTCATATGCTGATACTGTAGATTTTTCATCTGTGTTGACCTGCAGAACGATTATGACAACAATCAACATCTGAAAGCTCATTGCGCAATTGACTTCAGCATTGAAAACAATAAGATTTTGGGAATAGGATCCCAACCTGATCCAATCACCAAGAGCAAACATACCGAAGAAAATTACATTAGCCAATTACAAAGCAATAGTACCCAAGAAATTTAGTTATTTCTACTTAAATTTAGAATATACAAAATAGGGGAGCTACCTTATATATAACTATTTGGAGAAGCCCTAAATAACTGGGAAGAACATAAGTTGGGACACAATTAACCCACTGCAATAGAAAGAGAAAGATTGGAGCCATAGGACTATATGAAAGCTTCATCTGCAGGCAAGCACCACCATAAGCTTTATGCACAGCATCTGCCCTGCAAAAGCAGTATCCAAATTATCTAAAATGATCATCATCTAAAACTAATTAGTAAAAAAAAAAAGATTTTAAACATGAATTAAAGCGAAAAATCGATTTTTTTTTCACAAAATCCAATAGGCGTGAATAAAAAAGAAGTGAAAAAACAAAATAGTGGACTGTGACAAAATTGGGCGAGAGAGAAATTACAAAGTGTTCGCATGCTGTATATCAGCTTCGAGGGCTTTCAGAGAGCCTTTGAAGGATGAAGGCCTGGAAAGCTGGTTTTGGAACATAACTCCTTTTAACTTCCTTGTTCTCTATCGGAAACGAAGAGGAGGAAAAGAAGAGGTGAAGAGAAAACAAGAGAACAAATGGCGATTTGGAACCCTAGGATTTAAAAGAAGCGCTCAATTTATAGAATAATTAACTCAATGGATGATAATGATCATTAAGGATTAGAAATCGGTTCTCTTATCTGGATGCACTCAGAAGTCAAGGATGGGAAGAAAGACTCCCATCATTTTGAACGGTTCCACCATTGATGCAGATGTGGGGTTCTACTTGCAGGAAGATTCTAGAGAGAGAGGTAAAGGGAGGGGAGAGAAAGACCACCACTCCAACACTGCAACCAACAGAGACCACGACATTAACTAGCGAACAGCGAATAGGTCTCCTCTTAAAAAATAATAAAAGGTTAGGTTTTGCAAATTTTTTCTACAAAAATATTTTTTAATTTATTTGGCGGGCTGGTTCAACTACAATATTTATTAAAATTATGGCGCCTAATTATTATGATGTACTTTGATCCTACTTCCTGTTCGTTTTTAGTATAATTAAAAGCTTCATAATAATGTACAAGGAACCAAATAATTTCTGAATATTTAGGATATAAAATGAAAATTATAATACTCATAATTAATTTTTTTAGAAAATTATAAAAAAGATCCAATTAATTATTTTTTAATGGAATAGGGCAAGTTAATCCAAGAACTTAGAGCTCAATAAAAATAAAAATTTAAATCAACAATATTATTTAAATAAGTGTTTGTGTTCTTATGAAATTAAAATATTTTATAATAATTTGCATCAATTAACTAAAAAAAAGTTATTTTTACAATGCATGTAAATTAATTATTATTTTACCATAATAATTATCAATAATTTTCTAATTATAATTTTCAAAAGTCAAAGAAGAATAGCATAGCTTCCAACAGCAACAGATAAGACATTAGTCCAAAATCCGGCAAATAATTCGTTTATTATATGATAATTCAATTGAGTAATGTGTTATATATGTATTAATTATTAAATAATTAAAGGTTATATAAAAACATACAGAAAAAATAAATAAATAATTTGAAGACTTGTAATTAGAACAAGTGGAGTAAAAGGGCAGAAGGAGCTGTAGCGGTTTCGGCGGCAAGAAACGGTCATCTATGCATAGGATTCAGTCAACTGTACTTATGAGATTAAATTATAATTATTTCTTAAGAAGGAAAAATAAAATTGAATTAAATATTAAGCCAATTTGATTAATTAGTCTTAATTATATGAAGAAAGTTATAAAATATTAAATGTAATATCATGTTTGTTTTAATTGTTATTCACAAGCTTAAGTTTAGGATTTAGGAAGATAAATTAATATTTTAAAAATGAATTACAAGGTTAGTTAAATATTGACAAATGGATAGAAATTTCACTACTAAAAAATCAGGCTTTCGCAACACTTTTTATGACCTACCGCAGCAGTTTAAACCCCTACTAATTTATTTGCAGCGCTTTAGAAATCGCTGCACATCCGCTGTATTTGTTTTAACCGCAAAGGTTTTTGCAGCGGTTTTACAAATATGAAGAAAAGAAAGATAGAGGGGATGAAGATTACTGGATGGAAGTTTTTCCTCAAGCTAAGCTGTGCCTCACGCTCTGTCTCCCGTTCCTGCAAGGCTTCTCCGCCTCTGCCTCTCTCGTTCTCTCTCTGGACCGCACGCAAGATCAATAAATGCCGAGAGAAAGGACATGAGGGAGGGAGGCGTACCGAGGCGTGCGAATCGGTTAGGGCAAGAAGCAGGAGAAGATGGATTTGACTGGGACGTGCGAATGATAGCGAGCGGCAGAGGGAAGAGGCCTTCGGCCTTTTTGCTTTGTCGTGGACGAAACGAGAGAACAAGGTGCATGAGTAGAGCTGCTGGAGTAAAAGATGTTCGAAATCAAAGATTTCGCCTTTGAGACTAGGGCACGGGAGGGGAAGAATGAGGTGGGCAACTGGGCAAGCGAGACGAACGTCGTGCGCTCGGGAGATGAATCGCGTGATATTAAAATGTGATATTTTTAAAATAGTTTTTACAACGGTTTCAAAATGCTGATATTGAATGCTACATAAAATATTAATTTTTAATAATAAATTTAGCAGCGGTGAAAACCGCTACTTATAACTATCTATATCAACGATTTATAAACCGCCACTATAAACTGCTGTAAAAACATCTAGTTTTTAGTAGTGAAAAGAATATTTGTAGAATTTATCATTATTTTGTTAGATGTAAATTAAAAGAATTTGAATAAATGATGCAGATTTTAAATATAGCAAAAGATTTAGATTGGTTTAGCAAGGTTGTAAAATTATTGTAAAGAAAATAATTTTGCTATTATGATTGTAGAAAATAATTTATCAACACAAAATTTTTTGAAAAATAGTTAGAAAATAATAGCCAAACAAAATTATGATTATTATATGAAAAATAAAATAGATAACAAGCTATCTCAAACAGACCTGAAGGCTATTTAAGACAGTTGCCGTATTTTATAAAGAGTATTGTGAGGCTATTATAATGAAAGATATTTTTTTAAAATCTAACGGATATTAGCAACTCTATTTGTATAAAATAACTTTCTATCGTAATACTGTATAGAAAGAAAAATTATTAGGTGCGGAGTGTGCACCGTCTGCACAAACATAGGTACCTAGCGGTACCGAGTGCCGATACCTAGCGCGGAATAAGGCTTGTGCGAACGGTTCTCTCCGTCCACACTCCGCACCTAATAATCTCTCGTATATAAAGTAGAGAGATAGTAACAAGAAAGTAGTACAAAAATGAGGATGCTCAGGTGGATGAGTGGCTTTACCCTTAGAGATAGGATATGAAATGAGCATATACGTGAAAAGGTTGGAGTAGCTCTAGTAGAAGATAAGATTAGAGAAAGTCGCCTTAGATGGTTTGGTCACATAAGACGGCGGCCTTCCGATGACCCGGTTAGGAGAGTAGAGGTATTAGATTTGACTTATGTTAAGAAAGGTAGGGGTAGACCTAAAAAGACTTGGTTAGAAAATATTATGAATGACCTTTCTTTATTAGATTTAGATGAGAATTTGACTTTTAATAGAATACAATGGAGAAAAAGGATTCATGTAGCCGCCCCACGTAGTGGGATAAAGGCTTGATGTTGTTGTTGTTGTTGTATTCAGTTAAATAAAATAAATGATTAATTTTAATTATTTGATGACAAATGTTTGTAGGTAAGTAAAATTAAAAATTCAGTTTAATGAGTGATTAAAGATTGTAAAATGTGATACTTAAAATAACTAATAACATAAAAATTGAACTTTCAAAAAAGGTTGAATACTATATTTATTTAATATGTATATACCTATTTATATTTCATTGCAATAGCTATTTCTTACGCTTAACTTGAACTATATGATGGCCTGTAGATAATCTTTTTTAAATAGCATAAATTAAATTAAATCACTTCTAATTTTTTCACTGCTCTTCACATTGAAAACCGAAAACCTTAATTTTTTTTCCTTAAATTAACTCTGCACCGAAATATTTAGGTACATAAGACTTAAAATTAATCTAATTGCAAATTCATCATTTAATATATTATATTTACAATTTTTTACCCTCCATAAAAAGGAGTCGCGACGAAGCAAGATAATAATTGGCAGAAACTTAGTAGAGTGACAGTGGTTGGAAGGATAATAGTCGAGCAATAGGAGTTGAAGGATATTAATGGGGGCAACGATTAGAAGGATCATAGTCAAACGACCGATATTGAGTAAAATATTGTTGACCAATGAATATCGAAATATTGTAATCGAGCAAGGATGATGGGATAAAATGTATTAAGTAAACAATGGTTAGATATAGTATGATCGAATAATAGTATCGAAATATAGTATTAAAACTATAATCGAGCGACTAAGATGAGAGTATCGTAGTATAGTAATACAATAGAATGAAATTGTTCAAAGATCTATAATTGGGCAATAATTATCAAATAAGAACAGTGCTTAAATAACCAAAAAACAGTGCTTCCCCGTAAAAAAAAATCCCATAAATAACCAAAATTCCAAGCTCTTCATGAAACGACTTATATTAATTTTATCTTTTTTTACATTTAAATACATTAAAGATATCAAAATTAGATAATATTATGATATTGAATTCGATCTTATAAACATACTAGATGTAAAAATCAAATAATTATTAAATTAATAAGTAAATTTTACAAGAATTTTTCACATACTTTGAAAAAATTATTGACTTGTCCTCCTTTCAATTTCGATAAAATCACGTTTATCTCTTTAAAAGATCCAGATGGATTATAAATTTGATAAAATCAATGTCTGAAATCCGCTTTATAACATAGACATCGCAGTTTTTATATTTATTAATACAATATTTTAAATTTTAAATTATACAAAAATATCACTAAAAATACATATAATAAAAATTAAGCCATTAAAATATCATATAAATAAACATAAATTTTAGTCATTAAACACTTTTTCATCAAAATTCTGTTTTCATCACTACAGCAAAACTCATTACAAAGACGACTGCAGCAGGACAAGAAAAAACACCATTTCACATACTTTGAAAAAATTAATTACTTGTCCTCTTTTCAATTTCGATAAAATCACGTTTATCTCTTTAAAAGATCAAGATGGATTATAAATTTGATAAAATCAATGTCTGAAATCCGCTTAAAAAAATGTTTATCTAATTTTATTTTTGAGGTGGCCATACTTTTTTTTTACAATATATTCCTATGCAATTTTTTTAAAAATAATGAGACATGGCCCTCATTTTTCTTTTAAACAAATCTATAACGCAGATAAAATATTAAATTAAACTTTTTTTAAATTATTAAATTAAATCGCTTATTTCTTTTTTTATGATGTGCACACATACCTCGCAATTTTTATATTTATTAATACATATTTTCAAATTTAAATTATACAAAAATATCACCAAAATACATATAATAAAAATTGAGCCGTTAAAATATTATATAAATAAACATAAATTTTAGTCATTAAACACTTTTTCATCAAAATTCTGTTTTCATCACTACAGCAAAACTCATTACAAAGACGACTGCAGCAGGACAAGAAAAAACACCAGCAGACTATCTACTGCACTTGAATATCGAGTACTTTGGAGGAAGGAGAGGCTTTTGGCACGGTGACATAGAGCACTCCATCCCTAACCTCCGCCCCAATCTTCTCCACCGTCGCATTTTCCGGCAACGCAATCCTGCTGCTGTACCGCCCAAAGCTCGCCGCCGGCCATCCTCCTTCCCCTTCCCCCTCGCCCTGGCCTTCCTCCGCTGCAGCCTTCTCCGCCTTAATGACAAGCATCCCTTCCTCAACCCATACCCTCACATCCTTCTTCGTCATCCCCGGAATATCGAACCGCATCTTATACTCGCCTTCAGCTTCCCTTATCTCCCATGGCGTTCTCCCTCCTCTCCGATACCCATTCAATGCGCCGGCAACCACCGCCGGTTCGATCGGGTCCTCTATTAAGCGATCCATCGTGTCCATCATCTGTTGCACGGTCCTCGCCGCCGGAAACCGATCCCATAGCCCGATAGGCGGAGATCGCCGGCGAATGGTTTGGGCGGCTTCCACCGGCTGCTGCTGCTTTCCGATTCGCTGGAGATGGTCGAGGCTGTCGGATCTGCTGATTCGAGGAGCCGTGCAGCGAATCTGGCGGCGGAGGGATGGGGAGGCGGTGGTGAAGGGGATTTGATGGAGTGAGAAAGCGGTGGACATTGATGCAGATTTTTGTATTGTCTTCGAGGTGTTCGATGGAATGTTGAAGAGGAGAGGTCGATGGGGTGGATATGAAGGGATGGTGGGGGGCGTAAGGGTTTGTTGTTTTCTGTTGGCTTCCAGACTTGTCTGGAGATTGGGACACTCGAGATTTGTCTACACAATGGTAGAAGCTTCTTTTTTTTCCTTTTTCAGTATAATTCGCTTATAAGAATAATGTAATTTATTTATATAGGTTTTTTGTTATTTATTATACGATAATAATTTTCTACGATATAAATGACTTTTTTTTTATTTTTTATTTTTATTTTTACGGCCACGCCTATCTTCCAATATTTCATGGATGAGAATGTAGGAGAATTAGTGCCGATTTATAATCTGTAAATATCTATAAAAATAATTGAAAAATTTTTGCAAGAGAGAGCAAAAACTGTTGAAAATAATTACGCTTATTAGGATCTTTTATTTAAAAAATTATAACAATAAGTTTTTATAACCTCTATAATATTTTAGATATAAGAAGATCTTTTTCATTTTTTTTAAAAAAAAACTGCAAGAAAATTATCCCAAAAAGAATCTTAACCTATTAATTAAATGGTAACTCAAAATCAAATCATTTCAGACCATAAGTTGATTTCAAACCAGAAAATTGCAAAACGATTGAAATTAAAATGTAATTAAAAGTAGCGGAAAAAAATTTACAAAAAAAAAAAAATCAAAGGTTTATATATACAATAAGGAACATACACAGGTCTGCAAGGTGTAGCAGCACTACAGAAGTTTCCAGAAATTATCTGGGCAATACGGCAAATCTGGAAAGTCAAACTTCAAGTGTCTGGAAATGAAAGAAAGCTCTTGGTTAGCTAGTCACAAGGACTTTATTTAGAATCTTAAGCTTTATTAATAATGAAAAAGTGATAGCAACATCACTCGCTGCACTCATCTTCGTCTACCTCCACCAATCTTCCTTCAAGCTTCCTACAAAATTAAAAAAATAAATAATGAAATTTAAAAATAAAAGAGCTTCAACGTTATTTTTGTAAGCATTCTCAAGACTGAAGTCTTAATTGGGGGAAAAAATCTAGTTCAGATCATCCTCACCAAAATTTATCACAGGTTATAAGATCAACTTCTTAAATTATAGCCAAAGTCAAGCATAAAGAGAGGGAGCGTATAGCTAACACATGAGCTGGAGAGTAGCCGTTTGGCCACTCGAGCAAGGCGAGAGGACTGAAAGGTTAGTATACGCTCGACTGTACACCCACCCAATCTTGATAGATTCCTCCGTTAATGCTTCGTTTGGACGATTTTTTTATTGCTTCTTAAAGCAGTTTTCTAGTATAAAATTTTAATTTTTGTACTCCAAAGCTGCTTTAAGAAGCAGTAAGAAAGCCATCCCAAACGAAGCCTAAGTTATGTCAAAAAAAGTGAGATAATTTAGTGCTTTGTTCTGAAGCTATCGCGTGGTTGTTCAAGAAAACTTTCAACATATAAAAGTTTACAAAGAGATATGGTACCCACAATTTAAAAAAAAAAATAAGTGAGAAACAAACCTCGGAGGATAAACCTTTTCATCAGATAAGGCCTTCTCTAATCTCACTTCAAAAGGAGTGGCATGCCAGCTAACTTTCTGGTCCTGGCGTTGATGTACAATATTAGCTATTGTTTATTTTTCACCAGAGAGAAAATGAGTTTCAAATGGTAAGAGAATAAACCTCCTTATATTTGGTTGTTGAATTTGGAATTCCATTGCCATCCCACTGTTTTGGAGAGATGCGTGAAGGGTCTTCATCATTCCAATGAGCTGCAGCAGCTCCTATAATTGGTCTGTCTTCATCAGGACTTTGATCAGAATGAGATGGTTCCTTTCTGAAATCCGTGTTGTTCTTGGTTTCAACCCTTGGCAATGGAGGTCTCAGCTCCTTTTTTAGAGAAGCAGGTGGCACCTTCTGTGTATTCTCCCTGTCTTCACATAGAACATTCAATTCGAATGACTTTTGAGAGAGATCTGGAACAGGATAAACGAATTGAGCTCTGATCCTCCCAGTTCTGAAATTCTCAGAATTCTGCGGATATATAGTTCCTGGAGTTTGCATCCCATCTACTAAGTTTAGTGGAGTAGGATAAGGTGATTCAGATCCATATGGTTGAATCTGATTTTCAGTTTGAGGGGATATCTCCAATGCATCAGCATTTATCTTCTCAACTATAGAATGATTCAGTTCTTCAAACCGTACCATCTTCTTTGTTGTGCCATTATTCTCATCACGTCCACAGCTAAACAACAAGACAATAAATCAAGGATTTGATAGGCCCAAAAGTTAAAAATTAATTGGGGACAAAATTTCTTATTATTATTCTGACTTTTTAAAGGAATGAGAAGTACTACCTTTTGGGTTTCTCTTCTTCGAAAATTAAGGTTTCAGAATCCAATATAGGAAGGTCATCATTCTTCTCAAGCTGCTGGTCCCAGTTGAGCTTTATACAACATGGATCAGAAGCTACAGACTGCTCAACAGATGATTTGCGAATTTCGATAGGAGTTTCTAGTATAGCACCACAAGATTTGAGGAATTTTGCCTGTTAAAAATGCACCCCACAGAGATTGCTATCAATACTCAATAGATTTTTTTTTTTCAAAGGGACTAAATATTCTATATTTATGACAGATAATCACTCAGCAAACAAATGACACATTAGCAACTTCTAAATAATATTCATCTGTAAGGTTACATACATAAAACACATAAATTTCATCTGAATTACTATAATTGCATTCATCAATGAGCAATTTAGATAATAAGAAAGAGGAAGAAGCATAAACAGAACCATTCATCACAAGGGTAACGTAAAATTGTAGGAATGCAAGCACAAATATAGAAGTTCTAGAGTTAATAGAGCTTGTTAGTAGTGGTGGAGCATTGTAAAGGAAAGCAATAAAATAGTCTGGCTGGCGATCTAAATCAAACCAGGCATTTCAACCTAAACATCCCATTCCATAAGTTATCTGATTCTGCAAGCAAATAGACTGTTGTTAGACTATTAGGAAAATGTTATGTTTAATGAATATAATTTGGAAAAATAGACATTTATTCTGCCTTATTGTATTTATTCTTTTCTCTCTTTCTTTTTTCTGTTGTATTCATTATGCACGCATGATGGTTTAGTAAATAAGATCAAATTCCCTGCTCTGAAACCACAATCACAACCCTATTGCACCATTCATTACTTCTCTTGCTATATTTCAAGACACCACCAAGAAGACATGGGGCTTTCTCCATTCCACCTAATTTCAAGAAAGTAATAACTTCCGAATCTACACTCTCTATTATAGCATCTTCTTTGTCCAATAAGCAACCTATCGCTTCAAAGGAACTATACACCTTGAGAGGGAAATGGGATCACTCAATCCAGTATCGTCCCTTTGCTACCAATTTTGTTCTTTAGCAAAAAATAGAGCTTCTAATTGCAAAATTTTTCTCTACCCTTCATCACTATCTTCAAGTATATAATCTCAACTAATGGTTAGCTATATCGTATCATATATCACTATCACTCTATCTCGCATTCTTCGCATCACAAAACTCCAAAATCATCCACCTTCAACCAATGATCAGTTTAACCCTTATTATTGATTTGAGTGGGTGGAAATAGAATTGTCATTTAGGAGGGTAAACTTATAGTGGTCATGGTCATTAAAATATCTTTATCCAGAAATTGCATTGATACCACACTAATCATCATCTTGAATGTCATTAAGAATAAAACAATTATCCTTTGACTACCCAACATATATCTGCATAAAACTTTGGGCTATCATCTTCATCTTTTTTTTTTTTCTTTTTCTTTTTTTTTTTGCTTTGTTAATATCCCTATAGATGAGTATGATCAATTACTTCAACAAATAAAGGCATCTATATCAATTTATTGGGTTATGTCTTCCTCATACTATGTTGATATTTGTATCAATATATCCTGAGTTTCAAAATCATGAGTATCCTTACAAATGTCAGTAATTAATGGATATTTTCTTCTTTACACACGCCTCCCCTGACCAATTATAATTATACGTAATGATTCACCAACCCCTATTTTTAGAAAATGCATAGTCCACCCTTCTTGAAGTCTTGCTCTCTCAAATATTTCTTCATTACATAGGTCTCCCCTTGCCACATGAAAGTCCTTAAGCCAAGTTGGGGAACATCGTACACACCTCGAAATTTCTTGAGACACCTCTTCCTTCACATTTCAATCTTATGTCATCATACATGCCTTTGATATTGGTGACATCTTCTCACTAGCGTGGTCTCTATTAATCCCTCCCCTCTCCTCTTTGAAGTACAAACATGTCCTCAATGTCAAGGTTACATAATACGCTTAAGAATTATTCTTCAATGAGCTATGTTGAACCTCTTTATGGCCAACCTTCCCATTTGATGATATTGCACTTTGATGATTCTACCATTTGATAGGTGTCATGAGCTAAGAATTGATGCTAGCTTCACCAAGAGGTGCTTTTCCCTCAAGATAATTGAAAGTTTTGTGGTATGATGCTTCATTTTTTTATGGTAGGGCTTAACTAGGGAGACATGAAAAATAGGGTATAAGTGTAACTGCTCATCTTAAATCAAGGTTGCCATCATCATCCCCGCTACATTGGGGAGGTAAATAAAAAAGTGTGCAATTTTTGTGAGACAATCTATGATGAAAGTAATAAATATCTTTTTGCAGGATGTCAACAATTACAAAATGAAATACATGGTTAAATCTTCCCATGCCATTGTTGGCACAAGATGAGCTTGAAGTAATCACATTGGTGTATATTTGATTACCTTGCAAATTGCGTAACTCTATAAAAATTCTTTAACATCATGTTTCATCAATGACTTGTAAAAATGTTTAATGAGTTGGTACAACATTTTCTGCCCTTTATCATGATCAACAACTACATTGAAATGGCATTCTTATAATGAGATCACTAGATTGTCAACTACTAAGACGTGTGATGAGAAAGATATAGTGAAAGTATCCAGCATAAATTAACATTTTTTTTCCATTGCTCCTGTTAAAAATGTTAGTATCTATAAAACCGAGCATTTACCTATTGTGTTCCTAAATTGAGGTGCATATGATGATCTTCTCGGCAACATGTGGGTAATGAGTGGGCGGGTTGAAGAATTTTAAGAATCCTAATATTTATTGAATCAGTTTAGATACCTATTTAATTAAAGTGGTGAACTGTGAAAAGCTAGGTGAGAGATATATGACTTGGTAAAAAGAGGCTATGGATCCTTGAGATTGAAGTTTCATTGGTTAAGTTAAATTCCTTCAACATTTGTGATTTGTCCCTCCAATTCAACTTATTTTTCCTACCACATGAATCTCATAGACATGAGTTGTAGTTGGTGGTGATAACACGTAATGGCTATAACCAATGAATTCTCAACACAATTTTAGCCCATCATATGACCATATAGAGTGGAAGCCATGCCATCACACTTACCTCTTCATTATAATGTCTCTTCATTAACAACAAGGACCTAGAATGTTGTTTTAGTCATGACTGCAATGCCTAGAAATTCCATCAATCATTGTTGGATGAATTTGTGCGTAGATCCACCATCGATCATAACATATAATCGAGTTTTAATGATTGAATCTTCCATGTGTAAGGTGTTCGAGGATTGTTGGGTTGTTAATGAGGAAACTAATTGTAGTAGGTTCAGCTTTCATTGACTCTGGTCCATCGCTAGTGTTAGCTGATAATTCCTGACATTCACCCATCTCGTTGAGATTGTCAGTCTCTTCCTTAATTAATAATGCAAATATTTTGCCTTTGCAAACATAATTATATAGTTATAGCAAAAATATTTCTTCATCTTCTATGTTGTTGTCAACTTATTAATTAGCAAGTAAGACTGAGTCATTATTGGAGTGGGGGATCTCATCGGTGAAGGAAACAAAGCAAGGAATTTTTTGTAAGTGAGGATTCATTATCAATAAGTTTGGCGAGAATATTTTTAAATTCATTAAGCTTTTCCTTCATAAGTTTAAGTAGCTTAATTGCCTACCGATTAATTTAAACCTCTTTTCTAACTCACTCAATCCATATTCAAAACAACTTCACAAAAATAATTTGTCCATGTCATCTATTAGATTGGGGAGTTGCTCAAATTATAGTTGATATTCAAAGATGAAAGTTGTATGAATAAGTTGTGCTAGTTCCCCACATAGGTTTTAATACTTTGATAGTCAGAAAAGAGTTAAAGAGTGCTGAGACTTGCCTCCCACAACATTAGGTTTTTTGTTTCGAACATCAATGATATCATTCCTTTGTCGACCCATCCATATGGAATGAGATTAGAGTTAATTTATCTTCATTTGTGAGTTTCTGAAAGTCCTAGAATCGTTCAATGTAGTAAATTAATGTTTACGGGTTGCCCTCGACATGTTGTAGAACAACAAGGCAAACAACTTTGAAAAGATTTTACCCTATGAGGTCCTTTATTCGGTTGTCCTATGCACTATCAAGTTTTTTATCTCCTGCTTGTGATTTTCTTTGAATTGTTGCTTGGATTTTGCCTCTAAGAGGGTTACTGGTAGGTGAATTTTTATAGGACACAATGATGGAGGTAAGTTTTGCATATGTGTTACCGAGTCATTCATTCATTCATTTTTATTGTAGATATTTTGGCTAATGAGATTTTCATTGAATACCCAAGGTAAAGGGGACCAACAAGAGCACCAAGTGTTAGCAAAATTTAATAAGATAATTTGATTGCATGAATTAAACAAATTTGAGGATGCCCTTAATCCACAAAAAATGCGATGAAGAAGCTGATGTAATTTGATAGAGACTTTTTTTTAGTTTCTGCGTGCCATCTCTCACATTCACATTCTACATATACCATTCATTTTCCACTACTCTTTTCACACAACCAGTTGAAAAGCCACATTACTTCCACCTAGAAGTCCTTGAGCCAAGCTATGGAACTTCACACCAGCCACGGTATTTCTCATGACATTCTTCATTGGCACGTCGACCCTGCATCCCCATTTGTACCTTTGATATTAGCATCATCTTCTCCTAGTGTAGTTCCTATCGCATATCATGCAGGTTTTCTCTTCTGATGGCCAGATAAATAAGTAAAATTTTTTCAGGCTAGAAAACATAATGTAATTTTAGCAGATAAGACGCGTAGTGCAATTATTCTGAAATTTGATTTCAAAGTCGACCCTGCATCGCCATTTTTACCTTTGATATTTGCATCATCTCCTTCTAGTGTAGTCCCTATCGCATATCATGCAGGTTTTCTCTTCTGATGGCCAGCTAAAGAAGTTAATTTTTTTTCAGGCTATAAAACATAATGTAATTTTAGCAGATAAGATGCTTAGTGCAATTATTCTGATATTTGATTTCAAATAGAAAGGCTACAACGATTATGACAAACGTTTCAACCATGCTTAAAAAAAAAAATCACATAATCAGATTAACAAGGACATGTCTGAAACTCGCCTCTTGCCTTAGCTTCTCACAAATGCTATCATCCCCATCAAAATTCTCTTCGAGAGTCTCCCGTTCAGCTTTATCAGATGAAATACCTCTATCTTTGAACAATAATGAAGAAGAGGAGAAAATGTCAGCCTAACTAATACAGTTTGGAAATGATCAAGATACTACATTACCTTCACATGAAACGACAGAAGTGTACTGATTCCGATCCAGCACTAGATCCTAAAATTTGTGAGAACAAGAAGAGAATCAGTTGAAAAATAGAAATACAATCACATAATAGCAAGATTGACTCTTCTATTAAACCAACATATATCAAAACTTTTTCCTACCCTCTTCTTCCACGAGTATAATTTGGAGAAGAGATGGCATCTTCGGCTGTCGTCATCTTTGATCCGGAAGCACCCCAAGAAGCAGCCCATTTCCTCCAATCGCCTCAAAAAACCTATAACCCGACGCCGTCGAACCACTGAAGTGGACGAGAGAATCTTGAGCGCGCGAAATCTATTCGTTGAAGAATTAGGGTTTCAGTCTTTCTGACCTCCTTTTCCTCTCCTTCTTCACCACTGTGTAGCTTTGAAATTTGAAATTGCCTCTTAAAAAACAAAGAATGAAATTTGTGACTGAGGGGAGGAGAAAGCCGGAAAGAAATATAAGGTGAGAGATATACTGAGTGAACCGGACCGGATTAGGGACGTTACATAATTTAATGAAATCATAATTATAATTAATTGTTAATTATTATAGAGATTTAGATATCATTCATTATTTACTGCTAATTTTTATTTTTATTTATATAACACCTACTATTTAAATGACATTAAATATTTAACTTTTAATAAATTAATTGTGCTTGCATTTTTATATGTTTTTTTTTTTTGGTCATTTAGGCCAATTAAGGCAAACTCACACACACAACGCATACACATAGACTCGAACCTTGGACCTCTTAGTTTTAAGCCTAAGCTCTCAACCAATAGGCCAAGGAGAGTTGTGAGCATTTTTATATGTAACAAAGTTATTTCTAATTTAAGATGTAATGACAAAAACATAAAGATCATTCTCAACCATCTTCAATCACTCTTAAGGTTTCGTTCGGGATAGTTTTTTTACTGCTTCTTAAAGGAGTTTTTTATTACAAAAATTAAAATTTTTATACTAGAAATCTACTTTAAGAAGCAATAAAAGCTTCATTTGAGATAGCTTTTGGCCACTATTTTTTTCCACATTCAATCAATTTTTATATTAAAAAGTTGTTTTAGAAAGCACTGAGAAAATTATCAAAGCACCATAATGATTCACTACATAGGATTACATAGGCGAGCATTACAACTTCATCACAATTGTCTCCTCCATGTTGAAAGTGAACTTCTTGAATCCATCATTAATGAGCACTTTGTTGCATATATAGCATCTGCTCAACTCCCATTTTAGCAACTAATTTTGGTCGCTCAATCTTCATGACCAGATATTCACATCCTTCACTATCAAATGCCATCAATTAATCTAACAAGATTTAGGGGTCATTTGGTTGGTTGAAACATCAAACGTCTCTCCAAGTTGCCCCCCTCCTAATATGAACACCACGGCTTCTATTCATAAAATTGCAAAATAACTGGCTTGATGGCGCTATTTGGCCGGCAAGTCGGTTCACCATTGGCCGCATCGATTCACCAGTACAACTGTCTCCTATCACGACGTTAGGCAATTTGGCTCTGTGGCTCTCAATATGGCGCCGCGGTGCTCACTGGATAACACATAAGTGCTAAGCTCTCTAGCAATTTTTTTGAGACCTCTCTGATGCGGCGCTGACTCCGTGGTGACATTGGTTCAATTTTCATAAATTTTAACCTATTCACCACAAAAGTATAAGAATTAAAAGCATAATAATCATAATAGATGCAATTTAGACCTAGGAAAATTTCTCTTAGTAGGCTACAACCTAATCATTAATTCATCTCAACAGATACAAAATTAAACATATTGGTACAAAAATAAATTTTCAATGGCAGATTTTAAGTAAATATTTTAAAGGCAATAGCTCAAGCATTTGCACAATGCGCTGTCTTTAAGACACCTAAATTATGTGTTAAATGTGCTGGTTGAAACATCTTCTTTACATTTAAACACAAAGAAATAACTACAGAAGTAAAGAACAATAGCTGAGAACACAAATCGAGGTAGGAAAAAGATTTGTTACCATATGTAAGAAAATTTGAATTTGCAACGCCAGCAAGTTTCAATGAAGCAGTTGACAGATCTTAGACGTTCCTTTCTGGTTAAGAACCTCTGCAACATTTCATGATCAAGCCTAAATACCATAGTTGAATTTGCAACTTCAAAAGAAAAAAATTGCATTTCCAGCATGTTTCTTTGAAGTAACAAAACACAAATCTTAGAACTTATCATCTGGTATAAAACCTCTCTGTAACATTTCATCATGAAGTCTGAATGCTTCCTTCAAGTTCTCAGCAGCAACATATCCATTTATGAGAGTTGTGTAAGTAAACTTATTGGGCAGAATTCTTCTAGCAGCTATTTCCTTAAAGATACAGCGCGCTTCCTGAAAATCACCAAGCTCACAATACCCATTTATGAGTGCATTGTAAGTGAAAATATCTGGTTTGACACCTTCAGCTTCCATTCTATTTACCAAGGAAAGAGCTTCCTCCATCTTTTCTTCCTTTACAAACCCCACAACTAAAGTGTTGTATGTTATCCTGTCTGGAACTATATTATTGCTTTTCATCTCAACCAAAAACTCTTCAGCCTTCAATACGTTGCCAGTGCAGCAGTAGCCTTTAATAATGGAGTTGTAAGTCACAATATTTGGCAAAATTCCTCTTCTAATCATTTCATCCCACAGCTTAAATGCCTTAACAACATCCCCTTTATTACAATAACTATCGATTAGTATACTATAAGTGACGCAATTTGGTATAATTCCAACATTAATCATACCATCCCATACTTCATAAGCTTTCTCCATGTCACCTTCCTTGCAAAAACCACCAATTAAGGTATTATAAGTTACAACATCAGGTTTAACATTTTTACTCAGCATTGTATTGAACAAATTAAAAGCTTCCTCCATACTTCCAGTTCTGCAATATCCATAGATAAGACTTGTAAAAGTGTAGTTATCAGGAACAAACCTTCTTTCCATTATCTCCTTTAAAAGCATATTAGCATCTGAAAGTCTTCCTTCCTTGCACATTCCATTCAACATTGCATTATATGTGACCAAATCTGGAAAACAACCATGATCTAGCATTTCATCATACATCTGTAGGGCATTGGACATCAAACCAATCTTGCAAAACCCAACAATAAGCATTGTATAAACAACAGTATCTGGAACCAAACCAACAGCCTTCATAGCTTCAAAATAGTACAATGCTGAATTGATATCTCCCTTCTTGGTAAACAAACTAATCAAATGGCTAAAGGCTACCAGATCAGGAACAAGACCTTGATTTGAAATCTCCTGGTATATCTCGACCGCCTCCGGTATTTTTCCATTCCTACATAAAGCTCCTAACAAAATGTTAAATGTAGTAATGTTTGGCATCAATCCAGTTCCAATCATCTCAAAGCGCAGCTCATTGGCCTTATCATACTTTCCTTCTCTACAAAATCCTTTCAAAACGGCATTGTAAGTTACAATATCAGGTTTCAACCCCTTAGTAATCATTGTATCCAACAGAACTAATGCTTCTTCTGGATGCCCGCTGCGAGAGCGTGCATCAATCAATGTGTTATAAGTCACAAGATCTGGAAAAATTCCTTTTTTCCCCATTTCCTCCATGAATTCATCAGAATCTTCAAACCTCCCCTCTTTGCACAGAGCGTTAACTATAATGTTCAGTGTGTATACATTCAAACAGGTTCCAAGTTCAACCACTTCTCTAAACAATTCCCACACTACATCAAGCCAATCCACCCGCACCAATCCAGCAAGAAGGCTGTTGCAGGCATTGACGGAGACTAAAACGCGCCTCTCCTTCAAAACGCGGAAGACCTCAGTGGCCTCCCTCAGCTTTCTGGCCTGGACATAGGTGCGGATCAAAAGGTCGAAAACGGACGGGTTCGAGTTACAGCCGTGGTAAGTGGAGATAAGATCATCGACAATCTGTGATCTTGAGGTGCCTCGTCGACGGACCATTCGGAGGATAAGGGATTGAGCGTCGGCGGAGCGACGGTTTAGAACTGAGATGTGGATCATGGCGCTGAGAGACTCGGATGAGAGCTTCAGATTGGGTTTTTTCAAAAGGAGATGAATGAATTCTTGGCCAAGGAGAGAGATTCCTCTGCTGCATTTGTAGAGGACGTCGATGATCACGGAAGCGGTTAGATTAGTTGAAGAATGAGGAAGAAGATTGTTTGGGGTTTTGCCGCGTTGGAGGTCCGAGATGATCTGGTCAGAGAGGGAGGAGGAGGTGGGAGGTTGGGTTGGTGATTCGCCATGGCTAGTGGTTCTCGCGAAGATTAGAGCCTCTGTAGAGTACAAAAAGCGAACAGAGAGGCGGGAGTATTTGGCCGCGGCAAGCAGAAGATGCACCATGTCCAAGCTAAACTCTCTTGCCTTGATGAATTAAATGCAATCTTATTTCTTATTTCATAGTGGCGTTTACATAAAAGAAATTCATGGGTCGGCACTGTGAACTATCGAATTCAATACTTCACGGTATCGAGTTCAGTATTATTCAGTATTGTGAAGTACCGAACGATAATCTGTGTCCGATGTTCGGATCCAATAATCTCTTCTCATTAGGTTTGTAAGTGAGTTGAGTGCTCGAATTCTACTTAATAACAAGCTCAAGCTCTAGCTTAAACTCTAATTGGTCTGTTAAAATAGCTCAAGTTCAAAAATTGACGAGGCTCAACTCAGGAGCTCGTGAGCTAGCTTGAATGTATATAATAATTTTAAAAAATAATAATTATTATTTTCATTAAATTTGAATATTTAAAAATTTTAATAATTAAAGTCCTAGTTCCCCCAAAAATAAAAATGTACCTAATAAATCAAGTCAACATTTCTATCTCTGTCTTTGACTAGTAGGCAATTGTCATTGAAGGCTTGAGATATTATATATTTGGCAATGCTTCAACCTTATCAATGTTATGCTTTTGCAATCTTAAGCCTAAATCATATAGACTTTTGACATCATATTTTAACAAGTTACCTCACATATAGTTTAGTCATATTAGTTTAAGCAGAACTCTGAATCTAGAGGTCTCATCTCAACTATATTACTAACCCAACAAATTGGGACATCATATCATAACCAACAGTTGGGGGTGTACAGACTATCGGTGCACTCTAGCTCGCACTTTGCCCATCATTCATGTTATGCTGGAGCTGCTCCATCAAAACTATCAACACACACGCATCAACTAATATATGCACATAATCATGTACAATAATGGCTAGTTTATTATTATTCAGTTATGTAGCTTCAACGTATAACATGTATTGTAGTGTAGATTCATTTTGATGAAAAGAAAGAAATCTTATGGGTGAGTTGTTTTCAGTGCTTAGATGTATTAGTAGCTCTATAGCCTCTAGTTTATTTAAAAAGAAAATTTGGGAAAATTTTTAAAACATTCTAAAATTAGATCTTGGGATTTGTCTATCACAGTTGAACGCGATAAGACTTATTCTAATTGGGTTGGGGTGTGACACATGTGCCCAACTATACTCATTTGACCACCTTTATACAAATATTGAGATAACAATCTCCGACATACAACACTTATAATTATCATTTTACTCAATTAGCTATTATGCCATTCTTATCCTCTCCTCAATCTAGACAAATTCTTAATAATAAGAGGAGCCTACGCTCAGAATGAAGTTGAATAACTCTGAGGTAAATATGAATATATGATAAAAAATGGTTATCACATAAATTAGGAATGCTAATACCCTACTTTTAAATTAGTTATTTATGTCCTTCAACATTTTAAATCGCTTCTTATGCAATTACTTTCAATTTGATTAAGGCTTCGTTTGGGACAGCTTTTTTACTGTTTTTATAGCAATTTTTTTAGGCTCCAGAAGACTGGAATCTCTCACTCATGGGTTATTCGGTTGGGAAAAGGCCCTACTATAAAGCCTTATAGGCAGCCATTCAAAAACTTGGAAGCTCAAGGGTATGTTTCAACTTTTATCTCTCAATGATGATTTTTTCCTACCCAACTTCACTACTGCATAAGACTACAACATGGATTGGCTGGGTGAGGCATGATTTTCCTCGGCAAACCCTTCATCATCCAAAAGTGTTCTCCCAAGTTTAAAACTAAGCACTAAGAATTCAACTCGGTACCTATTTGGTTGAAAATTATAGATATTCTTATTTGTTGTTGGACCCCTATCGGTATCTCTAAGATAGCCAATCAGATTGGCACTCCTTTTGCTGTCGATAAATTAACAGTTAAAAAAAAACGTCTTATACATGCGCGTGTTTGTGTTCAAGTGATGAATGAAACCATTTATTCTAAGGAGATCCCTATCTCTCTAGCTGGAAATATATTGAAGCTAAAAGTCCAATATGAGTAGAAACTAATTCCTTGTCAATCCTATAAATCACTGTCCTAGGATTCAACCTTTTGCCCTACAAAACTAAGGAAGAAGCTCCACTCGGAATCCTAAAGAGAAGGATAGCCGCATTAATGCTCAGAAAGCTCCCTCCTTTGACCAATTCATAGGCAATGTCTCCATCGCCCTTGAAAGCCATCCCCAAACCTCCTATTTTCTAGCCCGTGTTGCTCCCTCGATAACTATTCCAACCAATCCTTCCTCCAACATAATTACTAGCACTTCCATCCCAAACCGAAATTCTCCAACTGAAGAAAACCTTTCTTCAGAGAGTTATATGTAACCTCAGGTGATTATTCCAAAAAAGATATTGCCTCCTTATAGGTTCAATATTTTGCAAGTAAAAATTATGAGCATCTTTGTGCTACCTTTTAAGAGGATCCTGCAAACAAACTATTAAATCTTACTTCTTCGAAAGATCATGTAGAGCCTTCCTTCTCTCAGTCAACATCTAACCTGATAAAAATTGGCATTCATAATGTCCCTCCAGATAGTACAAATATGATTTTCTCTGCACAACCTGTACCGATTGTCCCGGACGATCCTACTTCGTCCGGACGAACCTGGAGCAGAAACTGATATTACACCTTCCTTCTCTCAGTCAACATCTAACCTGATAAAAATTGCCATTCATAATGTCCCTCCAGATCGTAACGCTTCTACCTCCTCCTAGCCACATAAACTCGCAAAGAGCCAAAACTCCAAAAAAGGGGCCTCATCATTCCACAAAACCATAATGCCTCTTTCTCCTATATCTGCTCGGAATATCAGGGACTTTAACAACCTTGAGAAAGTCTTCAGCTGCAAGCAATTTGTTAAAAATCATTGTTTGGAAATGTTCTATATTTTGAAAAACAGGATACAAGCTTCTGCCTTATTGGAGCCTTGGTTTATTGATACTCACACATTTTTTGAAAATGAAGTTAGCTGACATAACTTCGATTTTATGAAATCAAGGCACATTTGGATTAAATGAAATCCAAATACCATTAGTTTTTCCTCCTTTACATCACTATGAGCAAGCCATTTATGGTCTGATAAATCTGATGCCATGTTCCCATTTTATATTGTTTGTCATCTATTCCTCTAACTCCTTTGTAGAGCTGAAGGAGCTCTAAAATGAATTGAGAAAAATTAATCCCAATAATAGTATCCCGTGTGCGCTTATGGGAGACTTCAACTACTGCATATTCTAATTTGATAAGGTCAAGGTATTAAGATTCACCATAGCAAGTTGGGTGATGGGAGCGGTGGAGTAACCTAAAGAAATATAAAGAATTGTGAAAATTATTTAGGACTATATCAATCCTAAATAATATTTAGGTTTTCTTTGATATAAAAATTTTAAAAACTCCACTTAATATATATAAGTATACACACCAAATTAAGTAATATAGAGATAAAGTAGAATATTGATCCCATGAGAAAGATATTTACTTGCAAATACTAGTACTGGCTGCTTCAACTACAATAATTATTATACTTAATAAAAATAAGTTTGTGGATATTCAATCACTTAATTTAAAATAAAAATAATTAAATGAAATACTATTGGGGTAAATTACTTTAGATTAATAAAAATATAAATATAATACGTTTCTTAATGATTCTCTTTTATATTTATATTATTCGTAACATATGCATCACCTACCACTCAGTTAAGCATGAAGAGATAAAGGGATAATTTATTTATATAAATTTGATACATGACAAATACTATGTCTATACTTGCATCATACCAATCCAACATACCTTATTGTGTCTGCTTTACTATTCCTAGGCTCCTCAATACATATGGTATTAACTACACATATGATAACTATATGCATTAAATGAAGATATGATATATTTAAAATATCATAAAATTATTAATAAAGATAACTTATTAGTACTCCATATTTTATTTACACCATTAAAACTAAAGAATTTAGTCATACATAAAGAATAAGTGAAGCATGTTCATTTTTACTAATTGTATAAAATAAGGAAAGTGTAGAAGAAAAGATATCATCGGATGGTTAAATGTTCTCCTATGCACTCCTCTTTGATCTTGTAGAATTATTTCCACAAACACAAGCCAAACACTCTAATGGAGTGTATATAATAATTCTATGAATTTCTTTAGTTTAAGGAATCAGAGAAGCACTATAAAGGCTTAAATTAAGATTGAACTCATCTACCAACATTACAGACAAACTATTTATAGAAAAATATATAAAATGGATTCTAGCATCGTAGTGCTCGAGACACTTGCACCGTGACACACATAAAATAAACTAACACCGCAGCGCTAAAGGTTTTCCCCACTGTGACACTTGATAACATTGACACATTGTAATGAATCGACTCATGCTTTCCTAGTAGAATGTGTCCTAAATAGCTACAATTGTAGTGTCGCGGCGTTACTGACGGTTGAGCACTACAATATCTATGTGGTAATCCCTTGACTTAGCGATGCTGGAATTTAACATTGCATCACTGTGCATATAGATGTCGGGCTTTACAATGATGCCTCCTTCAATGCTACGACGTCGAGATAGTTAGTTGGGATTTGCGGCACCGACTCCTCTGAAGTCACAACTCTATCAAATAAAGATTGGGCGCTGCCATGTCCATAATCGGGGGCTCCAACGATGTCAATGATGGCGCCACGGCGGTATTGTATCCGACACTGCGATGTGATACCATACTTAAAATTTTTGCTCATTTTATATATTTTTTCATATAACACAACTAAAATAACATGTTCTTATTAATAAATTAATAAATAAAATATAACATTGTTTACAATTATCGTTGGGACCCTTTAGTTCTATGATTTTTTATGCCAACCTTCTGGAGCTTGTGTTGAGTGAGAGCTTTTTCACCTAATTCAATCAAAGAATTGAGGATCTTATTCACGTTAAACTTGACCAAGCTTTAGTTAATGAGGTTTGGTTGGATTCTTTCCCCCAATTCTTTTATAATGTTCTTAATTACTCCTACTGGGATCACTGCCCCATCATTTTGAATTATGGTAAAAGCCTCACCTTAGGGC